CCCGCCCCCCCCCCCCCCCGCCCCCCCCCCCCCCCCCCCCCCCCCCCCCCCCCCCCCCCCCCCCCCCCCCCCCCCATACATAAAAAGAGCGCTGTTCAGGATGATCTCGTCTTGGCTCACTCCGCCCTTCTCGTTCTGGCGGAGAATGTAGTAGAGGAAATCGCGATGCTCTCGCCTCAGACCCTCGTCGATCCGCCTGTGTCAACCTGTGTCAGTTGCGAGGCCTCTCTTCTTCCACCCACACGCGCACACACACACACACACGCTCCACGGGATGGATGGGGGGGGGCCACTCACTGCAGGCACTTCTCCTGGCTGAGCTGGAGATGGCGGAACCGCTTCTCGCGCAGGTCGCTCGGGATCAGCTTGACCAGGAGCCGCTGCGGCAGGCTCCCGGTGCGGAACATGCGGCGGGTGGCCTGCTCGAAGGCGCCGGCCTTGATGGTCTGGGTGATGAGCGAGACCCATGAGTGGAAGACGCCGTCCTTGAGGCAGCCGAAGGGCTCGCCGAAGGCCATGTCGCCGATGATGTCGAAGGTGGTGAAGTCTGTTCGAGGCGGGGTGTGAGCACTCGTCCTCTTTTCTAAGTAAACATGGGAGGGGGGTGAACACACTTAGCCAGTCGCACATGTTGACCGGCTGGCCGGTTGCGGCAAACGGCGTGAGCTTCTCGACAAACAGATCGACGTAGCCTCGGATGATGCTCTCTTGCTCGAGTAGGGCCTTCTGGCTGAAGGCGTGGGCAAGGGTTCGCCTCTGTCTGGCGTGGTTTGCATCGTCGGCCATGGTCAAGGTGGTTGAGCCGGGAATGTCCTGCACGGATCCGACACTGGAAATTGTCAGTTTGGGGTCACATTTGTTGTTGCAATCATGCTGCTCACTGGATGGCTGTAGATATAGTAGTCAGTGGTTTTGATCATCATGCGAGACTTGAGACTCACGGGCACACTCACGATCTTTGTGGAATTGGGGATGGCCTTGGCGGTGCCCATAGATGTCCTTCCATGCCTGTGGGTCTGTAAATGCGAGCTCATTTGGCATCAGTCGCACGACGGGGCCTTGAGTCGTGTCGTGTCAGCGTCATCAGAAATTGTCCCATGTCCGCCGCAGGTCAGCCCCAGTACATAGGAAACAAGACGCACCATATTTCTGGTGCAATTCGTGCACGTCAAAGGGCCATCGACCACGGAACAACCCCCAGATGCTGTATATCTGTGGCCAGTCAGCGCGTTTCTCTCACCTCCCGAGCAATGGCTGATCGCAACCGAGGAACGCACCGGAGAAATCTTGGCAAGGAATGGCCCAGGGTATTTCGCCAACGGATGGAACCAGACGTTGTAGATGCATTTCCCTATACCGTACAAGACTCCCTACAATATCTCTGTCAGTAACCCGATGGTATCTCCGGGGATCGGGCCGTAGCTCACGGATGCAAGAACACCCAAGAGGATGTAGTAAGCGTAGCCAGAGGCTTTCTCGACGGGTACGATAACCATGGCTGACGGTGGAATCGATCAAAGCAGGTCGGATAAGATGATGTCCGGGATGCTGTACGGGATGCTGTACGGGATGCTGTTGATATTATCCTGTACCTACATTGACAGTGCCCGGGGATTTGAAGCTACGTCGAAGAGGATGTCGTAAACTCAGGGATGGGAACGACTGGCTACCTATTTGAATATCCCAGGCTTGAGCTGAGGAGTATTGAAGGTTGCCCCACCAGGCATGGCAGATGGCAGAGTGGGATGTCGATGGTGGAGTGGGATATCATTATCCATGCGGCCGGGCCTTAGCATGCGCTTAGTGCCCGTTGCGCACATCCTCTTCTTCAGGGGTAGGCGAAAGGGGACGAATTGGACTCGGCGCATTTCAAGCCAGCCTAGAGGGTTGCCCCACGATTTTGGTCTCAGGGACATTCCAACGCGGGGTTTCTCGGATTTAAGCCCATGACGACATGCCGGCTCAAGTTTTCCGGGACGCGGCCAAGAGCGAAAAGAAGGCTTGTCGCAGCATTGCAGGGATTTGGAAAGCGTCACAGGGAAAGAAATCCTTGCATTAGCTCCCTGGTGTCTCATCACAGGTTGTTCAGGAAGTGCGGGTTGGGTGGATCGAATTGGGGTTCTGGCCAGATGGACTTGAAATCGGAGCAGGATCCGGAGCTTAAGTACACCCGGGTGCAAATCCGGAAAAGGAAATTCGATTTCAGCGTATTCACTTCCAAGATATCAGAGCGAAACGTCCATCTTTTGCGACTGGACCAATGAATAGAATTATCATGTGCCATCTCTCTCCCTTATCGATCGTCAACAGCTTCCATTGTCCTGAGCCAGTCCAAGTCCTCTCTCGTCCAATTATATCTTGCACCCATCTTGGCGGGGCCTTAACTCCCAGTTTGCACCCTACTAATCCGTCCGCAGTCTTTTATCCTCGCCTGGAATTTCCTTCATGTCGACAAGCACTTCTAGGTCTGGGAGAAACAGACAGAGTCCGGTGATTGACGTCGAACACAGCTTCAGGGGCTCTTGGTTTCCGCGTCGCGCCGTGCGGCTTCCTTGAGCTCATCGATCGTGCTGTATGAGTCCACCGAATCGCGGGTTCCTGAAGTCGAATGCCCGCTGGCATGATGGTGCTGCCCTGCGGGGTTTGGCTTCGTCCTTGAGTGGAGGAGAGAAGCGATCTTGCCGTTAAAGGATCCTTGCTCCGGCGAGGCCGGTTGGCGCGTGTAGATGTTTGGCATTGCGTGTCTGGAGGCCATGTCTGCGTGTTCGAGTAGTGAAGATGTGGTCGAGGTTGGATCGGACGCAGGAGGTGAGGAGAGTGTGAGGAGTGCCGATCAAGTCAACGAGGTAAGAAGGACGAGACGAGCGATGTGTTTGTGGTTCGTGCCTGACTTTTCCGGTCTTAAAGGGAGAATGGAGGAGGTTGAGACTCTGGAGACATGGCTTTCCAACGAATCTGGAACGATGCTTATATACCAGATGGGCTGTGACGGAGGCGGTTGGCCTTCCCGCGAGCCGATATCACCGGGCTGCCCGGAATGGGCTTCATGATGCCATTGTCATGGATCTAAGTCCCTCTCAGGCAACATTGTCGAGCAGTGATGACTCGAGAGATACCATATTTGTCATGCAAGCTCAAAGAAGTTGGAAAGAACGCGGGAAACATGCCTGAGCCAAGCTATCCAAGTGGAAAGCTGCGTCGCATCGGAATGCTTCCGGGGAGGTTCGCATACAGCGCATGACCACAGGAGGTCCAAACAAATAAGACGGGGGGATGATGGATGCGTGAATGTTTTCCCCGAAGTATACCCAGTCCTTCTTCATTGATGGTTGGGGGTATTTCGGCATCGTGTCCGTCGAGCCGTTGTATTTTCCGATGTTTAGCCAGGGACAGTCGATGATGCAAAGGTTGGGCCTGCAGCTGGTGGGTACACCGATTTATCAGCAAACCCTCATTTTCCGCGCCCTTCTACCTCCGTACTCTCGACTTCGTATTTCGTATTTCGCATGTGTTGCTGACGACTATAGTAGGCCCAATGCCAAGATACCCTACCCCATTTGATAGGCTTTGAACATGCGACGAAGCTGACCCCCCTTTTTTTCTGTCCCAGAACTACACATATTCATAACACAAAAGTCCACCCACAGTGTCCATTACGTCGGCGATAGTGGCGTTTGGAACAACGCCGAACATGTCCAGGACGTGGCCCAAAGTCGTGACGTTCGACGGATCGCCGGCCATCTCGAGGTCGACCAGCTCCAGAGGCGGCATCATGTCGGTGAGGTCCGAGGGGATTCCGCCAGACGGACCTCCCGCCCCAGGCATCCCAGGCATTCCGGGGAAGGATCCATTGCCTGGAAACCCGGGGATGGTCCCATTACCGGGGATCCCGGGGAAGGACCCGTTGATGGGCATGGGAAAACCAAAGGTCGGCTTGTTGGGGCCGCCGATTGCATTAAGACGCGTGGCGGGGTCGACGGCCTGCCACTGCCACCAGATCTTGTCGAGCCAGGTGTGGTGTAGGAAGAAAATGGGGTCTCCAGGGCTGGAAACTACATCTAGCATCTGTGGCGAGGTTTGTTGTCAGTGATCCGCCCACTTCGTCATCCACCCCGTCGGGCTTGGTGCATTCATTGTACTGTATGAACTTGTACTTACGAGCCCACCGATACCGCCATGTCCTGCTGCGTGAGGAGCAGCCTCCACGCACGGCCAGAAGTCCAGTATGTCGTGCAGAGCGAGACACCTGTCGATAATCTGCTGTGAAGCGGCGGTGCTGACGACATCCATGACATTTCGGTATATGCAGTGGTCATTGATCGTGTATCCAGGACCAAAGCGGCTAGTGTAGTTGGCGAAAGGACCATCCCCGATGCAGCCGTCCGGGCCCACGCCGTTCCCGCCGAAGCCCGTTTCAGGATCCAGGATGTCGGATGTGCTGAAGCTGCCGGCATCGTGGGTCTCGTCCCAGTACCTTTCACCCAACCAACTCCCTTAGCAGACGCCTAGGGTCGGCGTTGTGTGCGACTGGAGAACTCACACTATAGGGCCCTCATAATCGCACTCGGTGCGCAGGAGAACTTCGTGGGCGTGCACAAACATCCTGTGCCAGGGAAGGAACGCACCCTGATATATCGCCGTCAGCAACGGCCTTTGCCCTGGGTTACTGCCAAGTCAACTTACAACGTTGTGGATATTGTACGCCTGGCCATGATGGATGGCTTGGAGTTCGTCAAACTTGGTCTTGGTGGCTGTGAGATTCAGACTCGCAGGTTTGGCCATGAGACAGAGCTCGGCATCGAGGTAGTCTTTCTTTTCCTCGTTGGTGAGGGTATGCCTGAGTTTTTGCTAGAATCAGTAAGAAGCCCTCCCCTAAATGCACCCTTAGCACAGAAGGAAGCCCTTGACTTACCAAGCCTTCCGTTGCGTCTTTGTAGTGCAGGCGCCATCTCGAGTGCTTAGGGGCACAGCGACCGCGGCGCCAGCAGCAAGCAGCGCTACAAATGCGTTGACAATAGCGACCATGGTTTGTGAGAAACAAGCAAACTCGAATTGATCCAAAAAGAAGAAAAGAAAATCACATCTTCGAGAGTTCTAATATTGCTCTACTACTGCTCGACCACTGCCCTGAGTCGATGCGCTCCACGTCAGCAGTACCATCTCATCCTCCTCTCGCATATTTACCCAGAGGCTCGGCTTCTAGCACGGCAAATCTTCCGTTACGGTGAAGCAGCAGCCGCGCACGCACTTTTGCAAGACACGTCAGCCAGTGGCAGGGAGCCAATTTCTAATTTACCCGAGCCAGTGGCTCCAGGCGAGACCACATCTACTCTACCGGGAAACTCAACATTCCGCCTTGGCTTTTTCAGCCCCTTGGGTCCTACTTGCCAATTGCCACAGCTGCTGTCGCTGAAAGTTGCCCCGCTAGTTATTGCTGGTGGCAGGTAGTCAGAGGCTGGAATTGATTGGCTAATTAATTACCAGTTGGCCGCCATAGAGGAGAGATTATATTGTCGCCGGGGATGGGCAGTAGACATGTTATGGATGGCCGTAACGTGGTAGACCAGGGCTGTGGGACGACAAGACAGGTTCAATGGACCTGGGACACATGGTTGCGTTGCATTGGCTCCCAGGAATCAACACCAACGGACTAAAGCTGGTCTTGGCATATACATCTCATCTCCATCAGATATTCCAGGTTGCCATGAAGCTTCCGGTCCGTTCCTCTCACCTTATTCTCATCGTTCAAAAACCGGAGACTTGCTCTTGAAGCTGCCGCAACGCCGAAGGATGACACCACCATGATGGGCCTGGTCAGCCCAATCTTAAAGAGGACTGTAAGGCAATCATCAAGGACGTCGTCGTCCCATTTCCATTCCTCCTTTCCTAACCCGTGCAGTGGTTCTAACAGGCAGGAGAGACCTGTCAGTCTCACGCTGCCAGCAGGAGCCGCCTTCCTGTCCGAAAGGGAGAAGGGCGACAAAAAGGTGACGAGGGAAAGAGCAAAAGCAAAAAAGGAAGGAATGGACGCACGAATAACCTAAGCTACCCAACACTGGTGCTCGCAGGCCCTTCCTCTCTGGAAAGGAATTTCGCACCGAATGCAGGGGCGACCACGGCATTATATCATATCGTAAGGCAGGCCTGGAGGGCATATATCAAAGCCATACTCTCTTGAAGTCAAGGTATCAATAATTAAGGTTGTCCGGGCCTACACAGACCCTTGATGTGGAAAGGACATTCTCGGCCGTAATTAATTCCGATCCTCAAAACCCGGCCCGGAGCCGGGCGGGCCGGCCCATCAATCCCGTCCCACCCCCACCCGACATTCTTCAAACGAATCCAGCTATCCATAGGTAGTTATTCGGGTTGCGACGTAACAGCGAGAATGACAGAGACTCTACAAGGAGAACCGCCTGCCTGATCTTGCAACCCGTCAGCTTCAATCGTGTCCCATGCGAGAGCGAGACATACGTGTAAACGAATGGGTCGTGGACGAGCAAAATATGTATCAATATCAAATTCGAGAGTAACGAAGGACATACCTTGACAGGGAGGGACTGCTCCGTTTTTCAATAGTTCGAATCAATAGCGCCTCTCAGCCGCCTCCTAAAAATGGGGATTGTGATATCCATCTGCGGAACTAGTCCGCGGCTAACCCTATTCCCCTTGAAATGCATCAAATGCGGGTTTCTATGACTTCTGCTATTTAAAAAAAGCCACGGGTCTAGACTTGTGGAGTTACTGGACCCCGGATTCGCCGGTTTGGCCCCACTGAAGTTGTGGGTGATTTTGGGAGATATATTTATCTGCTGGTACGTCCGACAACCTCGTCACCCAGGTGACTCCCTTTCTTGTGTTTTATTGCAAGCGGGTAGGCAACGGCGTTCTCTTTCCTTCCGGAGGACCCGGACCCTGGACACCTTGGCTGATTCCCGCCTTTCCTCCACACAATGAAGCTCTCTCTCATCGCCGGACTTGCCAATGCAGCCATTGTCGCTGCCTCTGTGCAGCGCCGAGCCTGCGGCAACAACTGCGATAGGGCGGTAGGAGCAACAAGATTCGGGTTGGCTACAAGCGCTGCGCGACTGGGTGACTGTAACTCGTACCTCCGCGCCACAGTGACTCTGCCGACCTCGTAAGCACCATCTCTCTTGGGGCATGCTGATTCGTGTTCTGGGCCATCCTTACATTTACTCCCTCTGCAGAACAGTTCTTGTTACCCAGACAGTGTCTACGACCGTGACGGAAGGCTTCACCCAAACCTTGGCTCCCGTTTCCTTCAAGCGCGACCAGCCAGCAGCCGATAAGCGCACCATCACAGCCAAGAGCTCCAAGTCGATCCCCGCGTATGCCAGTCCATGCTCGAACTCTTGCGCATACATCAGCGCTTGCTATTGCGCTGGCGCCACGGCTTCCACCGTGACTGAAGAGGCCATCACTGTGACCTCGATCGTCACCATCACATCATCTGTGACGGTCCCGGGCGACAGCCCGCCGTACACGCCCACGGGCGAAGTGGGCACTCCACCGTCGGACTTCACCTTGACATACACGTACGATGAGGTGGCCCTGCCCACATTCGACACCATGACCACCCCGGTCACGTTCCCACCTGCAACCCCGACTGTGGAGTGCTTGACCGACCCGGCTGACCCCGATGCCGAATTTGTAAGTGCCAAATCCTCGACGATCGTCACCACAGCATATACACGGCCTAGTTAGCTAGCTGACCAACCCCCCTCCTCGATAATAGTACCTCCTCGACCAGTCGGCGGGATATCTGTTCAACACGGCGGGTAAGGCGGGCCCTCCGGCCGCGCCAAAGACCGAGGCGGAAGCGCTTGCCATGAGCGACATGAGCAAGTTCAACCCGCCGCTCTATAAATTTGAGAAGCCCGCGAGCGGCCCGGCAGGGTGAGACCTTCCGATAAACAATGACCTTCATGGTGAAGCCACACTGACACGCCCACAGACTCTTCGACATTGTCCTTGACGACGGCGCGACGAAGCTATACCTCGCACTTAACACCAAGGACGGCAACGTGGTCTTCACCACCGGGACTACCAACGGCGCGGTGAAGGACAAGCTCATCACCACTCTCTTCGGGGTCACGTGTAAGGGCCTGTTGACTGCCCGGCAGGGGGCCACGACCTATATCTGGAAGGCCACCCAGGGCGGCTCGACGCTGACTCCGGGCACGTCGGCCAACGACACCGTGATGCTCCTGCCCAAGGCCGGGAGAACACCGTTGACCGGCTCGGCACAGCGGCGCGGAAAGGCCGAGTCGGGGAAGGCGCCTCGGTGCCGCGGCGCTCCACAAGACGTCATTGCGCGGCTGAAGCCCAATGCCCGGGGCAACAACCCCAACGGTTGCGGGCCTGCGAACGGCATGGATTTTGTTCCAGACTTCAATTTCGGGCGGTGCTGCGATGGCCACGATAATTGTTACGACGATTGTCAGGGACAGAGTACGTTTGAGCAGTGCAACGATAACTTCCATTCCTGCATGCAGGGAAAGTGTCACGATCTTCTGGGCAGCATCTGGACATTTTGGGTATGTTGTCGCGATCCCCCTGAGCACGGGCGTTTTGGCGGCCTGTTGGCAGTGTTCGTTGGCTAACCAATCGGGTTCGGTGGGCAGCTCTACCCAGGCTGCATGGGCATGGCCGATGTGTATGCCTACGTCGTGGGTACGGATCTGGGCGTAAAGGCGTTCAACACGGCCAACAGCGAGCGGTGCGAATGCGCGTGCCCCAACACGCAACCGGCAGGCGTGACCCAGAGCCTCTGCACGGTCAACGGTCAATTGGGATGCACCCCCACGGGCGGCGACGACAGTCACAACTGCGGCGGATGCGGGTGGGAGTGCCCGTACAAGACGCACTGCTCGCGCGGCGGGTGCCAGTGCGACAACGACCGGTGCGGGAACCTGTGCCTCAGCCTGCTGACGCACCCGCGCAACTGCGGAGCCTGCGGCAACGTCTGCGCCAGCGGGTACTGCTACATGGGCACCTGCTTCGACCCGCCGGCCGACTCGGACCAGTGCTACCCGGTCGAGGGCTTCACCAACGGCGACTTCTCAACCCAGGACCTAACCGGCTGGTCGTACACGGCCACCCGGATCGGCTCTCCGGGCTCAACCTTCGATAATCCATTCGACTTCGTCGGGGTTGGTGCCTTCATGCAGTTTCCGCTCAATGTCAACGACTACTATAACCTCCAGTTCACCACCGTGCTGTGGCAGGACGTCCACGTATGCCCCGGCACCGCGTACGAGCTCGACTTCACGAGCCTATACTATGGCGGCGGGCTCTGCAACATCAGGGTCATGCTCGGCAACCGGCAGCTGGCGTACAGGGATTACCCTATCATGGATGTGCTCCATCCCAGCCCCCCTGCTCCTTTCGGCCCGTATCCTGTTGGTCCGTTCAGCGAGGGGGATCCGGGCACGTCGGCCGGCGACAAGTCGTCTCTTAAGCTCAAGTTCTCGGTCGAGGTGTCGTGCTCGCCGGGTGGAGTTGCCTTTCTGGATTTCTCCCTCCACGCTGCCTAGCCGGATTCTGCTCCTGACTTCCCTTCCCTTCCCCCTTGTGACGATGCACCGTCACTCCATTCCTATACCCAGAGGTTCGTCCCCAAGGCATTCAACTTTTTTTTTTTTTTTAAAAAAAAAAACAAAGAAATTGTGCTGTACGTTGGATATCCAGTTCTTCGCAAATCAGTGTATTCGATAGTCAAATACTACCCACTTTTTGATTCGTACGACTCTCCGATGGAGCTTGTCTCTGCGGGCAGGGGTCTGTGCTGGGCAGGGGTTCCGGGCTCCCAATTCTTTTCTGACAGGTGGAGCATGAGAAAGACCGGACAGCTGCCAGCCACGGAACAAGCGACAGCGGCGATGGCAAGGTGATGGTAACAGCAACAGCAACTGCCACCTATGATTCACTAACTGTCTGCCTGCGGAACAAATAGTGCATACCCCTGGAGAAATTTCCCTTGTTTTATTGATTAGATACAGCAAAGCTCTCTTTCTACCTTCAGAGATATTTCCAGGATAGCAAAGTTAATAGCTAGGTCAGCGGCTTTGATTCCACAGACCGTTGGATGTAGACATAACCCCATAAAGGTATCCATCGGTACACGATATGCGTAATCCTTGAGGAAGTTGAGCATTGCCAAGATTCGGTCTTGGAATCTGGCAATATTCTCAAGGTCTTCAGCCGAACCGAGATTGTCGTCTGATGCTTGAGGGGGGGTATGTGGTGTCATCGAGGACCAAGTCCTCAAGGATGTTCTCGTCCTTATACGCAATCTCGCTCTCATGCTGCAACTCAACAAGTTCATCCCCATCGTCCAAGGGCAGATCGTCAAGATCGAGACAGCCATCGTCGTTACCGTCATCATCAGCGATGCCATCGAGTTCCAAGTCGCCCATGAACGTGTCCTCGTCTTCAACAGAGGACTGCTCGTCGTCGCCATCGTCATCGCCGCTGCTGTCACTGTCATGACACACGTCATCGGTGTGCTCTGCCTTGCTGTGTTCGGCATAGTTGGACAGTTCTGAGGACTAGGACGAGAGCAGGGTTTGCTGGGCGATGGACCGGCGGGTTCGGGGCCGGGACAAGGCAAAATAAGGGGACACGATGTCTATCTGGGCATCGCTGTCACAGTCGGACTCCGGTTGTTCCTGGTCCTGGGACTGATTCACTTCGTCGTCGACAGGATCTAAGTCAAAGGAGACCACGCCCCCCGCTTCGTCCGGCTCCTCAATCCTCGGCCTTTTTGTCGGCCTGGGTGGCTCAGGAGACGGCGAGGCTCGCAGGTGGCTCGAGCTGCCAGGAACCGTGGTGGCCCAGGGAGTTATCTTGTCTTCCGACTCCGAAGGGATTGGTGTCCCGAGTATTATCAGCGGCATGCGGTGAGAACCGCGGCTGGGAGGGGAGGGGGGAGAGCATGGTGAACTCGCGGAGGCTTCCGAGTCCGGTATCGTCCGGCTCCAGGTGAGGCCATCGACAGCAGGAGAGGAGGATATGGCGGCGATTCTTGTGAGTCCGGTATCTCGGCGGCTGGACCGAACCGGCCTGGCGGCACTCGACAAGCGACTGGGCAGTATAGGGAAGGGATTGAAACGCACGCTGTCTGGCCTGGAGGTACTTGACAAGCGGTGGACCTATGGAGGGCGGGGACGGGGAACATTACTTCTCCATTAGGGAGGAGCAACCAGAGGTAGTTGCCGTATGGGAATCTCTCCAGGGCCATGCGCGGAAATTGGCAACTGTTGCTATTGCCATCGTTAGTGCCGTCGGTGTCTATCGCTGTTGCCATGGCTGTCTATCGCTATTGCCATCGCTATCTACCGCTATTGCTGTCGCTGTCTATCGCTATTGCTCTTGCTAGAAATAGCAAGAACAAAACATAGCAATAGTGACAGCGATAACAGCTATTGCCAACTTGCCACCTGCTACAAAGCTCTGACATATGGAACGCATTGACCACCTGCCTGTAGAGCAAATGGCGCATGCCCGCAGAGAAATCCCCTGCCGTATTAGGAGCGTAGCAGTGACACAACACCGTGGCCTCGCATATTGACGATAGCAGTACTGTTATCAGGCCGTTGTTAACAGCATTTTCCTCCAGAGGATATCCAGGGGCTGCTCAAACTCGTTGGTGATGTGCTCTAGGCAACGAGGGCTGGAGGGTCTGGCCCGTGTATACAGCCATCTACCAAGGTTCTCGACAAATTTACCTAGGTACTGTACCTATTTTACCACAATAACTGTGCCATGAAAATTGTGGGGTCCCGGCTGTTTGGGATAACCCTGGTTTCGCGGAAGCCCTCGCCCGTGGGAAAGAGCGGCGCGCGTACACGCGTGAGGAGTCCACGTTCACTCCGCGACTGTGCAACACCGGAGTTTTTAGGGGGGGTTTAACCCGCAATTCGTTCATTCGCCGCCCGCAAGTTTTCGTGCCAATCACAGCTCCAAACCGGCATTCCGACGATCACTGCGCATTGGGTCCTGCCACAAAGCCAGATGACGCCTTGCTTTGTCCATTCGCTTCTTCGATCCTCGCCGTGGAATTCGGCGCCGATAGCTACCTAGGTGGGAAACCCCCGTGGCTATCCTATCATCATCACAATTAGCAGATTGATTAACTTTAAACTGTTCCGCCACACCTTCTCCCCAGTCGCGCACCGGAAGACACGCCACCGTTTTGGGTATCAAATATGGCTAATTTGGTGCGGAGTCGTCGCGGGAGAAGGACGGCTCTTATTTCGCAAAAGGCAGTGAGTGCCGCCCACTTCCCGCCGCATCCCATTTGTCGGGCCCCCCAGCTTTTTTGCCGGGCGGGCAATAAACTTTATTATAACCGTATTCTCTCTGCCATTAATTAGGTATGGAGAAGCCCTCTCGGCAACTATGCCAGTCTAGGTCGCTTACAGTCAAAAGGATGAGCGGATGGCTCTCTCCGGCCCGGTTGCATCTTATATATACACGATGGGACCCGTTGTCGGGATTGCGCCAGTGGGACTTAAAAGCTTGTTGTGGCTGATCCAAGACGCCCAGCTTTGCCCAGCTTTCCGACCAAGACATCGTTGCCAAGCGTCGAACACACAATGCGTCTGCTAGAAATCACCACGGGCGTGGCAGCCCTTCTGGGCGCGGGTACGTTCGTCTTATATTTCCCCCGATTGCTTCTCCGTCTCCCTCTTCGGTGAACTGACGGGATTGATTGATTCCTTGCAGGCTTTGTCCAAGCTGAAGTACCGCAACTGCCCGTGCCAGCCTCGTGCAGCGGCGTGACCGCCTCCACGTATCAGAACACTGTCGCGTCGGGATGGAAGATGATGAAGATAGCCGGGAACCTGAAGCAGGTGCGGACCATCGTCTTCGACCCCCTGGGCAACATGCTCGTTTCCGAAGCCACAAAGGGCCTCTCGGTGCACACCTTCGGCACCAACGGGTGCATCAACAGCTCGACCACGCTGGTCAGCAACAACCAGCTCAACCACGGGCTGGCCATCACCCCCGACGGCAAGACCGTCTATGCCAGCTCCGAGAGGACGGCATGGTCGTGGGCCTACGACCCGGCCACGAGGCAGGTCTCCGGCCAGAAGGTTGTCGTCAACGGCATGGACACCGGGATCCACTCGACGAGGAACCTGTTGGTGGTGCCGTCGCAGCCAAACATGATCCTCCTCCAGGTCGGCAGCAATGCCAATCTGGACATGGCCGCTGCAGACAAGGCCACTGGTCGTGCCATCATCAAGATCTTCGACGTGAGCAAGGCGCCCGCGAACGGCTTCAACTACAAGACGGACGGCGAGGTGTTTGGCTACGGTCTTCGCAACGAGATTGGCTTTACCACGGACCCGAACGGCATGGTCTGGGGCGTTGAGAACAGCGGTGATGTGAGTACCGGGCACATTCCCAAACTCGCAGCAAAGAAACTTACACTGTCGACGTTAGGACCTCACCCGGACAACAAACGGCCGCCGGGCTGATATTCACATTGACAACCCAGGCGAGAAATTGAACTTCCGTAAGTCTAGTCCCCTGTCCTCGCCCGCGCTCCCCCTCCCCGCCGCGAGCCTCCTCTACCGTACATGAACGCTGACTTAGCATCACCCAGTCGGTGACCCGCTCAAGATCCGTGATGCCTGGTACGGGTACCCCACGTGCTTCTCGGTCTGGGACCCTTCGTCGTTCGCCGGCGAGACTCCAGCGCTCAAGACGGGCAGCCACTTTGTGCTCGCGCCCAACGCCACCTACACGGACGCGAACTGCGCCTCGGCGTCGAAGCCGCGGCTGAGCTTCCAGGCCCACAGCGCGCCCATCTGGAACACGTTCGACGCCGACGCCAAGAACATGTACGTCACTTTCCACGGCTCGTGGGACCGGCAGCCGGCGACGGGCTTCAAGGTGGTCCAGATCCCCTTCACCAAGCTCGACAACGGCCAGTACGACCCCGTCGCCCCCGCCGACAGCATGAAGGGCTACAACGACATCTTCTCCGCCAGCAACCCCGCCAGCTGCACCGCAAACGGCCTCACCCAGAGCAACTGCTTCCGCCTCACCGCCGCCACCTGGGACCCGGCCGGCAGGGGCCTGTTTGTCGGCAGCGACAACAGCAAGGAGGGCGAGATCTACCTGCTGACGCCCCCGGCGAAGTAAGCTTGCTCGTGTGCTGTCTGTGACGGAGAAGTGGGTGAGAAACAGGGTGGGGGGGGGGAGGGTGGAGGGGAGAGAAAAGGTGAACTAGAATGGAGACAGAGTTACTTGGTGCGAGAAATATAGCAACGTTGTAAATTGACGGGATGTGTATCTTCAATTTTGGATACTGGTCTGGAGAGGTTTACTACACACTACACACGCTATTTATCCACCTTGTCCGACCCGGAAGTACCATGGCATCGTGAAGTGGATGAGTGTTTTAACTTTTACCGACCAGCCACCCCATGGCTACGCTGTGCGCTTTTATCTGCTCCCCCATCATGCTTTTTGCTTGCTGCCAGCCCGCAGCCCGTGGCGGCGAGAATGGTCGTGTCCAACATGGTCATCACCGTCCTCGTCCTCATCATCCTCCTCCGACCAAGCAGGGAACCCATCCTCAAAGATATCTTCCAGCGCCTCCCGCTTCTCGCCACCGTCCAGCTTCGCGTCGCGCATCACTCCCTCCCACTTCCCAGACTCGGCATCGCTCAGCAGGCACTCGTCCAGCATAGCCTCCAACGCGACATGATCAAGCCTCTCCCCAATGAAGACCAACTCCTGCCGCCGATCCCCCCACTCGCCCCCCTTGGCAATGTCGTGCTGCACGAGACCGTCCACCTCGGCGTCCCCCGTCGTGTACTCCTCGGGCGCCAGCGTGCAGAACCACGGCCGCCCGCCCGACATGGTAAGCATCGCGCCGGCCTGCGACCACTCGCCGGCCCGGTGCGGCCGCGTCGCCAGGAAGAACTCCCCCTTGGACCGGAAGAGGCGCGCCAGCACGGGGTGCTGCCGCTTCGTCGAGAGGATGATGTCGTCTGGTGGTGCGGCCATGTCGGCGGAGGAGGCGGAGGACATCTCCTCGTCGGGTCGCTCCGAGACGTGATGAGCCTTCTTGGACGAAGATGCTGGAGATGGGACCGTCTGGGCTGTTGAGGGTGAGCTTGAGGAGAAGGAGGTCAGCGAGCGACTCCTTGCTCCTGGAGATGCGTCTTCGGCGTCTTGCCCTGCGTCGGTGGGGGGGTCTTCGGCGGCGGGGGAGTTTATCATGTCGACATCCCTTCCGTTTCGTTCGTATTCTTCATTGCCTTCTTCGTCTTCATCATTGTCGTCGTCGTCGTCGTCGTCGGGATGCTCGAGTTGCAAGATGAACTTGTCGCGTAGGAGACCCCATAGGCGGCGGGGATGGAAGGGGCGTTGGCGGGTGTAGATGAAACTCCGCACGCTGTACTCCTCGGTTTCGGGCTTCGGTGTGACGACATTGCGGCCATTGACCTGGAGAGAGGCAGTGTCAACAAATGCTCAGCCCGAGAATTTAAGGGTTAGGCTGATGCAGCGGAAAGGAATGGAGGCTGGGTATCGGAAGCTGGTGTCATAATAATTACCTCTCTGACGGTCATTTGGTGCAGGTCCTGCAGCCAGCCGTAACCCGACTGGGCAACTTCGAGATTGAACATGCCGGTGTTGACCAACTCCTTAACATCTACCTTGCCGTAACTGGACTCCAGGATCTTGGCTCGGTGGTTCAGCTTCTGGATCAAGTCCAGCAGACGCGGCTTGGTTTCGCTGTCGACCTGCCATGCCGGTGTGAGCCATGTAGTGCCTTGGGGGAGGGAAGAGGGGACCGCAAGTGATACTCACCATGTCGACTTTGTTCAGAATGATAACATCGGCGAACTCGATCTGATCGACCAGGAGGTCGGATACTGTCCTCTCATCCTCGGGGGTGACGTCGTCTCGGCGAGATGATATCAGGTCGCCCGTGTCAAAGTCATGCAGCATGGTAAATGCGTCGATGACGGTGACAGTGGTATCTAGCCTAGCGAACTTTTCCAGGCCACCGGCTTCCTTCCTTGAAACATAAATTCGGTCAGTAATCAGATCATTCCCCAGGGCTCAGGGCTCGGGGATCGCCACTCACAGTCGCTGAAGAACCTTGAGCATGTCTTCGTCCAGGCCCTCGGCGCCGTCCGTACCCACGGCATCCATGTGCTCGGCCAGCCGGGCATCGAAAGTCTCGGCGACCTGTTCCGGCTCGCTGATACCGCTGCTCTCAATGATGACATAGTCAAACTGCTGCAGCTCGGCGAGGCGGACGAGCTCCTCCAGCAGGTCTCCTCGGAGGGTGCAGCAGATACAGCCATTCTGCAAGGCAATGACCTTCTCGTTGGTCTTTGTCAGGCGGTGGGTCTGCTTGATGAGCGAGGCGTCCACGTTGATGCTGATTGCTGGTCAATTACACGTCCAGGGCCAAATACGAGAGGCCACACTTACGCTCCAATGTCATTGACAACCACGGCAATCCGAAGCCCGTGCTCGCTGCGCAGGATGTGCTGGAGGAGTGTCGTCTTCCCGGACCCCTGGTGTGTCGTCGGTCAGGAAAAGCAAAACGACAAACGATGGCGGGTCGACGACAGGGGCAAAAGGGAGTTCTTTCCATCTTACCAGGAATCCGGAGAGGAGAGTCACCGGCAAGGCCTTGGGGGGCACGGCCGATTTCGATGTTTTCTTGCCGGTGCCTGATTTGCCTCGAGGTTTGGCCATTTTGATCGGGGGAAATTGGCGTCACGATGAGAGGGCAGCCGCTCCGGAGCTGAGAAGGGTAAAGAGAGAGAGCCATTCTCGGAAGTGGGCTGAGACGAGAACATCCAAGTTATAACTGCTCGACCCTGACGTCTCTCATCAGGGTACCAACCATCAGGGTGCCTCTGTCGGAACTTTTGTCACCACGGATTCCAACAGCGATGCTTGATTGGTCGACGAGTTGGACCCTGGAAGAACCCGTGAGTGCCGCTAAACCCGATTGGGATAGCCCTTATCGACGACGGTGCCATGAATAGGTATTGGTGGACATGTGGAACATTGCAAGGTGCACACGTGATTTAGTATTCTGAGCGGGCCGAAGCGCAAGTGAATAGGGGTACCAACCTCAGGTATCGACCTACCTTACCTTCCATACCAGCAAGTGAATTGGGGTTCTCCGAGAAAACGCGGTGGATAACAGGGCGTTGTATTTTGGCCGACCTGGTCGAGGTTCGGGAGCCGTCTCGAGAGGCAGTCAGGTCGAACGCAGAAACTTGGAGATTAAATGAGATACGATTAATGGAAGTCTTCCCGTGGGAAATGTGCAGGCATAATGGATAAACCCAGTGTCTAGGGTGCTGCTTGCGCGGAGCCCGTTGAGGCTCGTGCAACCCGGGCGTGTGGCCGGGCCAGGAAGCGGACAGGCTACAGCTGGAAACAAAACCGTGCTCGGGACCGTGATGCAGGTTCACAGGTCCATGATCAACCCATCGCCCACTAACTGAGTTATTCTCGCAGTTCTCCCATATCCTTCCTTATCGTCACCCGTGCCAACCTCTCTTGCGGTGTTTCCCCGTCGTTGCCATGATGTTAGAGGTTCAGCATCTTCTCCAGGATCCGCACCAGAATGTCGAATTTGACGAAAATGAAGATGACAAGGAGGACGAAGATGACCAGGAGGATGAAGACAGCAGTCAAGGCGGCCCACCCCACATACCGCACCGTAGGCTGGATGAGATCGCGTAGAACATCGTCGCGGACAATGCTCAGAACGTCGCGGACGATGTCCACAGCATCTTGGGTGATGGTGAAGAGAGCCTTGAGGATGTTTTGGACAATGGTCAAGAGGAACTTCAGGACCATACGGACGGTGGTCAAGAGGACCTCCAGGATCAGGGTAACCATTTGGTAGACGCTGACCGAGTTGTCTCGATAGCCAGCGGGCGGGATGTAGTTGAACGGTGTCGGATCCTCCGGGTCCATGATGCGGATGGCCTCCAAGGCCACGATATTGTCGCTCACTTTCGTGTATGGAGGAGGGGACCCTAGAATGGGAAGCGAGGAAACGGTTAATTGAGTCAAGAAATCAGCGCGTTCTCTTGATCATCGACTTACCTTTTGAGTCATGGTGCTTTTTAGTTCCAAGGCCATGGTCAGATGGGTTTGTTGTTGGTGCCATTTTTTTCTTTTGCTGTTCTGGGCAAGTATTTGAATGGGTTATGGCACCGAGTCGCGATGAACCGGGTTTCCCAGTCGCTAGAGCGATACGCCTGGGTTTTGGGATGTTTGTTGTTTTGTGGTTTTTGCTTTTCTCGCCGTGAGAGAGCAAGTGCTGGCTGCGTGCTGGAGAGACGCGACAATGTCAAGCATATATGCCCATTCACCTCACATAGAACTACCTCAAGCCAGGTTGCATTCTGATTCACTTCACACAGTGCTGCTTGACATGATAGGCAGACATTTCACACTGCCATTGGGTAAGCTTGGTTGTGCTTGACAGCACTTTGCCTTGTATCACACTCTCTGCTCTAATTGGAGGAAGTACACATTGTACCTGGATTCCATAGCCATCTTTGTCCTTGATACCAGGTGCTGTTAGGCAAAACCATTCTCCCACCTATCTCCCTGCAGGTCTGATCATGGCCCAGAGTATGTATTAAATAAAAATAAGTAACAAAAACATTACAGATTGATTTTGGAAACTTGTGTCCAACCAATAAGTCTGGCCTGCTTACAGAATACTCCCGATAATATTGGTATAAACTCGACGACTTCGTCACTGGGGGAGTTGATTACTCACCGCTTTTATTATGCCGGCAGAATTTGTTCGTACCTCTGGATCCGGGCCGTAGGTCGGGTCGGGTATAACGGGCGGCGGTGCGGGCCGAATTATTCCTAGATTGCTGACATAAGGTCCAGTAACCCCCAAGCAGAAAACTAATAGGAGACGGGAATGAGATATCTCGTGGGGAGAGGTTCTTCCTGACTCTGCGTGGCAATCTGATCTGATTTAAGTTTTTTTCCCACGTCGGCCAAGACATTTAATACGAATAATTGGGTTATGGCTAGGCCTATATGGGATAAAACCTTGCTTGGCATGAAGGAGGCGACCTTCCTAACTTGAATTTTTTCTATTTTTTCCCCCTTTTTGATTTGCCGAGTCGTTCCACTGAAGAGAAAAAGAAAAACGGCTAAGCGCCACGCTAAGCCCGGGTTTAACGTCAATAGGCCATGTCTGTGCTGGTCGCGTCAACTCTAACAACCGGGTCATCCTCCGCCTTGCCAAACCGGGCATTTGTTGAGGACCCTTGGAGAGAGAGCCTTTGGTTACATTTGAGATCCGAAGAAGAAGCAATGTGATTGTATGGAATCGATGAAATTATATGAAAATGCGAAAACACCGCGTGCAAAGCGCTTAACCATCCGTGACCTGCTAAAACACCGCGACACCAACCCGTAGTTAGTTAATGAATCACAAACCGTAAACGCCGTTGATATTCCCATTCCCAAATCCATTCTATCCCATCACGCCATTACCAAGTTTCAACCCGCACACCCTGGAGCTCGCTCAGTAGGCCAAAGTCGAATCCCACCTGGTGGACGTTGACAATGATCATGTCGAACGACTCTAGCGTCTCCCTGTTCCATTCATCGTCGTCAAGCCGTGCCACATCGGGCACCGAGTCCTGCGAGACCAGCGTGTCGGCGAAGGTGACATCTACCCGACCCGAGAGCGATAGATGCCTGATGAGATCCAGCCCCGGAGAGTTGCTGAGGGTCGCCTGACCACGCTTGAACCCGACCCCGACAACCAGCACCCGGGGCCTGGGGCTGGATCCGGGCCGGTCCTTCCCGTCGGGCCCGCCCGTCAGGGACTGGATTGCCCGCCTGGCAATCTCGCCCGGCCGCCGCCACATGGTCTCGGTCGCGGCCTGGAGCAGCGGGAAGGAGCTGTTGGAGAGCAGGTAGTAGGGGTTGACGGGGATGCAGTGGCCGCCGACGCCGATGCCCGGCATGTACGGCATGTAGCCAAACGGCTTCGTGGACGCGGCTGAGCACACCTCGAACGGGTCGATGCCGTGCGGGATGCACGCGTCGGCCATCTCGTTGGCGTACGCGATGCAGATCATGCGCTGGCAGTTCTCGTACAGCTTGGTCATCTCGGCCACCTCGGGCCGCGACACGGGCACGACGTGGTCGAACACGGCCGAGTAGAGCCTCATGATGCTGTCCAGCGATCCGGGGGCCACGTCGTCGAGGCCGGATATGACCTTGGGGATGGCGTGCGCTGGTGGTTCGATGCGGCCGGGGTCAACGCGCTGTAGTTTTGGTTAGCTCCCTGGATCGTGGATCGTGACATGTTGATGAATCCTGTCTTCACGTACCTCGGGTGACATTCCAGCAAAGAAGCGGCCTGCAACGGCGATGGGCCCGAGAAGCTCCCTTGTCATGCCCACGGCCACAGAGCTTTCGATGACAATGGTACTTCCGGGGCGTGCGTGTGTAGCCACCGTGTCCAGCGCGCTGCGCAGGTACGACGAGTCGATGGACTTGTCGGAAAGGAGCAGTGTGGGGACCGAAATAAGATAGTGAGTGGCCTCAGAGAGATGTTTCGGGTTTGTTGTGAGTTTGACACGGCTGTTGTCTGTGAATTGCTTCTCCACCTCATCGATACGCTTCAGAGATATGTCGTAGCCTAGAGTGTCGTATTTCGAGGAGAAATTCTCGATGAGGTGAGTCCCCACATATCCAACACCCAGCACGGCGACCAGAGGTTTCGTATTGGGAAGAACAGACGTTGGCAGTGCCGAAACGAGGTCCGCTTTAGGACTGTGGTAGTCCAGGGGAGGCGTGGGGGGGAAGAAGTCTTGATCGAGGGACGCCCATTTACGTGCTGTGAGGGCCAAGTCAAGAGAAAGGGGGCCGGGCCTTTTGGGCAGAGTCGGAGCAAGAGTCGCGGCCATGGCAAGGGAAGGGGGGAGGATGATGGATGTCTTCTGGAGGAGACTGGGGGGCTTTTGGAAGTGAAACTGAGGCAAACAATCTGTTACACCTTTGGGTACACCTTGGAGAAGACGATGGTTGATGCGGAAGATGCCTCCTATTCAGCGAACTACGGGCCTGATTTATATCCCAATGAACTGAGGCAAGGAGACTTGGGTCTAGACCATCCATTGAGCAGAATACAAGAATCCTTCTGCCCTTCTGCGAGGGGGACGAGAGTAGGAGCCAAGAGGCTAGCTAGAGCTCGAAGTCCGCCCCTTCGTTGGACCATGGCGGGCCCCACGATCGGGTTTTCTCGTTTGGTTTTTCGTTTCTGGTCTTTTTCATCCGACTCGGGACTGGCCCCTACAGTTGCAGACATGTCATCTAAGCAACTGTGCCGTTGCGAGAAAATTAGAGTTGATGGATGGGTAGTGTCAGGGCCTGGCCATGTGTGGCTCGCGTTAGAGTGACATGCCGGCGATGCCGTGCCTGAGGCCAAGGTTACGGCCTTTAGGTTTTCCACCATTGCGGCTCGCCAAGGCCCGAAGATGTAGACGAGACTGCGGTGGCGTGTGCGGGAACGGGAGATGGGCATGAGCAAGCAATGTCGTTGGTTGGGGGGAACCGGGGCTCGGCTCCGAATGTCTATTTTCTCTCTTACCCAAGTGGAATTTCCAGCCTCGACCCAACGCCACCCGCAATCGGCCATGTCTTAAGTCCACGTTGCTGCCCTTTCTGTTGAGGGGGACCCTAATTATGCGAAGCTTGAGGCTAAAGTGGCCGATATTGAGTTGCAGACCGGCGATGAGGCTCCCCATCGGAACGGTCTCGACCACATATCAAGCGGCACTAGGCTATCGTCGTCGCTTTCAACCTTAGCATGCTGATGAAACCGTACTGGGCTACCTTCTAGGAATAGACTCTGCTGAGAAGATGCACTGCGGACTAACAGCTTGGCATAGATGGTGCGTTGATTCGGATCGCTGGAAAGAGCGGTTCTTCTTTGTCCCCTCCATTCCAACCCGGCCCGCTGGGAGCCGAAAATTGGGAAAGCCGAAACGTGGCCGCCACCTGTTTCCGGCGGGTCCCACATGGCCACATCCAGGTCCCACATCCAGGTCTCACATCTACGTGAAGCCCAACATTCCTGGCCACGCGAACGCTGGGCTTTACTGAGTCATGTGCATGCCAACGAGTTCCATAATTTAGCCATATCTTAATCGTACGGCTTTCGACAGCGCTAACGAGGAGACAGGGTCTGTTCCTGTTGTGTCTACCTATGGGTTGTGTAAGACAAAGGCCGCACTACACCGAATCCGGACCCGGCCTAGGTTTCTCTAGGCCGGTCTTGGCCGGCTGGCTGACCGGGAAGGGGCAACCGCTGTGGCGCCACCCAATCACCCGGGGGTAGGGAATCCTTCCTTGGCTCAGAAAGCATCGGTTTTGCTTACCCCTCCGGATTATTTCCGCTGCTTCCAGGTTTCGCCCCTGTTTATAACTATGACAAGTCGATGGTATTAGTGCTGTCGTCTCTCGGACACCGGTAGTCGTTGAAAATTGACCCCCGTACCTTAACATTCAGACTCGACTCGTGGTCCATCTCTTCCTTCATCGAAAAAGCCCTAATTGCTACAACACCGTTGGGTCCTAAGGCAAACACAATACCACACTTGCAGTCGTCTCAGCTGCAGGTTAGTTGGTCCACATTCAGATATAGCATCCATGACGAAGCCATCCCCCTCGAGGATCCCCCGTCGTCGCTCTTCTACCACGCCAGAAGAGGTACCCGTAAGGAAGGTACGGTCAAGCCCGTCGGCGTCTTCATCGACACGGTCATCTACACGGTCCATCTCATCAAATAGACACCCTCCACTCTCCTACTCCGGGGAGCGATGCCGCTCGTCAACATCTGGTCCATCAACACCTCGTCCCACCAGCCAGGATTCCAACTCACCTCCTCGGCCTATCTCATCCAAGCGATACCCTCCGCTCTCCTACTCGGGCGAGCGTCGTCCATCCGCATCTCGTCCATCCGCATCTGGTCCATCAACAAATCGTCCGTCAACCCCTCGTCCCGTCACTCAGGACTCCAACTACGGAGCATCACTAGTAAGCCTCTTCCCCCCTTCCGTTTACTTTCCCCTGTTGCCATATCCTCCCCAACGTCGACTTCACAGAGTCGCTGACATGGGCTGGTAATTAATAGCACCCATCTGTGGCATCCAATTCCCAATCCAGCAGTCTCTGCTCATACCAGAGCTCAATCAGCCAGGAAGAGGCAAGAAAGCCGTGGGACCCGGATGTCGAGCTGCATAAAGTCTCAAGATCCCTTCTCAGGCTGCAAAAGTATGGACTCCTCTTGGGTTTGGCGTCGACCAACGGAATCCTCATCTGGGCGGCTGTCAGATACCACAAGTACTACTACATCTTTCTTCCCTTTTTGTGCATCAACACATTCGCACAAGTCTTCTTTGCACTTAGCATCATGCTATCAGCGACATACACTGCCATCTCTCGGACGGTGCTCCGGACCAAAGATGAGGTCCCCGAGACCCCCGAGAAGTTTGTCATGATCCTTCCGTGCTACAACGAGGATCGCAACGAAGTCGAGACTTCTCTCAACTCGCTGGTTGAGCAGGAGAAGATCAGCGAGCACCCGCGAATCATCATGGTTGTCGTGGACGGCAATGCGAAGGCTGCCGGCGAGACCAAGTCGACGCAGGACTTCCTGCTCAACGACATGCTGGCCGGTGGCGAGCGCGTCGAGTTCGAGAACGGATACTGCGCGCGGGACGGCTTCTTCATGCCCGTGACAGTCCAGCACGGCGTCTATAGAGGTATCCCGTACATCGTCGTCGGGAAGCGCTACAACCAGGGCAAGCGTGACAGCCTCTGCTTTGCGCGTTCCTTCCTGTGGCACTACCACAACCGCTCGGAGCACATCGCGACCATCTTCAACCCGGCCCTCTTCGATCGGCTTGCGTCGATCCTGGTCAACAATGGCCTCGATGCCGTCGACTATCTCTGCGGCATGGACGGGGACACCATCTTCGACACGGACTGCGTCTACGAGCTGATCAAGGCCATGAGGCGTGGCGGTCCGAAGGTTATCGGCGTGTGTGGAGCCGTGCTTGTCAAGTTTGACGAGAGGCCATGGGGTTTTTGGAACCTGCTCCAGAACACAGAGTACAACATGACGCAGGGGTTGAGGCGAGAATTCCAGTCGCGAGTGACGGGCAAAGTCAACTGTCTGCCGGGTAAGTCTTCTCACGTCTTCTCTTCTCGCGTCTCCTGATTATCTCCTTCATCACCGTCGTCGTCGTCGTCGTCGCTCTCCATCACCTCGTGTTCTGACAAGCCATCCTCCGCCCTCTAGGCTGTTGCCAGCTCATCCGCGTCCGGGAGGCAACCTTTGGCGACAATGTTCTCCGCGAGCGGTTTGGCTATGTCCCGAAACCCAACGACACGGTCACGCAGCAAATCATGGGCGTGTACTCGGAAGATTCTATCCACGCCAGCATCATCTTCTCCCAATTCCCCCAGTCCCAGACTAGGCAGGCGTTGCGTGCCCGGGCCTACACCACGGCTCCGCAGTCATGGTCGGTCTACCTTTCCCAGCGGAAGCGCTGGGCGCTGGGCAGCAAGTCGAACGAGTTCGTCATGATCTTCCGGCCGGGTATCCTGTGGATTGAGCGGATATGTTCGATAATCACAGTCATCACCTGGTGGATTGGCCCCTTCGTCGTCGCCGCAGTGGTGAGCCTGATCATCGCCTTCATCCGCCTGGGCCCCAAGATCTTTGACAACAAGGTCATGATAGGTCTGCTCTCTGTTTTGCTATTCCGATATGTAAGAGAGACACTGATTCCTCGTGATGATCAAGTATCAAGCTGAACCCGGCTAACCCATCAACCAGGTCTACTCGATTTCAATCGTCGTCTGGTTTCCGCATACAGCGATCGGGCGCGTTCGGTACCTGCTTGGTTTCTGCATCTATCTCTTCGCCTCCCCGTTTATGAACCTCACTGTGACCGTCTACGCCCTCTTGCACTGCGACGAGTTCAGCTGGGGCAAGACGAGGGCAGTGGCGGCGGACGACGGTGACGTGAGCACTCCACCAAATGATACACAAACAGCGCAGCAAAAGTTTACGGAGAAGATGCCTCCTCTTTAGACATGTTTATGATGAATGCAAACATAGATTAATGTCATTATTACTTGTAATTAATTAGAGATTAATAGATCAATCAACATATCAAGACGGAAGAAGATGAGGGACATCAAGAGGCTCATCGTACAACACGTCGACTCAGATTCTGACTCTAATTATACGCCTAATGTCTCGTTCCACGGCCGCCAAAACTGGTTATCCCAGCTTGGCATACACCTGACCTTCTCCGGCGGCTCCAGCACCCAGTCGATCCTATTCCCCTCTTCGGTCTGACCCCTCGCCCAGTCCGACGTATACCCCTTCAGGTGCTTGATATCCCTGGCCCTGTCATCCGAGTGCTCGAGATTCACACTCGGCACCACGGCGATCTTCCCAAAACCGCGGAACCACAGATCCTTACAGAACAGCTGCGGCTCGCCCTGCGCGCACTCTCCGGCGCGGGGGGCCCGGAACCTCAGCCCGCCTCCCCCGCCGCCACCGTCCACACCCAGCACCGGCCCCGCCCCAATGGCAGCGGCGCCATTCCAGCACGCGAACACCTGGAACGGCAAATGGGCGTCGAACCGGGCCCTGGTCGCCCCCCCATCCCCCCGGAAGAGGTCCCACGCCGAGTCCCAGCTCCCGTCGGCGGGGATCTCGAAGAACGAGTCGCCGTCCAGCCGACGCGCCACCCACACGTCGTAGAAGGTCGGGTCGCGCCCCGCGTACGTCCAGTCCATGCCGCACGCCATGTCGGCGCCGAGGGCGCGCCGCTGCAGCGCCAGCTCGAGGAGGTCCTCGGCGCAGGCGGCGACGTCGTTGATGAAGAGGATGGTCGTCGTGGAGGCGGAGGCATGGGCAAGCCGGTCGACGAGGGGCTGCAACGCGAGGTTGCGGAGCTGGGCGAGCGAGTCGATGCGGGAACCTCCCGCAGCCGAGGAGGGGTCGATGACGGATGGGGTGTAGAAGTAGGCGAGGCCGAGGTCGTCCTCGAGGAAGGGCCCCAGCGCGGAGAGGACGTCGCCGGTCCCGTCGGGGGAGTTGCCCTCGACGATGGAGAGCACGCATCGGTGCGGGCCCAGGAAGCGGATCGCCTCGACGATGCTCCAGAGCAGGCGCGGGAGGAGGGGGAGGCATTGCCGCAGGTCCAGGGCGAAGAAGTACTCGATCTGCGGGGTTGCGGATCCGCTGGACCGGAGAGGTTCGTAGCGCGACGTGTTTAGGGGGGGACATTCGAGGCGGGGGAGGTCCGTCGCCTCCGGGTCGAAAATGGCTTTGATGTATGGAGTGATGCGATCGGCGGAGAGTATAGTCCCTGGTAGCAGCGTTTAGAGAATCGAACTTGGCATATTTTGGGTCAGTAATGATTGATTGCAGCCTTACCGTCCAGAACAGTGATGGGAGCGGATGCGGCGGAGGAAGCGCCGGACGACACGCCGGGAGGGACATTGGCCGAATCGGGAGAAGAATCAGAAGCCTCGGTGGCAAATGTCGGCCAGGCAATACGGGTGAGGTGGCCGCGGCCGAGGTACAGGCTTGTGGCTATCAAGACGAACGACAGCGCGGGCACGATGAAGAGGAGAACCCGGCGACGCATGGCTGTCGAGACATGCCAGTTACGGAGCATAGGACATGTCGAGGTCGATTGCGGATGGGAACAAGGTGGCGAGGATATTTGGTTTGAGACAAAGGAAGAGCGGCGGCAGCGAGCAACGAGTGCCTCAAATTTACCGACAGTCTGGTTCTGTCGTCCCTGGCGGTTCGTCACCAGCACACGATAGGGTCGCTTACTCTTCACGCCCCGAAGTCGCCTCGTTGCTCCAATCAAACATAGGACCGGATAATGCCAGGCCTGTAGCCAACAGCTCATGTTTAGTTGGCGAGCCAAGGCTGCTCAGGGATATATGGATGTTGGGGGAGGCCGATCTGGGCGAGGATAAAAGGGGGAAGACTCCATCTCCCCCTACCCTTAAGAGCGGGCTTCTACAAGAATCATCGCCTCCTAGGGCTTCCGCCACCACCACCACCACCAAGGACCAGCCATGTCGATACGGGCTGTCATCTTCTTGATCCTGCTTTTCACCCGAGTTTGTATGCCGAGCCCGGCGGTAACATCGCATCCTGCTACTCCTACCTTCCGTCGACACAACGATGCTAGGATCGACAAGCGGGCTGTAACAAGACTCGCCACCGAACTCTCGACATGCGGCTACTTGAATGGTGACCCGAAACTCCCCCGTACAGCAGACCGTGGATACAATTGTCGGGTGGATACACAAAACGGCCTCTGGGGTTTCTGTCCCACATCGGTCCTTGTTGCATCCGACTGCGGACTGGCGGGTAGCTGTGAGGACCACCACGGGTGTTCTGATGGATGCGGTTTGACGGATAAAGAGGACCTGACGACGTTTACCTGGTGGGTGGTGCTTTGATGGGAATCCGAAGGGAGACCGTAGCCAGGACCGAGGAACTAACATTGGTCCAACAGCGACTCGAAAGCCTACTGCTCAACAGCCCTCTTGACCTTTGGTGTTGATCAGACCTACTCCTATATCGCATGCGGAGCAGGGCCGAGCACCGATCATTATCTCATCTCGCCCACCGCCGTCGCGGAGTCAGCCTCGACACCGACAACAACTTCCCGACAACCTTCAACCACAAATTCCGCGACCGAGTCTGAGCACGGGTCCACGTCTTCGAGCCAGAACCTCGAGCCCAGTGTGCCGAGTAGTATCCCTTCGTCAAGCGGCACCGCCCCTGCTACGGCCAGCTCCGACCATTCTTCATCCAACACAGGCTTCATCGTCGGGGGCGTCATCGGCGGACTGGCTCTTCTGTGCGCTTTCGGCATTGCTGCCATATATCTACTGCGAAGGGGCCACGGGCGACAACAGAGTGCCGATACCGTGAGGCGTCAGACGGACCACCACCCGTTGGCCGTCGAGGAGCAGAAACCCCACCGACTCGCCGGAGGATGGGGGCCGCAGGAGCTCTCGGATCACGGGAACCCGGCGGCTAGGAGTCCGGTCGAGTTGGCGGGTTGAAGATTTGTGATTATATGTACAGTACCCATTAGAAGGTCGGCGCTTTGGAGGCGTTGATGAACAGAAGTTCAGGTTTAGGAAGGTGCCAGACAAGGAACGAGGAACACCAACCAAAGAAAGAGAAGCTGAACGTGAGCAACTAATTTCAGGAGAGCCAGGGATTGCTGCCGGCCAGTTCTCTCGAGGCAGTTCCCTCCAGGGCTGCGGTGGCCGGTAGGACGATATGAATACGTGCAATTCAACCTCGATGGACTGCGAGATAGGTAAGCGTTGTATTGTATGTGTACGTACACACCATCATCAACATCGACATAGTCCACATGACGCCGTCCATGTTCAACCCAAGGGGGAATTCTCGAGGTATGCGGACCCCACCTCCTTCATGGCTTGGCTGGTCTTCATCGTCGCATGAACAACCGCTTGTGGATGGTGAGCTGCGACAGGGACAGGGGGCTTAGGGAAGGTCCACTTTGGTGGCTTGCCCGAGAAAGACTGCTTAGGCCCTGCTTAAAGGGCTTCTCGGACTTGGGTGGTACGTGAGCCAGAGGCTGCAAGGGGATCCGAGGGGACCGGGTCCATTGCTTAAAAGCATTGTTGGAGCTCACGCTCAGGTCCGCAGAGAAGCCGGAGAGAGCTACGAGAGGGGACGCAAAGCCGGGCAGTCATACATCACGAGGGACCAAGTTCACGAAAGGATAATAATACAGGTGTGATAGAAGTGAAATATCGACGAGCCATTACCGACACATTAACTTTCCATTAAGTATCCATGCTTCCCATCATCAACAAACAAACCTCGGCCCAACATCCTAGATAACCAAAGCAACAACACCGGCCACGATACCGGCAGCAACAACGCCAGCACGAACCTTGGCGACGCCGGCGGTGACGATCTGCGACGAGGTAGGGTAGGCCGGGATGGTCACGGCGGTGGAGCCGACCGGGTAGGCGCTGGTGGCGAGCGTGGTGGTCGGGTAGGCGGGGTAGGCGGGCTGCTGCGCGGTGGTGGCCGTGTAGGCGGGCTGGTGCACGGTGATGGGCGCCGCATGCGAGGTCGGGTAGACCTTGCCGCCGGGACCCCAGGGGATGTCAGAGGCCAGGCCCGTGTAGGTGACGACGGGCACCTCGGGGTACCAGGTGTGGGTGGTGGTGTGGTGCTTGGTGGTCAGGTGGCCGACGGGGCAGTTGGTCACGACTGGTGGGCACGAGGTGATGGTGTAGATCTCCTTGACCTTGTACGTCGTCGTGTAGGTCGGCTTGGCGGCGTAGGCGGTCGTGGTCGGGTACGTCTCTTGGCCGGGGCACCACGTGGTCGTGAGGGTGACGTACTCGGTGGTCTCGTAGCCGCTGACGGTGTACACGTTGGACGAGGTGTAGGTGGACGTGTAGGTGGGATAAGCCGTTGTGCCGTTGCCGGTGGGGTACGGGACAGTGCCGTTGGGATTCACGTAAGTCGGGGCGGAGCCGGTTCCGGTGGGATAGACGGGGCCGGTCTCGGTGGGACCAGTCTCGGTAGGGCCGCCAGTCTCGGTGGGGCCACCGGTCTCAGTAGGGCCGCCAGTCTCGGTAGGGCCGCCAGTCTCGGTGGGGCCGCCAGTCTCGGTGGGGCCGCCAGTCTCGGTGGGGCCGCCAGTCTCGGTGGGGCCGCCAGTCTCGGTGGGGCCACCAGTTTCAGTAGGACCACCAGTTTCGGTGGGACCGCCAGTCTCAGTGGGACCGCCAGTTTCAGTAGGACCGCCAGTCTCGGTGGGGCCGCCGGTCTCGGTGGGACCGCCAGTCTCGGAAGGACCAGTGCAGTCGCCGGTGAGGGACGGAACAGCGTCGGGGCCGGAGCCGATAGCCACAAGGTTCTCACCGCAGTTGTCGGCCTGGGCGAGGTGGAGGTTGTAGTTGTCCTGGTCGTAGACAACGTAGGCGGCACGGAGGAATGAGTCGCCGAGAACAGGGGACTCTGCGTTGCTCGTCAGTCACCAGTCTTCCAGGAGCCGAGGGTCAGACAAAACTCACCGTCATCGGCCAGCAGGCCAACAACACAGAACTCGCTCTCGGGGATGTGCCAGATGAAATCCTTGTAAGCGACACGGATGATCTTGTTGCCAAAGCCAAAGTCGACGGATCCGTCGCCCTCGGTGAGGGAGCAGTCGACGACGTAGAATCCAGACCCGGCATCGAATTGGACGCCAGGGAACGAGGAGCCGATGGCGTTGTAGAGGGGGGTGGGCAGGCGGCTCAGGGTGCCACCGCTGTCGAGGAAGACGGGGAAGCCGGGACCGTCAAAGAAGGTCTGCTCGGTACCGTCAGGCAGGGTGACGCCAACCGAGTCCAAGCCAATCCAGTATCTGGGCAGGGTCCGAGTCAGCTTGAGGCATGATGCGTCGGGTGGTATGGAGGCTTACCGGTTTCCCAGAGTCTCGGTCAGGTCAATAATCGGGAGCTTCTCGAGGGCACCGATGTACTTCTTGGTGTCGATACCGCCGAAGATGACGGAACCTAGAGCCATTAGCCCAACTGTCGAGAGCAAGAGGGAAGCGAGAGGAGCGAAATACCATCATCAGGCGAGTCAATGCTCCGTAGGTCGAGAGTGAAGGCGCGGCTGTTGATGAAGCCCTGCTGCTTCAAGCTGTCGAGAATATAGGGATAATCCGGGTCAAGCGACGACAGAGCCGGGGCGAGACCCATAATGCCTGCCGGGATGTCACTGCTGTCGGTGGCCACGCCGAATATCTGTTGCTGGATCCTCGCAGCTAAGCCGAGGAGCGTTAGTTACCAATACTGTTCGAACTCGAGCCATGTTTCGCTTCCACTGGTGGAACTTACATCCGACGGTCACAAAGTCGGCGACGTACTCGAAATCGACAAAGCCCTTCCCGTAGCCGATCTGACCCTGGACGCCGAGGTCGACGAGAGAGCTGCTAGAACTGGTGTCAAACTGCGGCAGAGTCTCGCAGAAGGCCGTGTTGTCGTCACTACCAGCGGCGGCTGTCGGAGCAAACCAAAACCTGTCAGCGACTCCGGAGCTACTGCTAGACCCGGCCGTGCCGGAGGTTCCGGACGAGAAAACTTACCGCAATTCGGGTTAACCCAGAGCTCGGAAGAACCCGTGTCGATAATCACCGAGACATCCTGTGCGGGGGTGCCGATTCCCAGGGTGATGGTGTAGAGGGTGCCGCCGCGCTGGTCGGTAAGATGCACACCATTCTGCCTCTTTGAGATCCAGTCGTTTGACGACTCGGGCAGCTTGGCGGTGACGGCATGGCGGATGAAGCCGTCTCCGACACTGCCACCAGCAGCGGCGGCGAGTGCCGGAAGGGCGGCCAGGAGGGCCAAAGAGAGAGTGGACGACATTGGCTTTTGAGTAAACGAAGGATTCAAAAGTCTGTCGAGAAAAAAACACACAAAAAAAGAGTGGATGGAGAAGTTGGTGGTGGAGCAGAATCCCGAATCTCGGGAGAGGGTCGATCGCCCTTTATACAGCGGGGAAAGGGTCCCATTCTCCAAGCAGTCCAAGGCGCCAGCAGTTCTCGAACAACATTACATGACGGTTGTGGAAATTAGGGCGCTAATTTAGCTGGGGGCTGGGGGGTTTGCTACTGCGTGGTAGTGGGCCAGTTCAGACTTAAAGGGGCTAGGTAGTGGGCTTGGTGGCCTTTGGCAAACTTGGTAATCTTGGTAATGGAGGGTCACTGACCTCTCACCTCAACGCTGTAGGGCTGGCGACCCATCACAGTCTTGGCGTGCATGGGCAAATTAGGATCTCCAATCCTCCTCCCCCCCTTCCGCCCCTTCCTCCCCCTGCAGGGCGTAATTTTGGCAAACCCCCCAGACCAAGCGTCCGATGTTGCCGATATGCGGCTGACATGCCAAGCCGTGCTTATTTTTCCTCAACGCCGATGCGTCGTGCTTGGTGGCATTGCTTGGTGGAAATTGGTGCCTGAAGAAGTTGCAGAGCCTCTTCATTCCTCATAACGGGGGGCGTGGGGGTGTGAAGAGCGGGAACAAAATGCTTTCGTCTCGCTGTCTTGGGGCAGTGTGGAAAATAAATGGGACTGAGTGATTGCCCGGTTACTGCGGCTCTGCGGTTCCTCAAATACCTAATTTATTTAACCTTTCGCTCGGTGCTGAGCGCGCCCGGTTTTTGTCATTCGCGAGATTCCCTTCACCCACGTGCAGCAGTGTTGTTTCTCGAGCCGCAATAATTAATCTGTGCTGTGTGCGGGGACTGTTGGTGTGTGCGGGACTGTTGGTGTGTGCCCGCTGTCGGGTGCTCTGTCAGCTCGGGCTAACGATGAACCAAGCGCCGGTCAGGAAAAACCGGGAAACCGATCCCCCTATTGGCTCTATTGAATGAATTACAGGGGTCTTCCGAGGTACCTAAGCTTGTTTTGTGGATCTTTCCCAACCTGGGTTGCAATGCGACATATGCGACGGCCCCCTGAGCCCGGCCGTCCTTTTGGGTGTATGTACATATGTACTGTACTTACTGTACTGCGTCAGCCCCAGCTCACCTTCCCGCCCTCCGACGGCTCTGGTGACTGACTGGTCATCGCTCTCCCACCCAAGCCTCCCGTTCGCAGCCTTACTTAGTGCCAGGCCCTTGCACATCATGCAAGGTCAGGGAAAATCGTCACCATCATGCAGGGGCCGCAATAAATGCCCCGTCGAAAGTCTCCACTCACCCTCTGTCAGGTTCTGGACCGGCATCTCTTTGACGCGACAGATGGTGTTGACTCCGCAACGAGGCACGTAACTGGTCGAGCCATTGCGGTTCAACGACTCAGCCGCAAGCAACGGCGCTCCGCAAAAATGCAGGTCGGCGCACCTCGGCCTCCGAAAGACACGATTCTCTGGGTTGACACCCCCGTTGGGTAGCTATGTATTAGCAACTGATGTGGGGTGATTCCTTCTGGGCAGATTGTGCTGTTGTGCGAGCTGATTTGGGGCTCAACTGATGGGAATTGAACCCGTCCCCGCTTTTGCCCTTACCGCCTGCCCATATTGCTGACTGTGGGAATCGCAGCCTTACGCGTAGAAGGGCACACTATTGGCGCTTCAGGGTGGGACGCCCCTATCACGTCAGGAGCGATAGCCCGGGTCAGTGGTCCCGGTAGGGGGTGTCGATGATGGCGTGGTTGGTGGAGTGGATCTTACCTCGCTTGGTCATCAGGTTACACAGCTTGGACTGTGGTCCTGGACCTCGTGTGACTGGTACCATTGATAGGCGAAGCCAATTCTCCTCGACGCGCCCATTTCTATCCCAGTTCTTCATAGTGTCCAGCCAGCTATTTGCCGGGATGCTGCGAGTTAGAAGATTGGCCATGTTTTGCCTGGCTAGCACGGGGAAACTATGAGAGACCTTGGAGTTAATGCTCCGTGCCGTAGCACAACGTTTCATTTGAACTAATTATGCCCAAGCAATGTCAGCTGCTTTCCTTCATCCCGAAGGCTTGCTGGCCAGGCCATCTCCGGCCCGTGACCCCTTTACCCAATGTTAGTCACATCCCCTTGCCCGCTCAGACTGACTCGCCGTGGATGGGCGGTGTTCAGACCAGGGGTTTGGACTCTCCTTTGGACTCTCCCAATCCGTAGCCGAATTTCTTCCTCCCTCCACGGGCGATAACCCAGGGACGTGTTGTTGCTTTGGGTCCCACGCAATCTCTGTCATGGCCCGGATGTCTGAATCGCTGGCCGGCTCGCAAAAAATGGTCAGAGAGAAGCTTTTTGTTGCAAGTCAACGTGCGCCCTCGAGGCATCGGAGAGCACCGGAAACAAGATACCGGAGACAAGATCAACTCTGCCATCTCCCATCGAGAAGCAGTTGATCTATCGTCAACAGCCACGCGACTGTGGTCCCAGCATCGACACACCTTATACTGAGACACACCCAATCCCCAACATGCCAACCCGAACACCGACGTCCATCAACCCGCCGCTTTCTTTGTGGGCTTCGACACCCGGACCAGAGGTTCCCCAGGAAACACCAAAATGCAGTCTGGCACCAGGCCGTCCCCAAGCTCAGGACTCCCAAATCCCCCCTCCAACTCTTTGACATCGTTGACCACAGCCTCGTTGGCGACAAACCGACATGCAAATTCTCCGAGACCCAGCCGGCCATTCGCCCGGCCCCGAATGATCTCCTCCTTCGAACCCTTCCGAAGACACGAGCGACCACCCTCCTCGAAACAAGACGTTGCTGACGACCTATGCTATCGGCTTCTCTACCACACTGTCCTCCTCCATTCACGGGGGACGGACACATGGGCAAATGCAGCTGGGGAGGGCGAAGGCGAAAGGGGCCTCGGATAGCTGGAATTTTGCAATCTCGAAGGGCAATGCACCTCAAAGAAGTGGAAACATCTTCCCAGCGGAACGCAACACAGTTCAGTGTGACCACCAGCGTGTCCCGAATGTGAATAGCATCATCTCCAGCATTTGTCTTGGTGGAGCTGGTAAGCATTTGAGCATGCACCACTTTTCACGACTTCTCAACCCAAGAAAATGTAGAAGCTGTCATCAACATTCCCGCTCTACAATAATTATCCACTCTTTCATCACCGCCACTTGATGCCGCCCCTTTTCTTGCCACGCGGGACTCGGTAACTTCAGTCTTCAGGCCGAGCAATCCCATACAAACTTGGCAACCCCATGGATGCTTGGTTAAGCCTCCTCGCGCATTCCGTTCTTCTGTCGCGTCTGCCGAATCTCGGCCGCAACAACATCAACTGCGTCTGGGGATTCCGTGGGGTATTTCTTAAACAGGTAGGCGAAGAGTACCGTACCGACGGCCAAACAACCCATCCAGGCCGTTGTCACACTGGGAAAGAGTTAACCTGACTGCTTCATCGAAGACGGAGGATGGAAGAAAACCTACCCAAATCCCACAGTATACTGGGGTGCATCCTTATCCGGCCAAAGCCACGATCCGTAGATGGAAGAGGCGTTTCCGAGGGAGTTGATCAGGGCGATGGAGATGGCTCGCTTCTCGGCTGGATAGCGGACCACTTCAGCGCCCCAAGTCTTGACCAAAGGCGAGCAGCCGTAGATGATGCCGAAAGCGAAGATGGCAATGACGTCTTTGAGAGATTAATTAGTGTCCCCTTCTTCCTTTCCAAGTTTACCCCGGGTCAGTAGACTGAGGAACCACTTACATCGAGCCATATTGTCGGTAGCTGCGGTGACCGCCGTGAACAAAACCGTCCCAACAGCGGAAACAATAGCGAGAGTAACCCATTTGTTTCTGAAGTAGTCTGCAGAGAAGCAAAATCCAAGAATGCAGACTACAGCAAACATGTATCCGGGAATGGTGTGGTCTAACATGATTAAAAGTCAGCATCAATCGTGTGACCTAGGACCAAGCCCGCTGCTACGGGCGGATAATTGGTGGGCAAGAGAACTGAACTGACACTGGCCCTGTGCTCCCTTCCAGCCAAAGGCTTCAACCAGCGACGGGATGAAGTACTGCATCGTCTGCGAGCCACAGACAAGCATGAAGAGGAACGTAAACGCCCACACACGCCAGTCCCTGACCGCCAACATGAATGCCTTCTTGTTGGACATGCGCTCGTGTGCACCTTGTGCCAGACCAATGCCGTCAAGTGCGAGGCGGTGGCAAGCGAGAATGCGCTCCTCCTCGGTAAGGAACTTGGTGGCGGATGACGGGTATTCTGGCAGGAAAAACCAGACGATTATTCCGGCGAATCCAGAAACTGCGCCTTCAATGATCTAACGCACGATCAGTTAGAAAATGGCAACACACGACGGGGGACCACGTAAATTTTTTTTTAAAAAAAAAAAAAAACTTACAAAGAGCCATTGCCATCCAGGTATCCCCCGAGCACCATCCATATGCTCGGTAATGACGCCGGCCAGAAGACCGGACAACCCGCCAGCCAGAGCAACCGAGGTGTATATGATGGCATAGCGTGCGGCAAGTTCGTGTGTGCGATACCAGCAGGATAGGTAGAAAGCGCAACCGGCGGCGAATCCCGACTCAACTGCGCCCAGAACAAAGCGGCATCCGACCACATCTGTCCAGTTCTTGGTTGCTGCCATGGCGCACACCGTAATGCCCCAGAGAACCGCCAGCGAAGCCAGATAGGTGGACGGTTTGACCCGGACCAGGATCATGTTGGACGGGATCTCGAAGATGGTGTACGAGACGAAGAAGATCAGCACGATGATGGAGTACTGGTTGGAGGTTATGTGGAACTGCTCCTGCATGCCAGCAGTCTTTGCATTTCTGTTTTTTGACGCTCCCAGTTAGCTCCTTGCACATGCCCTTGGCTGGGAAGAAAACCACATGTCATACCCAATATTTGACCGGTCAAGATAGCCCAAGATGTATAGGATCCAGCAGCACGGCTGAGAGAAAATGCCTGTTAGGAGTCTTGCTTCCAGAGGATTTGACGAGGGGAACGCACAAGAAGGCGATAGTCCAGCTTGCGGAGCAGCTTTTTCTCGGCGGCCGAGCCTTCGACGTAGTCTACAGCCAGGGCAGCGGCATGCTGAAAATCGGCAGACTTCTTCTGGTCCGCATCGTCGACCTCAACGTCCACATGCTCTACCGTATTCGAGGGAGTGATTGCGTTGACCTCCGCCGGCTCGGCGGCAGCCGGACGCCGCTGGCCGAACGATTTCATGAAAGACACCATTTCTGTTCACGGTTCTCAAACAGATGAACTACTGGGCTTGGATTTCCTCCGTCGATGGGTCTTCTTCTGCATTTAATATGGGCTCCATCCCTTCCCTAGCTTGCCCCGACCGCCGTCGGGCTCCCCGCTTGGGTATATCGGGCAGTCGGCGACAGCGCCGAGATCTACGTCGCGCAACTCCGCGATGTGGAGAGAGACGCGATGGAACCACCCAATTCCGCGTTAGCACCGCTGGGTACCGACGATCATTGCCTAGTCGTCTCTCCCCCGTGGGGTATCCCGTAGTCGGCGACAGCGCCGAGCTTCATCTCGCCATGTTCTCTGGTGCGGAGAGTCTCAGCGAGATCACCTTCCAAGTCTGCGTTAGTCCCCTGTTGAGGGTGAAGTCCCAATTCCAGGGTCATGACCTGCACGAGTTGTTCTTACTGGAGCTGCGGAAAATTTTAGCCGGCTCGGAGGCACATATCTCCACATCTACTGCATAGTAGAGCCATACCTAGAAAGGCTGGAATAGCTGCAATCTCGGAGACAGCTCCGACTAGATTATGGCTTGCGGAGACGCTGCCGAAAAACTCAGAACATAAGTCCCTTTGGTCTCCAACCCCAAAACCCCTCATCTGGCCAATGGTCCCTGCTCAACTGAAGAGGTAAAACAACGTTGCGCTAGTCCAGTAATTAAATTACTTCTCACAACAACCCAGCAATCATGACAGCAACCCATCGCCGCCCTCGGGTGGCCCTCACAATGGGCGACCCCGCCGGCGTCGGCCCCGAGCTGGCGGCCAAGCTCCTCGCCAACCGGCAGAACCTCGAGAAGGCAGACATCCTCGTGCTGGCCGACAAGTCCGAGGTCGCCGCTGCCGCCCGCGCCGCCGGCGGCGCGGCACTCGCCATCGCGGAGACGGCCGGGCCGACCGGGGCGCAGATCCTGGATGACGGGAACACGGCCGAACTCCCGGCCATCGAGCTGGGCAAGGTGTCGGCGGATGCGGGGGCGCGCGCTATGCATCAGCTGCGGAGGGCGCTGGACCTGGCGAGGAAGGGAGAGGTCGATGCCATTGTGTTTACGCCGCTCAACAAGACGTCGTTGAAGATGGCGGGCATGAAGGAGGAGGATGAGCTGCGCTGGTTTGCAAATAACTTGCAGTACGAGGGGACGACGAGCGAGATCAATGTCATTGATGGCCTGTGGACGGCGAGGGTGACGAGCCATGTCGGAATCGAGAAGGTGGCTGGCCTGATCACGAAAGAGACTACGCGGGATGCCATTGTCTTGCTGCATCGCCTCTTGTAAGTTGTTCTTTCTTTTGTTCTCGGACATGTGTTGTCGCACAACATGATGAGGAACGGCCAGAAGAGTGAAGCTAAGCTGAATTAATGGCTGACTCGGGAGGGGAAACACACAGATGGGAATCAGGTATCGAGCATCCTCGTCTGGCTGTCTGCGCATTGAATCCTCACAACGGAGAAACTGGGCTCTTTGGACGGCAGGAGATCGACCACATCATGCCCGGTATCGAAGCCGCTAGGGACCTCGGTCTGGGCATCAACGTGGAAGGGACTTTCCCTTCTGATACCATTTTCCTCAAGCGGTCTCAGTTCGACGGCATTGTCACCATGTATCACGACCAGGGCCAGATCGCCATGAAGCTCATAGGATTCGACTCGGGCGTGACCGTGCAGGGCGGCCTTCCCGTCGTGATCGCGACGCCGGCCCACGGCACGGCTTTCGATATTGTTGGAAAGGGTATAGCGAATGTCGGGGCGAGCCAGAATGCTTTTGATATTGCCGTTACCATGGCGAGGAGAAGAATGGCGGCGGCTGCGGCGCGATCGAGTTGACCGAGTAACTGGAGGTTGCAATTGGGGGATTCATGACATCAAGTGTACGGATAGCCTACCGTAAAATTCTAGTTCAAGATCGGCATTAATAATGTCTTAGATACAGATCGGACCCGACGATCGACGATCCCCCTTCCCGGCGTCTCAGTCTAAATGCGGGATAGGTAATTAACGCTGATCTTTTGCAAGGACTTCCAACCAAGTGCTTTCTCATAGAGGAATTAAGCCCGTCCGAATAAGACAGAGTAATGATAGCGAATTATATAACTCCCCGGATTATCGTATCTCGGACGTCATGAGACAATTTCGCCGTCGACTAAGAGTGATCCCCAGTCTTAACCGTCCCACCCATCATTGGCGCAAAGCTTGGACGTTGTGATGATGGCATCGCTTGCCGACGCGATCCTCGCCTCGCTAAGTGACCATAGAATATATTATAATTACTAGAAGCAATAATTCCAGTCCTTACTCTTGGCAGCGGGGGATGTTGAAGGAGTGAGTTGGAACGGAAATTCAAATTCTTGCTGTAGATTGGTAACGATATTCACATCGAGTGGCATCTGAGGTCACACCACGATGGCGTACCCCTAAACTCCACCCAAGCCCAAGCCATTCTCAAATGCAGGGCCACTTCCACTCCCGGTGCCTCCCGCGCTTACATGGTGGGATGATTGCCGCCCGGCGCTACAAAAGCACTTTACCCAATTGCGCATGATTTTCCGAGTCGATGAACGCGACATGTCGTCTCAATCATCTGCTTCTTCCGTGTTTGTTTATTGTACGGGTAAATCATCAAGATCTGCATTGCCATCATACTCTTATTATTGACGCGCTCATACTCCTATTGATAACCCACATACTCTTATTGTCGAATGACCGGAATATTATCAACCTTGTTCAGCTGTCTCTGCTCAGCTATCTCTGTTCACCCCCAGATCACAGTCCAAGACACGAAGCCGGGCATCAAGATCTCTCAAGATCTCGCGAGATGGCATCTTTCGTCATCACTATTTCATCTGGACTCTCTACCTACCCGCCGGTACAGTCGGACCGAAGTTCAGCACTGTCTGACGATATATGCACTCGTTAGCTAAAGTTTGCGAGGGCATGACGTCCGTGATATGGGGCGAGTTGAGCATTCTATAGCTCTTAGAGTAATTATATATACCACAATTCTATCTGCCCATCCCGACACTTGTCTCTAAATCACCACAATTCCTGACTAGTACCTGCGTACCTGCTACTATTACCTCTGAACAATGGAGAAAGCCAGGCAAGCCGTCAAGGGTTTCGTTTCCGGCAGTGGGAAACACCGAACAACCGTCGACGAGGATGTTCGGAGAGCCGTTTCCGACGAGCATGTTCGTCCACACCAACATGAAGAGATAACCACTGCCGTCGAGAAGGAGATCCACCAACACCATCACCACACAACCGTCCAACCCATCACCGTTCAGGATACCCTGTAAGTCTCTCGCCCACTGCCTCGCCTCCTACCCTGATATGGTATCATCTTATTAACAGTATACTGCTCAGGCCTGAGAAGCACGTGAACAAGGCCCTCCCCGTGGAGCATAAATCATTCGATCATGCCAACGAAAGGGACCTTGCCGCCGCCCTTGACCGTGATGCCGCCCAGTACAAGGACAGCTCCGTTACTCACGCTACCACCCGGTCCACTTCCTCTGCAGGCATCATCTCCGGCGAGAACATCCACCATCACGTTCACGAGCACATCCAACCGATCATCCATAGGGAAACTGCCGCTCCCGAGATTGTCCACACGACTGTTCCTATCCACGAAGTCCACAATGTGGCACCGGTGTTCCATGGAACCTCGACCCTGCCTGCCAAGACACTGGAGGAATTCACGGGCGGCAAAGGCGGCACGATCGAGGGAAGAGGGACTGCGAAAGTGAGCGAATTTGAAGGCTGTCCCAAACCCTACAACAAGGAACTGCAGGCCGAACAACTCGAGGCGGACAAGGTCTTGCAAACACACTCCCATGGCCAGGCCAGTGGTGTCCCCAATGGTAATACCGTGGGCAATGCCGATGCCAATGGCCCTACTGGTTCTCCCAGTGCTCGATCGCAGGGACTGGGAAGTAATAAGCCCATGAACAAAGCTGACGTATGTAAGTCTACCATCGCGGTACACCCCACGCTGCTTGACCAAATTGACTAATCCATCCACTTTTAGTCGCCGTCTGATTCCGATCTCGATGGTCCCAGTACTCGTAATCGTGCTGCGTCCAATGGATCGTCTTCGTTTGCGGATAAGTTGAATCCGTTCAAGGATGCCAATGGAGACGGAAAGAAAGGGTTCTTCGGCTGAGCATGGATGTAGTAATTATCTCAAAGTTGGTATTCTAGTGTATTTCCGTTGTCAGTTTCAAGTACTATTAGTTATAGTAGCACCGTTGATTTCTACTATTTTAAACAAATGCACATTCTTTAGTGTTAGCCTATTCGTTGCTAAAGATATGCTCCCCCATCTCGCGTCAAATCCCTCGCATATCGTCAAACCCGGGACTTGATGATCCTAAATACCGGCCTGATATGTGGGCTTCTTATCGCCCCAGTGCTTCAGGAGTCGTATTTGGGGACTCGGGCGTCGGCTCCGGAGCACAGGAATGAGACCTCATATTACCCCGTAGTCGGTGAAGAAAAGGATTCCGGAGGAGAGTGGGGCCTCGTGGAAGACGGATTTCAATGGTGTCTTGACCCCGCTCCAATTTGACGGCACATGTATTTGATCACCTCCAGGTTTTCCAACGCTACAACAACAACAACACCCTGATATTACTGCGATGGAGTCATTCAAGTTAAACCTCCCCAACGGCGCCATCGTTAGCGGTCTCCACAACATCCCGCCGCCGTCCCCATCCTCGTCGCCCAAATATCGCCCCCTGCTTGTCGGTCTCCACGGCGCCTCTTACAGCGCCCTCTACTTCGATGTCGACGACACCCGCACAGCCCGCCTGTCCAGCGACGGCCTCGGCGTGCCCTTCGTCGCCATCAACCGGCCCTGCTACGAGGACTCCACCCCCTTCTACCCCATCCCCGACGGCTCCAGCTTCCCCGAGCAGTTCGGCCTCTGGCTGCACAAGTTCATCCTCCCCGCCCTGTGGGCGGAATACGGCTCGTCCCAGGGATGCAACTCCATCGTGCTCGACTGCCACAGCCTGGGCGCGACCGGCGCCATCATTGCCGCCGCGTTGCACGCCCAGGACCAGGACCAGGATCAGGACCGCGGCGCCGGCGCATATCCGCTGGCGGGGCTCATCGTGTCGGGCTTCGGGACGCAGCCGGTCGAGGCCGAGGACCATCTCACATCATCCGACGTCGCGGCCGACCGCACATCGCTGGAATTGATCGAGATGCCATCGGCGGCCAAGGATGCAGCCATGTTCGCCCCGGGCACGGTGGATGAGGCGGTAATTGCGCAGGGCGAGCGGCTGAACAGGCCGGTCCCGTCAGAGGAGATTCGGTCGCTGCGAAAGGTGTGGCTGCCGAGGTGGCGGGCCGAGTGGGGGGCCAGGGTGCGCGTGCCGGTCATGGTGGCGGTTGCGGAGCGGGACGCGCTGTGGACGGGGACGGAGGGGCACCTGAGGGACTTTATGGGGGCGTTCTCGGGCAGTGAGAGGGTCGACGGGAGCTTGGTGCGAGGCGCGCCACACTGCATCGAGCTGAGCTGGTGGAGTCAGGGATGGTACGCGAGGTGCTTTGGGTTTGCCATTGAGTGTGCGGCTAGCTTTGGCGTCGCGGGAGAATAAGCTAGCGACAAATTGTCCTCATAAGAGAGGCTATGGAAGCCTTCTAGAATCTAGATTAAGACTTCCATGTAACACGACGAGGAAAGTCACTTTGTACCGAGGTTCGTGCGCACCGGACGGAGGCTAAGCCCGTTATGATTTCAAGCGGATATTTTGTGGGGCCCGCCATTCATTCACCCTGAATAAGCATGAGATAATCGCTGGTCACCCAAATAACGTCGGATTGCCATGACGTATTATTACTTAGTCACGACATTTACAATGCTCACCAAAGCCTTGACAAAATAAAAGTCTCTGCCCTTGTCGTGAGTTCTCGATTCCTCTCGAAACGCCTTGGTGGTCATCTAATTATATTTATAAGTCCTTTAATTCTTCCCCTCTTTTGTCTTGCGTTTAGATTTCCATATTTCACCTTAAACAATTCAGCACTACCCAAGTCATTGCTTTAAAAGAGAGACCATTGCTCCAGCGAGACGCTACTTCAACTCTCGGAAAACTTCAAACAACCATTACTTCTTCATCTTCTTCGACTGTGGCCACCACACCAGGACACATCACTTTCGAATCACACAGCGAACGTATGCTCAACACAGCCAAATCAGCCATGTCAACAACTCTACGACACGCCAAAATCACACCGCACCGCTCCGGTGCCCGTGGTCACGCAGACCACGGTTGGCTGAACTCGTACCACTCCTTTAGCTTCGCCAACTGGTACGATCCTCGCTTCAACAACTTCGGTTCGCTGCGAGTGCTGAACGAGGACCGCGTCAAGGCCAACTCGGGGTTCCCCACCCACCCGCACCGAGACTTTGAGATCTTCAGCTATATCCTGTCAGGAGAGCTGACCCACCGCGACGGCATGCTGCGCAAGGGTGCCGAGGGCGGCCAGAGCGACCGTTTCTACCGGATGCACCGGGGCGACGTCCAGTTCACAACGGGGGGCACTGGCATCGCCCACTCGGAGATGAACGAGCACAAATCCGATACTGTCCATTTCCTCCAAATCTGGGCCACACCATGGAAACGAGGTCTGACGCCGCGCTACCACACCCGGCATTTTGACGAAGAGGAGAAGCGCAAAGGGTTCGTCAAGATCCTCAGCCCCTTAAAGGCCGGCGAGGACGCTACTGCCGCCGAGGAGAAGGAGGCCGAGCCCGCGATTCCGGGGACGATCCCGATCCACGCCGACTTTGTCATGGGCGCTGGGATTATCGCACCCGAGGGCAAATTTGAGTGGAAAGTTGGCTCGGACGCCACGCGGTCAACCAAGAGGAAGGTCTATATTCACCTCCCCACCACGAAGGGCGGACGTGCTAGGATCAGGCTTGACGGACGGGATGACGCAGTGCTCGAAGAGGGAGACGGCGCATTTGTGGATGCAGTTCACGCTGGCGACAAGCTAGTTGTCGAGAGCGTGGGGACAGCAGAGGCTGAGGTTGTTGTTTTGGATACGGCTTGATGAATGGGCCAACCTTGGATAAGATAAAACGAGCGACTAGAGTGATTTATTAGATGTATAATATGGGATGTAGATTAGCCTCGTGGATATCAAAAGCGAAGTATCGCACATTTCATGACAACTTCGCCTGTCTTGTCCATCTTCGTCATCAGCGGAATGGTTTCTTGACTGAGTCATTGTTGCTTAGCATCCGTGATGTCAAACACCAAGTTACCATTTCACAAAATGGAAACGAGGCAGGATTTTGAGATCAAATGGGTTTAAAGTAGATGATCGATTGCCGATCGTTGCTATCTCAGGACCAAGAGAAAGAAGAACGAGAATCTGATGAACGTCATCCGACAAGATGAGAATTGAGACGATCTTCTCTCCCAATACCATGCTACACGGAGAAAAAGAAGTCGAAGGTTCTACTCGATTCCGTACCTGGCAGTGGCTATCCAGAATTTGCCGAGCTGTCATAAACGCTGATCAAACACCCGGCGGAAGGTTGCCGAAATTGTCCACTCTCAGACTCGAAGAGTCTCAGATTTGGACCATCCATTGTATGTCGCCACAAATTATGCACAAATTCCTTGAATTGGGTTCCTGGAAGAATGGGAAGCATTGAGTAAACCATCAGGTCCCTCGTCTCATGTGAGGCTCGAGGCTGCAGGGGGTTCGTCGAGTGTTTCCCACCCCCCACTGTTGAGGGGATCGTCGTCTGAAAGCCCGCGGCTCCACGACTGCCGACCAGATTAAGCGTTGGTTAAATAGTTGCAGATCGTTCGAGGCATTCAAGATAAATCGACCCGTTTCTCTCGTGCCAAGCATTTTCCTTGAACTTCCCTCGTTCTTGTTTGCTTTTTCTTCGTCGACATTGAAACGCACACCGTCCTCTCGAATAGGAACATTCCTTTCGAGCTCTGAAGAGATCTTTTCCAAACAACCTAGGAGGTAGCTAAATATGAAGTCTTCATTGCTGTTTCTCGGCAACATTGCCGCAGTTTTCGCAAAATCCCCTTTTGCAGTGCGTCTCCGAGGGTACTGCTCCTTATGACCAGTAATTATTTACTAACTAATTGATCAATATCAGGGTATCAACATTGCCGGTTTTGACTTTGGATCAGACATCCAGGTAATTACTCCAGACCCAGCCAAACCAACACCAAGAAATGTTACTCACGCATGTAAAGGGGGCTCAAAATATAAGCAACTCCTTTGGTCCAGTCGCTACTCTTGGGAACGGAAACAGCGATGGCGCCGCGCAAATACAGCACTTTGTCCAAACCGGCGGACTCAACACATTCAGACTACGTAAGCCTGGAACATTTCCGAGCCACGATTATGCTGGCCACCCAAGCAAACAATACTGACAAGATTTCACTCAGCGGTTACATGGCAATTCCTGATCAACAGCCGGAACCTGAATGGCTCGGCAACTGCGGTGACCGGCACCCCCTCGAACGGAACGCTGGATCGAACGAAGACGGCGCAATACAACCAGCTTGTCAGGGCATGCTTAAACACGGGCTCGTTCTGCATCATCGACATCCACAACTACGCTCGTTTCGAGGGCCAGGTAATCGGCCAAGGCGGCCCTACCAATGCGCAATTTGCGTTGCTGTGGTCTCAAATCGCCTCCCTGGTAATTAATCCCCTGAAAAAGTCCGAGACACCCGATAACTGATCTGTCGTCGTATCTAGTACCGCAACGAAACGAAGGTTATGTTCGGCCTCATGAACGAGCCGCACGATCTCCCGAGCCTGTCCATGTGGGCAGACACCGTCCAGGCTGCCGTGACAGCCATCCGCATGGCTGGGGCCACGACGCAGACGATTCTGCTGCCAGGAACAGAGTTCACACATGCGTCGAGTTTCGTTGACAACGGCTCTGCCGGCAACCTGAGTCGAGTCAGCAACCCGGACGGCTCCTTCACCAATCTTGTTTTCGAGGTCCACCAATACCTCGATTCTGATGGAAGTGGACAAGCTCGGGAATGCGTCACCGACCACGTCAAGGACGGCTTCATGCCGCTGGCCCAGTTCTTGGCTGCGAACAAAAGAATGGCGCTTCTCGGAGAGATTGGCGGCGGGAATACGCCATCGGTAGGTCACCCTCTCTTCCCAAGTCTAGATGCTGGGGCCGAACACGAGCTGACCAAATCGCTGCCTAGTGCCTCACCAACCTTTGCAACAGCCTTGTCTTTATAAACAACAACCCCGACACGTTCATGGGATACACAGCCTGGTCGGCTGGTGGATTCTCCGCGATCGACTACAACCTCACCATGACGCCCAAGGGCTCGCCCGGTAACTTCACCGACCAGGAGACCGTCACGCAGTGTGTAGTCGGGACTAGGAATGGCAAGTCGAACTCGAACTCGACCGGGGTAGCCGCGGTGAAGGGCGCCAACTCAAGCCCCGTATACGCGACGCCCCAGGGCAGCTCCTCGGGAGAGTCGGGTGACAACACCTTCTCGGTGACTGTGTCGGCATCGACGAAACTTGGGGCTGGAGGGGCTGTAGGGACACTGATGGCAATGGTTGCTTTGACAGTCTTGGCGGTATGATCGCAATAGTGAGGGGCTGCCTCCTGGAGAGGTCTGGCCGTGTACAGTACTGGTTTAACGATATAATTATATATGGGAACATAGGATAAAGGAGACATGGATTTATATATGCGTATCTAAGCTCAAGGGTGTGCTGTGGTGGGATCTTCGCCATCGCTGTCGCCGTCGTTGTCGTCCATGGCGCTGTCAATTGCGGTTCCGACTGCCTGGCAAAAGCTTACCGGCCGAGCCGCAGTATCAACAATTATGGGTGGGATCACTGGGATGAAGTATCCGCCGACCCAAGACCAATGTAGCTAAGCATACTCTTGGCAGTAAAAGGGGCTCTTCCCGCATAACCCACGGAATCTGGGCTACTTTGACGATCCCCGCCGCGGGCATTCCTTACTTTCTTTCCTTTCTAGTACGCTTCGATATGTAGCTCAAATGCAGATACGTTGCCCGCATTCACTGTCGATACAGAGTCATCGTCTTTTCCTCAACAACGGGAATAGTAAAAGACTGTGTTCCATTCATCGATTGTCGCTAAGGTTGATGCTGGGATCCATCCATTGATTCCCCGCTATCCCAATAAATCCCAGTAGGGATCGGGTTCTTCAATAACTCCCCAATAGCGTGGCGTATTAGCGCCGTTAGTGGCAGGGTCTAGCCCAACCGTCGCCTGCCGACCCTCAATTGGGATTTTCAGCAGCATGCAGCTGCCAGCATGAACTGGTTCAACCAATCGGTTCGCCAATATCTCCACAATCTAGTGTAGACCGCGATGCATTCTGAGATTTCAAGCCTTCGACCGGAGCGGAAAGCGTTTCCGTTCCCAGACGCGATGGCAATGTGTCCACGCCGTAATTAAAGGCGAGGGGCGTCAAAGCGTAGGTAGTTTATAATAAGAACAAGACGGCCGCTGTAGTGAAGCTGCCTACCAACGATAGCATTGTTTCTACGTCCCTGTAATTTCTTCTTTTCGGGTTTTCCTCGCGGCTACCAAGTGGTCTGGTCTGCTCGGTCCTGTCACGATGAAGTCCCTTCTTCGTGCGGCAGTCGCAGCTGCTATTACATCTTTGGCTATCGCCGAGCCCCTCCCCGTGCAGCCGCGAGCGGGATGCAATGCCGATAACTGTGCTCGTGCTGTCAGCGCCACACGTTTTGGGGACGCCACTCTTTCGTCCCGTCTCGGAGACTGCAGTTCCTTCTTCGAGGCTACCTACACTCCCCCCACGTCGTATGTATCGTGCTAGCACAGTCTCTCTCGCTCAAATCCTCGCCTCACACCGCACCGCACTGCTTGCTTCGTGATGTGATGGCTGACCCACATTCTCAGGACGGTCATTGTCACGGAAACTGTCGGTGTAACCGTGACCACCAACCCTCTTGCCAAGCGCTGTGTCGGCCCCAGAACGACCACTCCTGTTGCGAGCGGGTCGGAGAAAACCGTTCCAGCGTACGCTAGTCCCTGCTCAGGCTCCTCGCGATACAGCAGCGCCTGCTCCTGCTGGGGTGCCCAGACATCCACAACCACGGCTCCGACCCCCACCGTCACATCCACCCTCACGATCAATGCGACCATCACATCGACGGAATGGAACAGCCCAAATATCACGCCAGGGCCGGTCAAGTTGCCACCGTTCAACGACTGGACTCTGACCTACACATATGACGAGATCACACTGCCCGTGTTCGACGAGACACCCGTGACAGTGACGCCATCGTTTTCGGAGCCGTCGACCGTGTGCATGCTGGGTGCCACTCCCACTGGCACTCCGTTCTATGTCATCGACCAGACGCTTGGATACATGTTCGACAATGCTGGCCAGCCAGGGCCTCCTCAGGCTCCCACCTCCGAGGCCGACTACCAGGCCATGATGGCAAACTTCGACCCGCCGACTTTTGAGTTCCAGGTGGCGGAAGCTGCCCCCGCCGGCGTCTTCGATCTCGTCCACACCAACAGCTCGGGCAGTTTCTACGTCGCTCTGCAGCCGGACACGGGAAACATGACCTTCCTGACGTCCTCTACCAACGGCGCCGAGGTCCAAGGCCGCAGCACTACCGTCTTTGGAGTCTCTTGCAAGGGCTTCCTGACAGTTGTGTACGGCAGCACGTCGTATATCTGGACGGCAACCAACAGCAGCACAGTCGCCACGCCCGGCACTCCGGACAACGATGGCATGTATCTCCTGGACGCCAACTTGAGGACGCCCCTGAACACGTCGCCCACATCCGGTACCACGCGTCGCAGGGGACCCAACTATGCCGAGTATGGCGAAGCGCCGCGGTGTCCCAACTACCCCACCAACGTCTTGTCCATCGTCAGATCAAACGCGCGTGGTCTCAACCCCAACGGCTGTGGGCCGGCGAACGGCGTCGAGTCGAAGCTCATCCCCAACTTGAACTTTGGCTCGTGCTGTAATGCGCACGATGATTGCTTCGATTCGTGTCCTACGACATATTTCGAATCATGCAATCAAGACTTCCTCGGCTGCATGATTGGGAAGTGCGGTGAGCTCGCGAGGTCGTGGTGGCAGTTCTGGGTAAGTCCAAGATTGGCACAGCCCGGGTCCAAAATGAAGCTGATTAGTCACGTGATGGCTGACCCACATTTGCCCCCACACAGCTTTATCCGGCCTGTATGGCAGCGGCCGATCTGTACGGCTGGGTCGTCACCACCGACGCGGGAGTGAAGGCGTTCAACCAAGCCACGTCGGAGCGTTGTGGCTGCGTATGCCAGGACCCCAACTACGACCTCTGCGACGGCGAACACACCTGCCGGCTCGTCAGGGGCCCGCAGGACAACGACCCCAACAACTGCGGAGCCTGTGGTGCCACGTGCCCCTACAAGACGCACTGCTCCGGCGGGAGCTGCGCATGCGACGGCGCCCGGTGTGGGAACCTCTGCGTCGACTTCCTGAACCATCCGCGCAACTGCGGAGGCTGCGGCATCGTGTGCCCCTCGGGCTACTGCTACAAGGGGGTGTGCTTCACGCCACCGCCGAATCCGACCATGTGCTACCCCGTCGACGCCGTCCAGAACGGCGGCTTCGCAGACGGCTCGTCCTGGACCATCTCCGGCTACCCCGAAATGCAGTCCGTCAGCTCTCCAGACCCGCTGTCCAAGGGTAACGCCAATAGCATGTTGCTCCAGGTCCCGCACAGCGACTCCACCTCCATCCTGGCAACGCAGGACATCCATGTGTGCGCCGGGGTGCAGTACGAGATAGACTTTCTGGCCCGCACGGCTTGGGGGACCGATAATTGTATCCTGTTCGTCTGGATTGGACCGATGGAGCTTCCCGTGTGGAACCCGGTCGTCACAATCCCCATCACCCAGACGGGGCCAGGGGCATGGGGGACCTGGGGTCCTTACCCGGTTGGGCCGTTCAACTTGTCGAGTCGGGGAGCCCAGCAGGCGGCTGACTTTTACATCACGTTGCCGGTGACTATTCAATTTACGTGCATTTTCCTCAATCCCGAGCCGTCACCGCCACAGCCAAATAATCCAAACGGCATTAGGATTGATGATTTTTCGATACATCAGGCTTGATCGGAGCAGCGAGGCTGGGGCAGCAATAATTTATGAGGCAGTATCTGTTTATCAAAGCCAACGCAGATATATTTCATAGCAAAGGCAGTATAAGCAGCAGTAATATAAGCAGACTGCACCACTACACACCTCTTCCCGTCTTTGTCATTATACACAGCTTGCATAAACCACTTCATGTCCGCTAGCCTGCCGTCTTCAAAAGAGATGATGGCATCCGCAATGTCCTCCGGCGCAAGGCGGTTCTGGCGTATCATGTTCCCAAAAGAATCCACGAATAGGAACAACAGCTGGTCTGTTTCGAATCCACAATGCTCTCGCGATACAGGAAAGAAAAAAAAAACAAAAATGGTATCTCTCAAGGTCTAGCTTCACCACTCTAACCGGTTATCGCAGACAAGTTTGACATCAAACCTCTCCTCTCCTCTCCAAACCTTGGCCCCAGAATTACACGCAGCAACCGACGTCCTCAAGTCGGTAATCATGCCTACAGGCCCACTAGCAAACACTGCGGTTGGCCCTGCCACCACCTCGCCCACAAACTCCTTCACAACCTGGTCGAGATTCGGCCTAATACCAGTCCCCCGGCCCTCCTTTGGCGGCGCCTGACGGACCGACACGTCCGGCAGGGCCCCCTTCCCGCTCGATGCGGACGACGGTGGCTGCAACGAGCTCGCAACCTCGATATCGGGCGCAGGGCTCTTCTCGTCGGCGATCGACGCTGCCGACGGCCCCTTTTCGCTCCCGGCCTCGGCCGTGACAAACACACGGATCGCGACGCCGTGCGATTGCGCCGCGCCGCGGATCTCAGCCAGCTCCGGGCCGATCCACTCGAGATCCTGCTCCCTCCGCACAGCCCACACGAGCTCGACCTTGCGGCCCGGCGCGGGCTTCTCCCTGATGAGCTTCAGCAGCGGCGGGAGCACGTATGTGATGCCAGTCCCGCCCGCGACGCACAGCACGTTGACGTCCCGGCCCAGGCTGTCCCCGATGTCCTCGCCATAGGGGCCTTGTAGGATGACTGGCGTTGTCGGCGGTTCCGCAGATACCGGGGCTGTCTCGGCCTTGCTCCTCAGCAGCTCTGCAATCCTGCGCGTCTCGCCCTTCTTAGCGCGGATAATGTACGCGTGGGGGACGGTGCCGTCGGCGGCCGGATCCGGCAATGAGAGCGGCGTTAGCGGATGGCTCTGCCAGATGGAGCCCTCAGTGAAGCAGAGGAAGAAGTGCTGCCCGACTTTGTAGGGTTGCTGGAGATGCGCGAAGTCGAGCCTCACGATATCGCCGTTGATCTCGTCGGTCCACACCCGTGCCCGCGCAGGCACCGAGGAGAACCCCCAACCCCTTTTCTGGTCCTTGTATCCGTAGTGCAGCATCGCCATGCGCACGAATCGGGCCGCCCGGTCGAGGAACCAGAGCACCAAACCCGGCACCAGGAAGCACTGCAGCGCCTGCCAGTGGCCGATGAGGGCGCCGATATACACCATAGCTAAGACGTAGTGAGTCTTGCGGAAGAACTCGTAGCCCGTCACCTTCCTCACCATGACAGGCAGGGCCAGCAGCCACATCAGCACGAGCAGCCCCAGCGCTACGAATCCCCAGACTATGTACAGCTGGGGCGCGAAGTCGTTCCACACATCCGGCTGGGGCTGGTACAGCCGGGCCTCGATGATGACCCAGCCCACGGTGTGCAGGACCGACTGGATCACGATGATGTAGCCGGTCCAGCGGTGTAGGAAGATGAAGGACGTGTACGGCACTCCAGTGACGAGCGAGAGGAGGTTCTCCCGGCTGGCCAGCAGGACCGACAGCGGGGTGAGCGCGTAGGCCACCACGCCGATCCGGTCGGACCAGGGGCCGAGGCTGGTGCGCGTGTTGTACACGCCGGGCTGACCCTTGACAGGGGTGATCCACTTCTTGTAGGTGATCCCCATGAAGGTCCAGATGGTGAGATATCCCGTCAGCACGAGCAGGATGGCTACCTGCAGCCGAGGGACGTGGCCGAAGATGGATGTGATAGAGGTTGGGAGGAGATACTGCCGGGAGGTGGCGGCAATGGAGTGCCGCAGCCGGGTGATGCCGCCGTGTCTTGGGTGCGATGATGGCGACGGTGACGTCTCGAAGAAGCGCCGGCCGACGCCCCAGACCAACAGGATGCCGCCAATGGTTGCCCAGAAGATGCCCATGTACAGCATTCCCCGGTCGTGGGCGCCGTAGACGGCGTCAAGGTACTCGCACGACCCGGCATCGTTGGTGCAGGGTACAGCACGGTCTGCATAGCCCCAATGCGGCTCGAGGCCGGACGCCTCGGAGAAATTCTGGATGTGCCGGGCTGTGAGGTCAATCATTTTCTCTGATGGAGAGGAACCTTTGAAGGTATAATGACGCCACGCAGAGGCAGTCTAGCATTATAGCAAAGCATTAAAGCGACAATGACAACGGGAAAACTAATAAGATCCAAAGGATTTCAAATGCTTGCAGCGACCCACAGTTGAGAAGCTTTGAGCACGTTTATGGTCGCAACCGTTGCGGGCGACGCATGCTGATTTGTTGGAGTGCTGTGGTAAACAAAAACCCTGGATCTGCCAAGACAATCCGCCGGTCTTGGCGGGACGGACCGCCGCCGCATTTGTGCTCATTGACCCTTTCGGAAGGGGCAGACAGATATCACAAGCGGCGTCCGCACTATCCAGGCACTCGGGATTTCGCTGACGATCCATGTGTTGTTGACGAAGCCATTGGCTGATTGTTTCATCCCGCGAACATTAATTCTCTTCACCTTGCTCCTCCACTATCGCCTTGCAACCACAGATCAGAGCTGGATAAAACCACGGACATTTGGCGCCAGCTTCCGCGCGTATTATCAGCGTCTCAACCTCACCTCTATCGCACTTCGAGTACACACGCACCCCTAGCATCGCTCTCTGTAGTCCTCCTCTGCTCATCCTGATCAGCACGGGGATATCGTCCCGACTATCTAGTCAACATGTCACACGACCATGCCAGCTCAAACAGCGCAGAAGACTGCAAAATCTCGGTCTGCACTCCCCCCATAAAATCACCCTTCCCCGTTTTAACCCACCAAAACTGACCCTCGCCCAGATGATGTGGAACTGGTACACCATCGACGCCTGCTTCCTCTCCCCAGACTGGCACATCACCAACCGCGGCTCCTTCGCCGCCACCTGCGTCGGCGTCGTCCTGCTCGTCGTCCTGCTCGAGGCCCTGCGTCGCGCCGGGCGCGAGTTCGACGACTGGATCGCCAGGGGCTTCCCTGCCGCTGCCGAGGTCGCCGAGACGTGCCCGGCGGCGGAGCGCGGCGCCGCCGCGCGGGCGGTCACGTTCCGGGCGAGCCCCTTGCAGCAGTTTGTCCGGGCGGTGCTGCACGCGGCTACGTTTGGGGTGGCGTATATTGTCATGCTGTTGGCTATGTACTACAACGGTTACATTATCATGTGTATCCTGATCGGCGCTGGGCTGGGCAAGTTTTTGTGCGACTGGATGACGAGGACGGTCGTGATTGGGGACAGGGACGGGAAGGCTAGAGGGATAGAGGAGCCAACAGTTTGTTGTGGTTGATTAGTATTGGCAAATCTGGTTGGTGATGCCTATTAATCAGAAGAGCTTTTATACCCACTCCCTTTAGAGCCTTTTACCAACTCCCTTCCCTTTTGAAAGGGATATAAGGAATTGCCTGTCTGTTTATATCACTGCCAGTGGGATGGGCGTTGGAGTGTTCGATTTCCATATTTTCTTCAGACGCTTCGCAGCAAGGTCTTGGAGCAAATTAGAGCCATGCAGTAATGAGATTATCTAGCTTGCGGTTTGCGCATGGATTACCGGGAGTCGAATGCTGAGCAAAGAGAAATGGGCTGTGGGCTCTGAAAAGTGGTAATTAAGGGGTGGACCGTGCCATGTGACCTTACCCCTTTATATTGAACGTGACTTCTATAAGAGACAATATTGTCCACTTCGATATCCCCAAGAGGAGCTAAAGCGTCGCTAGTTGCTCAGAGGATACATCGTTTCAGACAATGCATCGCAAAACAATGTAATGGCCCGAGAACCCGCCTCCAAGACGGCATCCATGGCAATGAAGGGATGAGGCTGACCCCCCATGATGTTGATATCCGCCCTAACCCCGGCATCCTGAAGCTTCTTGCCAAACTGCTGACCCTCAGAGCGGAGGACGTCTAGCTCCCCAAGCACCATGCACGCCGGCGGTAACAGGGACCAGTCTCCGGCCCAAAGGAGTGGGCTGGCTTCTGGGTGAGCCCAGTCCTCCTGGTTGGGCAAGTAGTGGTGCCGATACCAGAGCATTTTAGCCGCAGGGAGCGCGGGGGAGTGTTGGTTTTCCTTCCAAGACGGGTTGTTGGTGATGTCGGCGGTGTTGTCCATGACAGGCACGGAGAGCAGCTGCAACAAGAATTGGGGGCCTCCTCTTGCCGCGGCTCTCTGGCACATGATGGCGGTGAGATTGGCACCCGCCGATGAGCCACCGGTCGCCAGCTTGGTGGTGTCCAAGTCGAGGACCTTCTTTCCTTCCCCGAGCACCCAGAGAACTGCCTCCCACGCGTCGTGCACGGCGGCGGGGAATGGGTCCTCGGGAGCCAGTCTATTTTGGTTATCGAAGTCAACATGGAGCAAGAAACTAGTCTCGCGGGCGGGCTTGTTCCTTACCTGTAATCTACGGCCACAACGACGGATTTGCCGCGGGCGCACAGATGGGACGCGATGACATTCTCAGTGTCGATTGTTCCAAGCACCCAGCCTCCCCCGTGGTAGTAGATGCAGATGGGCCAGCCGGCTTCCGGCTTCGTCCCATTCGGCGTGAAACAGCGCACTCTGACATCCGGGCCTTCACTCTCCACCCTGGGGACGGAGTAATCGACCGTGCTGGCGACCGACTGGATCGGGCCGGCACCGGGGATGAGGACACCGCTCGACCTTGACGCCTCGATGGGCTGCAGGTGGACTTGCTGCTTGTCGAATATGTGCTGGTTGTAGAAAGCGGCGTATTCGGCATTGATCCGGTCGAGGACCGTTTCGTGGAGGGGGTAGGGCGGTTGCGCCATGGCCGGCAAATCGGGTTCATAAAGGTTGAGGTTTGATTGCACGGGAAGGCACCGAGCTGGAAACCCAATTCGTTCAGTTGAGCTGCAACTGCAGCTACAGGCGCAAAAGAGCAGGTGTAGAAGAGCGGCAGAAGTACAGGGCGGTGCCTTGACTTGGAATGGCCGGTGTCGCTGGTCAGACTGGTGTGGACCCGATTAAAGGTGGAGATCACCACACCGAGCGGCCCACTAGGTAAGCGTGGGACATAGGTACTGTCGTATGCACCGTGTAGGGATAGACTGACAGATAACGTTACCCCAGGTAAGCCGACACCAATCCTGCTTCAGCGTTGGGACTACAGCGAATCGGAGGTTATCTATTTGACAAGCCCAAGGAGTGCCGAAGGGTAATTGCAGTACATTCCTCGTAATGCTTCATCCCACCTAACTACTGGTACTCAGTTTGCGTTACCCATTCGCCGATCCCAAGGAGGCCTGCGATCAGCAGCACTAATTAATTCTACTGGCCCTTCTTTCCGGACAGGGTGCTGATCTGGGGAAGCCGCGACCAGTCTTATGCCTCCCTCGCGATGCACCTTCCTGACAGTGCTAGCGCCGGGCGGGGGCTGGTCTGGGTGAAGCCTCCGCCATAATGATAATCCCCGTCGGTTCCTTGCGATTGTGTCTGACGTTGATCATCCTATTCATTCATTCCCTCTCCTCGGAATGCTTCTCTCTCCTCATCCTCCCGTGTCCCGCCTCACTCCAACTTGCCTCACTACTCCCGTCAAAGCCCAACTTGCACAGATTGACTCACCATGGATGCCTCCACGTTAGAGAAGGACCCGAATGTCGTCAGTGACACGGAGCGAGATGGCGCTGGTGGTGTCGCCGTCTCTGACGAGATGGCCGGCACAGCACGCATCGTCGACCACATTGCTGAGAGGCAACTTTGTCGAAAGTTTGACTTCCGAATCCTGCCCGTGCTGGCCGTCATGTGTGAGTACCTAGCGAGAAATATAGAAGGATGTTGTGGTGGAAACGACGAGATTGTACATTCCTCTGCTGACTCGAGATGCTCTGTCAACGTCTAGATCTCTTCAATGCGATCGACAAAGGCAACCTGGGCAATGCCCAAACCGCTGGGCTCAGCGATGGTGAGTAATAATAATATCGAAGCCGAAGCCGTAGCCCTGGTCCCTGCTGACGCAGCCCTCCTCATCGCCATGCAGACCTTGGCTTCGCGCCCAACCAGTACAACCTCGTCATCTCCATCTTCTTCGTGCCGTACGTGATCTTCGCCCCGCCCGTGGCCATGATCGGCAAGCGCTTCGGCCCCGCGCGGGTGCTGCCCATCCTGATGTTCATCTTCGGCTCCATGACGCTGCTGTCGGCGGCCACGCACAACTTCGGCGGCATCTTCGCCCTGCGCTTCATCCTGGGGGTCGCCGAGTCCGGCTTCTTCCCGCTCGTCATCTACTACCTGACCACCTTCTACCGCCGCGGCGAGCTGGCCCGCCGCCTGGCCATCTTCTACGCCGCCTCCAACATCGCCAACGCCTTCAGCGGCCTGCTGGCCTACGGCGTGTTCCGGATCCACTCCAAGCTCCTCGTGTGGCGCTATCTGTTCCTCATCGAGGGCGCCGTGTCCGTTGTGTTCTCCACCTTTGCGTACTTCTATCTTCCCCGGAGCGCTGCCGAAGCCCGGTTCCTGTGCGAGGAGGAGCGGTCGCTCGCATTTCACCGGATCCAGGTCGACTCGTCGTCGGTGGTGTCGGAGGAGTTCAACTTCAGAGAGTCGCTCAAGATCTTCAAGTACCCGACGACGTACTGCTTCATTCTGATCGAGGTGTGCCTGGGCGTACCCATCCAGTCGGTGGCGCTCTTCATGCCGCAGATCATCCAGCGGCTCGGCTACGACACGGTCAAAACAAACCTGTACACGGTAGCGCCCAACGTGGGCGGGGCGGTGATGCTGCTCATCCTGGCCTTCAGCTCGGACCTGCTGCGGATCCGGTTCCCCTTCATCATGCTCGGCTTCGCGCTGACCTTCATCGGCTTCATCATCTACGCGGCCATCGACGACGTGCAGGCCAACATCCAGCTCGCCTATTACGCCTGCTTCATGATGGTCTGGGGCACGTCGGCGCCGTCGGTGCTGCTGTCGACGTGGTACAACAACAACGTCGCCCACGAGGGTCGCCGGCTGGTCCTCACCTCGGTTGGCGTGCCCTGCGCCAACGTCATGGGCCTGGTCTCGAGCAACATCTTCCGCGCCAACGAGAAGCCCAAGTACGAGACCGCGCTCATCACCACGGCTGTCTTCGGAGCCACTGGGGCCTTCGTGGCGGGCTGCCTGGGCTGCTACATGATCTACGATAACCACAGAAGGAACCGCGCCGCTGGCGTCAGGACGACGGCACGCGACATCCCCACGAAGAGGCTGCGCGACGGACCTAGTGTTCCCGAGTTTCGCTGGTTCCTGTAGTGGGGAGCCTTGGATGGTCATATCAAGCAGGACGCTAGATGTGTAAGGGTCTTATCAACCCGGCAAGTTGACAGGCGACGGCGGGGGGTCTTACCTCTCTGAGTTGGGGTTTTTATTTCTACTCGATATTCTGTTGTACTGTATGTACATGGGCTTAGGAGAAAAAGGTTCTGAGAAAAAGGTTCTTACCAGAGCATCGTATGATGCAACGTCGATCAGACTATACGAGAAACCGCAATGGATGCATAGTCTAAGTTCGGTTCTGATCCGTGAGAAGGGCCGATAACTAACCTTTTTGCTAGTTGAAGATGGGGTCAATCGCTGTCCTGGTTGCAGGCACCAAGCCCGGTCGCCCTTTGCCAGACTGAGCCGTCTAGCCGGAGCTTGAACGTTTTGAAGTCTAGGCCCCTAGCATGGGTGCTTACAAGCACAACTTGGAGATGCGTGGGCAGAAACCGGCGTTGACTTTTCGGCTTGCCTACTTGGGTAATCCGATGCAGATCTTAACTATACACAATCCTTGAATGGGACGTTGATTCCAAGTGCCGGGCTTTTAGTGTAAGCGGGGAAGCATGGTTTTCTGGCATTTCCGTCCTAGTGCTGATTCCAATTGACTTCATTTGATAGGCAAGTGCAAGAAAGCTGCTTGCATGGCGATGGAAGGTAGTGGGAATATGCATTTGTCACGTGGACACAACAATGTGGGAGACACCTGGAGATGGATGTAGTATAGGTGCACGACAAGGTTGCATCGTGATGAAACCTTGGGAATCCGGAGAATACAAACTAGCCTGCAAGTTTGTCTATCAAATGCTACCAAATGCAGGCTAGCTCGCTAGTTTCCGAGGATTGACTAAATCCCCCCCTGGAGAAACGATCACTGTGCGGATAGCTAACGGCGGAGCCGAATGGTGGGTGGGGTATGTGACCGTTACGAATCCACACCGGAGCCCTCGTCGTCAATCCTAATTCCGGCATCATAAACCCCGGGCGCTGTGCTATCTCCTCCCTGACAGTCCAGTTTGCGAGTCACGCTCCCTCCCTCATCTTGACATTCCCAAGCCTCTCTGACATTCCCGGTCCTGACTCACTCACATTGGCCCGAAATGTATTCTCCCAAGATCGGCGACCGGCTGGAAAGCCTCGACACCCCGTCCATGATCGTAGACCTCGATCTCATGGAGTCCAACATCGAAAAGCTCATGAACAGCCTATTGCCAACGGGAGTCAACATCCGCCCTCATCTCAAGACCACGAAAAGCGCTATACTGGCCAAGAAGCTGGCCGAAGCCGGTGCAAAGGGAGGCTGCGTGGCGAAGCTGAGCGAGGCAGAAGTCATCGCGGCCGCGGGATTCGACGACTTGCTGATTACGTGCGAGATCATCGGCACCGCCAAAGTCGGGAGACTTGTTGAGCTGTATCGCCGACACCGAAATATCAGAATAGTGATCGACAGCGAGGTTGGCGCGACGGCCATCAACGATGCCCTGGCGCGCTCCGGAATCGAGGACCCGATATCCGTGCTGATCGACGTTGATGTCGGGCTGCACCGCACCGGTGTGGAGCCCGGCCAGCCAGCCCTTGCCCTGGCCCGGCACATTGGCGGCCTGAAGCACTTGAGCATCATCGGCGTCCAAGGGTACGAAGGGCACCTGCAGCACCTCCACGACCGGGCAGACCGTCAGAAGCAGTGCCTCGAGTCGATGGAGACACTGACGGGTACCGCGGAGATGCTGCGGAAGGCCGGCTTCGACATGCAGGTCGTCACGACGGGCGGGACCGGCACGGCCGAGTTCTGCGTCACGGTGCCCGGAGTCACCGAGGTCCAGCCGGGGTCCTTCATCTTCATGGACACGGACTACCGCAACGCCGTGGGCACCTTCTACTCGAACTGTCTCACGATCCTGTCCACGGTCATCAGCCGGCAGGGCCCCCGGTTGGTAACCATCGACAGCGGCCTGAAGTCGCTGACAACCGACAGCGGGCTGGCCGAGTGTAAAGATTCTAGATACGCCTACGGGGTCCTGGGCGATGAGCACGGCTCGTTGAGCTGGGGAGACGACGCCCCCGCGCTATCGGTGGGCGACCGCGTTGAGATGATCCCGAGTCACATTGACCCAACGATAAACCTGCACGACTTCTATTATGCGCATCGGAAAGGGGTGATTGAGGAGATTTGGCCCGTTGATTCAAGAGGAAAGGTCCAGTAGTAGAGACGTTAATGGTAGGTAGACCAATTTTTAACCCACTTGCAGACTAGTTACACGGGTGCTCTTAAAAGAGTTGCTGTTTTGCAGTAAAATGATTATGGAAGCTAACGATGCTTTGAGGCTGAGGGTTAGGGTGATGCTGGAGACGGAGGTTGCCCAATAATAGGGGTCGCACGCACCCAGAGCTTGTCACGTATGTAGATAACATCTGGTTTGCCCTTTCCAGGGTTGCGGCGAGTGATGTCGAACTTGCACGTGGCAGTGATCAGCTCGCTAAGCTTGGCGTACCCGTAGGTGCGAGGGTCGAAGTCCGGATGCTGCTTAGTGACGAGCTGGCCGACGTTGGCGAGAGTGGCCCACCCGTCCTCGTCCTCGGCTGCTTTCAGGGCGACGCGCAGTCGCCTCACCACGCGAGTGTCGCTCGTGACCTGCGTGGCCGGGGTCTGCTCCTGAAGCATGGCAGTGACGACGACGTCGTCGGTTTGCGGCCCAAGTTCCTCGTCCGAGACGAGGTTCTCAAAGTATACGAACTTGTCGCAGGCGGCGACGAAAGGCTTCGGCGTCTTGCGCTCGCCGAAGCCGTACACGATCAGCCCGGACTCGCGGATGCGCGCAGCCAGCCGGGTGAAGTCGCTGTCGCTGGAGACGAGGCAGAAGCCGTCAAACCGGTTGGAGTAGAGCAGGTCCATCGCGTCGATGATCATGGCCGCGTCGGTCGCGTTCTTTCCGTAGGTGTATGCGAACTGCTGGATCGGCTGGATCGACTGCTTGAGGAGCTGGTCTTTCCAACCTTTCAGGCTGGTGCCAGTCCAGTCACCATAAGCTCGCCTTACAAAAGCGGTGCCGTACTTGGAGATCTCGGCGAGCAGGAGCCCGACTATGCTGGACTGCGCATTGTCTGCGTCGATGAGGACGGCAAGCTTGACGGTGGTCTCGCCAACCATGGCTGTGTGCTTCACTTACTCCAGAGGCAGGGTAATTAATTCAAGTAATTCGGTGTCACAACAATTTCGGCAGGACAGCAAACAGGAAAAGAATCGCGCCTGAGCATAAGTCTGCTGCCCAATTAGGTACCTAATGCATAAACCCCTGACCTATAATAATTTGCCTAATTTGATCAGGGTATTAAGCAACAGTGGCATCAATTTTGCCTACGCTATCCTAACCCCAAGACTCGCTGATGCTATCTCATGCAAACACTCACCATGCGAGGGAGAGGCAGGATCCACGTGAAGTTCGACTCTCGCTGTGATCTTTTGAAAGACAAGAAAGCAGTGAGATTCGGTGCTTAATCGTGTAAAATCCACAATGCTCTTTAATTACATCCCACCACTTAATTACATGCTTATCGGTATACCCGCCAGCACGACACTTGTTGGCAATGATCCTAATTTCCTGCTTCTAGGTTGGTGCCGATGGCATAATCTCTCCCGCCGCGTAGAAGGCGCGCGCCTCAGAAAGGCACGGAGCCTTTTTGGAACATATTAGTGCCCTTGGTATTAAGGGAGGCCGCTTGCAGCTTGAAATGGGTATCTAGCAACTCTTGCAGCGTGACTATAATACAATTCGCATCCTCCGGAAGGCAACCTACACGACGTCAACAGCCCCACCCATCCAGCCACCCTCCCAACCTAAGCCTCACAAAGCGTGCCAGCTCGGTAGACCCATCCTCCTGCACCCCCCTCTCCATATCCCAGAGCACTCTGCCGATACACTCACCTGCCGCAGAGAGGTGGAGGATGTGAGCGACGGCACTATGGATCGTGAGGAGGCGGGGGTCGGGAGGGTCGACTGTGCGGTTGTCGGAGAGGTGGAGGGTGCGGGTCACGGGCAGCACTGACCCCCACGGTGAAGCGTGAGAGGAAGGTGCCGATCCGGTAGGTGTGCGGCGGCTGGTCCGGGACGGGCTCGAAGAACACCTGGAAGTCGCCAAAGAAGAGGTGGAGGTTGTGGCTGAGGGTCATGCCGTTGCGTGGCCGATCAATGTCAGTGCCTTTGATCAAGTATGCAACGTCAGTGTCAAACATATTGAGTATTGCAAGTGCGGCTTGCTTAGAGGGATCCCGTGGGTTGATTGTTAGCCGAGAGCAGAGCTAGGTGAGTACGAGTGTGAGTGTGACTTTGGTCAAAGAATGTGGGAGAATGTGAGCCACTTCAAGAGCATCAAATTGCTCGCCCTCAAGCAGGTGCCCGTCATCATCTCGTGCACCCTCACCACTGAGTTTGAAGCGGCTTTCGGCTTCAAATTGATCAAATCTTTGTGAGATGACGCAACGATGTCGATCCCGGACCAGGCAGGCACCCCGGAGAGCCGAAACTCGGTCGGGCGTCCCAGCGAACCCTTGTGGATCCCTCTGGATTCTCGCCACTGCAGAGTGGAAAGAAGGAGAGGGCTGGGGGGTCTTTTTGGAAGAAGCTTTCACTTGGAAGGTGTTAGAGGATAGTGAGATATTTGGATTCAGATGACCTAACACTTACACGGCAGGAAAAATTTGTCTAGCAGATAATCTGCAAAACCGAATAAAGTCAAGCGAATATCAGTCTCCAGATTGGCATTTCTTAGGTCGATATCCTCTCCTTCTCCGTCTAGTGGCAGCTCTAGCGACTGGAAGAAGACCTGCAAGAAATTGTCTCGGGCTTCCTCTGAGCGCGCAGAGTAAAGAAGCGCGATCTCGAATTTATGGTGTTGAGGCACCAACCAAGACGCTAAGATCACGTGATCCCCGAGAAACGTTCACGGAAAGGCCGTAGGATCGACACGCAGATAGCCCAAGGGGAACCAGGGCTTTGAATAAATGTTTGGCGCTTATATGGAATCAACCCAGGCGACAGCTCACAGACCCCGGGGATTACGAGGGCAAGGACGTTGAGAACTATAGCGACCCGTCGCTGCTCATCAAGATGTTCGGCCAGATGTTAAGGATATGTGTCGAGCTCTGGGGGAGATGGATCGTAGTTTCAGCCAAGGTTATGTTCAGGGATGTAGCAGGAGATAATGAGCTGATAGTTGGTGATAAAGATATCTTCGACCCATGCCAAGCAACTTCCCACAAAGTACAGCACCATCAAGTTGTCACCAGAGAAGGGCCAGCCCTACTGCGGGATCAAGGCCATGACAAACTTGACTAAAACCTCAAGCTTCTTCGGGTCTGCAAAGTCATTATTGAATACCTCATTCACCGGCGAGAGCGACTCCCACACCGGAATGAAGCGCTCTTTGGTCAGCTTGCCCAGCTTAGGAAACGCCTGCTTCATGTTTGCATGCTTGGCAATCCTGTCCGCCTCGGCCGGGGGAATGAGCTTCAGGAACTCACTACTCTCACCGCCCTCCTTCTTGCCGGCCGTCAGGAGACCCATCGCGCTCGCCTTGACGCAGTAGATAATGGTGGCGGCCAGCCCCGCAGCCAGCGCCGTCGCGACGCTCGAGCCCGTGTCCGATCTCATCTCCTTGACCCTGTCGGGCAGACGATTCGTGGAGTGGTTCCGCACGACGTCGACCCCCGGTAGGATGAAGTCCAGGCTGTCGATGGTCCCGGTCCATCGGAAGACGCTGCCGTCATCATTGGCGGCCCCGATGCGGAAGAAGCGATCGCGGTTGTAGGCGGTCGGGTAGTCTTTGGATGTGAACTGGCCGCTGTCGGGGGAGGAGCAGAACATCAGCGTGTCGCTAGCTACGGCGCGCTCGAGCACCGCTTCTAGATGGGCTTTGTCTTGGCTACTCTCTTTTTGGACCGGCACTGTCCAGGACATGGAGATGATGGTGGCGCGCCTGTCTAGCGCGGCTTCTATGGCCTTGGAACAGAGGTGTTAGGAAGGTGATTGCCGACCGAGGTCACGGCCGAACCCTTTTCAGGGACGGGACGGAGCCAAGAGAAAATCAGACTCACCAACGCGGCGGATTTCATGACAACCCGCGGCTCTCCTTTCTCGTCCTGTTGCATCTTCAACCGGATGGGGTAGATCTTGGCCATGGGACACACCCGTGTGATCATGCTGGCCATGGCTGTACCGTGGCCCGTGGCGGAGACGAAGTGCGGCCTCATGCCATCGTCCTGGTAATCGAACGTCTTTCCAGGCAAGATCCGACCAGCCAAGTCGTCGTCACACGAATCCACGCCGTCATCAATCAGAGCCACCACGACGTCTTTCTCCAACCCCTTCGCCGTCTCTCCAGCACGCTGGCTGCGGAATGCGAGAAAGTCGGCAAGGGTTTGCTCCCAGAAGGGCTTAAATTTGCTAGCAAAGGTGTCCATGCAGTCGAGCCACTGGTGCGAGTTGATGCTCTGGGTGGACGGTGACGTTGCCCCCCCAGTGAACCTGGAGCCGTCAGGCGCCCTTTGGGACTTGACTGGGGCTTGGGTGATCGGAAAAACGTCAACCGACTTCGGTGGTGCCATGTCTCCTTTACTGTCTCCTGCAGGTGGCCTCTCATCGGCTGGTTTGGCCGCCGCGGTTGGTGTCGCTTCCCCGGCTTTTTTGGGTATCTCGTCCTCCCCAGACGACAGAGAAGCCTGGAGGGTTGCCTTCATACTTCTGATGTTTTCATTGAGCCGCTCCTCAAAATCGGAAACGTTTTTGTTGACCCATTGCTGTGAATCACAAGTCTAAACATCGCAAGTCAGCTAGTCAGTCACCTCTCCGTGTGCGAGGCTTAAAGAGCGCCGTGCTTACTTCCGTCACTGGGGGCATGTGAAGATAAATTCTCGAGAGATTAGGCAACAGGGACAATCCCTCACGCTCGCTCCACGCCCGCAAAACAGCGTTGTTTCCACTCCATCGCAGAGCAACTTCGGTCAGCTGGCTGGGAGCTTCCACGAACTTACCTGGCTCCTTCTCAAGCCTGGTACCTATTCGGCAGATAGTGCGGGGGTCGAGGTCAACCTTGCTCCAGTTGAGTTGCTCCACGACAATTTTCTCCAGCGAGGTTTGGATGGCCTCATCGCCATGGGCCGGGATCGAGGTGTCGTCGACGGTCACTTTGATGATGTGGCGGACGCCCTGCCATGCAGCGCGTGCAGGAATTAGTTTCCTTTCCATCCCAGAAAACGGGAGCAAAACGTTGCATACCTTTTTATAGAGCCACTGGAAGAAAAACTCCATGTCATGGCGTCCAGCAGCGCCCGTGACCTTGAGGTTTCTCCCCGGCTTCCGCTTCACAACTACCTCTGGAAACGACACGTGCCGCAGGATCTCGTCGAACTTGATGCCGCTCTCCTGGTCTTCCCCGAAGCCCTTGACGAATGTTTCTTCTTTAATCTCCCTAGGGAGCTTATCATACTCGAAACAGATGTGTATCCCTACAGTGCAAATGGACGTTAAATTATTAGCCAGTTGGCGGTGGTTATTTGAAGGGGGCTGCGGATGGTTGATTTACCTTCGACATTCTTGCCGTACAGGAATGTGGTGGCTCTTTCTGTGTTCCTTGTTCTCATGTAGTGTAGCTTCAGCCTGGCAAGGATCGCTTTCGAGTTCCTGGCCAGGGATTCTGGGTCGGTTTTCTCCGACTTCTTCTTAGTCGGCTTCCCCTCCTTTTTGGCTTCCCCTATGGCGTCCGACCTCCGCCACGTGGGGGCTCTTTTGAGCGAAGTGTTTGGCGACTGCAACGGCTCGGACCTGAGGACTTCAACGGGCCCCTTGGGTTGCACTGTGTCCTCTTGTCGGAAATCGCGTGCGTCTCGGCTCTCGTCTTCACGACTGCCCCGAACTTGGCTCCTGACATCTTGGTCGCGGCCACGGGGGTCTCTTTCGCGGGCCTCCTTCTCCCGGAGCATCAGGCGCATTTCTTCTCGCCTCTTCTCTTCTTGCTGTCGTCCTCGCCTGTCCCCTCTCTCGGCGTCACGATCGCGGTCATCACTTTGGCGGCCATTCTCTCCGGGGCCGGCGCGTCCACGCACGCCATCACGCACGGTCTGCACTTTTGAATCTTTCTGCCGATCGGCGCTCTTAGGGTCTGGTCGCCGGACACTTCCTGACTGGTCCTCGGCTTCGATCCTCCCCGTCCCCACTTGCTTCTTACCACCGTCCTCCCCGGCTCCAGCCTTGGAGGTCTTTGCCGGAGTTAACGAGGAGGCAATATACGTGGCAAGCTGCCGGTAGACGGAGGCTTTCTTATGGTCTTCCTCGTCCAAGAAGGTCTTCACGGGTTCGTTGGGGTTCTTCTGCCTAACCTTGGCGACCAAGTGCTTGTCTCGGGCGATGAACAGGTCGATGATTTTGACCCTCTCGTCGCTGCATTGGGCGTAGTTCACGGCGTAATGAAGTGGCGTCTTGCCAGCCTTGTCCTTCTTCCCCAAACCATCGTCCCTGGCGCCCCTGATGAGCTTCTCGGTGACGTGGGGCCGGAGATCTTTCTCCAGAGCGAGGTGGAGGCTTGTCTTGTCCTGATCGCTCTTGCAAGGGCCCGCGATCGCATCAGCGAGGTACTCGGGATTAGAACAGCCATCCACCATATATTCGACTAGCATCCATTTCTTGTATCCGATGGCGAGGTATAAGGGATTCTCGCCTTTGCTGCTGGCAACGCGGAGGGTACTGGGGCATTTGTTGACAATGTGATGGACCAGAGGGCGTATGTCTGACGACCTGATGTTGTTGTGCTTGACCATATCCACGATGCGGTGAAGCAGGCTCGATGTCTTCTGATTCTCGACCGGCTCGCCGATCACGTCTCGGTATTTGCTCAGGAACGTACCGAGAACCTCGGGATCCTGAAATTTACCATTCTTCTCCAGAATCTCCTCTCGGGCCTGGCGGAACAGGTTGTTCCACTTCCGAGTCTCGGGGGTTTGGCTGGAGATGCCATCCTCCTCCTCGTCATCGTCGTCGTCATCGTCGTCGTCGTTGTCATCGTAGCCTCCTAGAGCCCGCTCCTGGTCCCTGTCCTCATAGTCGTCGGGCATTGTTGTGGAACGAGCTTGGTTTTTGTGTGTGCTTGTGGTGAAAAACTGACAAGTTTCTTGGTCTTGGAGGGGGGGAGATGAGCCCACTCCTCTCGCCATGACAAAAATACATACATCTGTGTACTGTGTGGTAAGCAGGTAGGTTGGTTGACAGGGATCTCTGCATTAGCACTGGTGCGCCAGCCCCTCTCTTATTTTTGCGCAGCGTTGCATTGCAATGCGCCATTTTCCCATCCTACGTACCGAAGAAGTCACTCCGCACAAGTCGATTGTGCATTAATTAGGTAGTGTCGGGTGGAGCCCACAACTGCACTGCAGTGCTTCTGTACACAGTACAGTACAAGAACTCCTCCCGGAGCCCGATCACCGATCACCCCTCTTGTCCATCCAACCAAGTCCCAACCCAATCATGTCCGACACCAAAGACAAACACGACCCTCCCCTCGAGGGCATTGAGGTCGACTCCGATGTCGAAGGATTCGACGTGGGCATGTTCGACTACGGGGATGAAGGCGGCGCCTTCCACATCAAGAACAACCCGAAAGATCCGTACCAGCGAAGCGATGTGATACAGCGCAAGGGAGCCGTTGACATGCGGTGTACGATGGTGGACATCGTCCACGGCGCAATGTCGGCCGACAGCGACTTCTGGGCCACGTTGATGGTGTTTGAGTTCCGATTCGACCCGCAGAAGAAGGCGCGGCGCATCGCCGAGGCAACTATCGAGCTCAGGTTCGACGCACTGGATCCGGACGGCGAGACTCCCGAAGTGGAGTCCATGTCGTTCGACGGCAACTTCCGCCTGATGCCTAGCAAGCAGACCGAGAGCATCACCACGGGCGCAGGCGGAACCGCGGGTGCCAGCTTCGCGGCCAACCTGAGCCTGGAGGCGAAGTGGGAGAAGACGATCAACCGCGAGACGACGGACGGCATGACGGTCTGCGGCGGCAAGTTCGTCGTCGGCAACACTCCGCCGAACCGCATCGCCAAGTGGACGCTCCTGGAGAACAAGACGCTCGAGGCGGGCGTCCCGGCTTCCCTGCGCGTGGCGGTGCTGGTCAAGAAGCGCGACAATAGAGACTTTGCGTGCGTGCCGAAGCTGGAGGTCAAGGCGGACAGATGGACGCGCGTGCTGGAAAAGTTCTCCGGGAAGATGCCCGAGGATGATCCCGTCATATTGAGCCCGAGCAAGAAGCCCACAAACAGGTTGATGGTCTACGACACTGAAGAGCTGGGCAGTGTTGATCTCTGGAAGCTCAGCCATGTTACGCCTACGACTATGATCGTGGACGCGCTCAAACATCAGGCAATCGCTGGGGAAGTAAAATGAGCCAAGATACACTTAGCTGGTTGTTTGCAGTCCGAGATGATTACCTACCTACATATAACTACCTATGTAAATGTAAAATCTATTCCTAGACGATCGGGCATGTTTCATTCAATGGACCCCGCAAATGGACCCCGCAAATGGACCCCACATGCAAAATCACATTTAATAGTAGCGGCCCGTCGCGTCGTCGCGGGCACTAAAACATGACGCCGATCTGGGAGGACCTGCCTCCTCCCCGCCAGGCGATTTCAACGACAGTCTGCAGAGAGATTAATAAACCAAAAGTGTTTTTGCTCATTTCTGGTGGGAGGTGGGGGGGGGACATGTACAGTACATACATCCTCTGGCACGTTCAAATTGGCCTACCTAGGTACTGTACCTGATGTAGTACATGTGTACATCCATGGGATACGTCCTGGATACATAGGTACCAGGTTCCTGGCACACAGTCAGAGCGTTCGAGGCTGTGCAAAAAAGGTGGGTGGGGCGGGGTTGGTAATTAGGTAACTCTGTATTCGATGCTGGGCCATTCTGCACAAACCCCCCCCAACCAATAGAAGCAGGCTAGGAAACCCTTGACATTCCCACTCGCTCTTCCTTCGAAATCCCACCAGCCCAGCGAAGAGGAAGAGGAATCGATCGAGCTTCTGTACCCAACCCATCTTTTCTGTAGACAGTCGAAGCTCTTGACCCGCTGCTGAAATCAATGTCTCACTCACACGTAGGAGACGATGACAACCAAACTGAGCCAGAAATTGCAGCGACAGAAGAGGCAGAGGCAGCAGAGGCAGAGGCAGCAGAGGCAGAGGCAGAAGAAGAGACGAGGAAGACGGACGAGGCTCGCTCTGTAGCACACGGTTCGAGTTCGCCAGAGCCGGATCAGATTGGCCATGACAACAATCGGAGCCACTCGAGAGTTGGAAGAAGACAAGCAGGAGAGGCGGCCGAATCCCATCCCCTTCCAAGGTCTGCCGCGACTTCTCCGCTCTCTGGGTCGAAGGAGCCTCCAAGCCGTGGCCTCCACATCAACGGGCGCTTTGGCTGGTCTCGCTACGACGACTACGAGTGAGTGAGAACCCAAATCCGTAGTCCCGGGAAGGCCATGGTGCTAATCAAAACCCCGAGCGTCATCACTGTACACGGCATACGAGATGATCCCAAAACAGCGTGGCAGACAAGAGACGGAACCTGGTGGGTCCACGACGAGTTATTTGAGAAGCTCACCATCAGGGAGATTGACTTCTCGTACTATACTCACGAGGAGGCCGATATCTTCAAACCGGACGGTATTGCGAGGGAGGCTCGACGGCTCCTGACCGACTACACGTCCGCAAGGGAGAACCTCCCCAGCACCGAAGTTGATCGTCCCGTGATCTGGATTTGTCACGACATTGGGGGCCATATTGTGAAACAAGCCCTCATGTACGCCGCCATGAACCCCAAGTCCTACAGCCGGATCGCCCTTTTGACAACGGTGATCATCTTCTTGGGAGTTCCGCACCGGGCTCACTCGATGGAAGAGCTCGAGGACCAACTTCATCAGCTGTTGATTCTGCCTGGCCCCGGCGATATAAAGCAGGGCATTGTGCAGAAAATTCGGGGTCTTGCGGAACAGGTCGCAGCCATCAATACCCAGTTTCTCGAGCTGGGCCTGACAAGCCGCGCTGTCATGGTCAACATTTTCAGCTCCGCGAAAACGCCAGAGTTGCGGTACAACACGCAGCCGGAGATCGAGACGATCGAGACGATCGAGACGATTGAGCCGAAGATGGAGGAGTCCGAGAAGCCTCCCACTTCACCCCCTCTCATCGCAATGTTCCCCAGATACAGCGCGTCGATGGGTTTCCCATTCGAGACGCAGAGCAGGTGGCGCAGCGCCATCAACCACCTAGATCTCATTCATGGGGTCCGGCCGGAAGATGAGCAAGGTGGCGACATTAACTGGATCCCATTTTTCGCAAAGTTGTTCAACACGCCTGGGCTTCGTAGGTGGCCCCAATATCCATGTCCTCCTTCTTCTACGTGAGCATGAACTTCTAACCGTGGCTCTCTACAGCCCTACAAGTCAACTATCGCTTAATTGAGGACCAGGGCAAATTTCTTTCCCTGATGCCACCTCTACGAACCGCAAACGTGGGCTTCGACCCCAACGCACCAAAGATCCCATCTATCGCCTGGATCAACAAGCAGGAAGCGTACACAAAGTTCAGCAGGAGGACTGTCGGCCAAGCAATACTCTACCTGCACGGCGGCGAGGACCATAATATGTTACCCGATATCTCCCAGGTTTGCCAGAAGTTCTACCTTGATCACGACCTCGACCTACTCGAAGAGAATGACGATACTCTCAACAGATATGTAGCCTGTTTCGAGTTCGACAAGCGAGACAGCAGGTACAATAACCTTTCGTCCATGCTCCTTACGTTCCTGAACGATCTCATCTGGCACTTTTGGGAAGGCGTCGACCTGGACCAGATCTTCGAACCCTTAACACAATATCGTTCGTTGTCGCTCGAGGACTTGTATCATGCCTTCAGTTATCTAAGGCACTTCGGTGTCGTCGAGAATCTCATCTTTTCCATCAGCTGCTTCGACCACTGCGATGTCACAGAGCGAGAGTGGTTCTTGGAGCGTGTACTGAAGGAGCAGAGCTTCACAGACGCGCCATACAAGATCATCATCTCGACTAGTGCCCCGGACAGTTTTCTGACCAAGACCCTTCCGGCATCCTCCGTCATCGATCTCAGCAAATGTCCGGCGCTGCGAGAGGATGGGAAGCTGGCTAGAGACACCGACATGGCCGGTCTGGAGCAGAGCATGACGAGTCTTGTCGAAAAGCGCCCTACATATCGCAACTTCAAGTCTCAGATCAGAGAGCTGATGGATCAATGTAAGGAGGCGCCATATCTGGGGCGCGCGATACTTTCCTGGCTCAGCTCCTACAGGCCGGGGAACCCAAAGGCTGGGGTCGAAGCGGTCCTCAGGAAAATGGCTCCCGTCACGCCGCAGAACCTTGTTAATGCCTTCCTCGGGGCTCTAGCCCCCGAGAGACAAGACTGGGCAAGAACTGTCTATCGTTGGGTGAAGTACGCCGCGGAACCCTTGACCCTCGAGATGCTTGCCCAAGCGTTGGCCTTGTCTCTCTCGCAAGACGGCGAAGTGTCGGTCGCCGACGTTGACCGCGCTGGCCTGCAGCACGACCTCGACCAGTATTTTGGTGGCCTGATCGTTGTGGATGGTCGCGATATCAAGTTCTGTCACGACTCGCTCTACGGCGTCGCCAACTTCGACCTCCAGGATAGCACGAAAGACGACGCCGGGGAGACTCACAAGCAAATTGCAGAGAGTTGCCTGCGCTGCCTCAGACTCCGAGAGGCGCAGGACACCCTCGCGGCTACTCTGTCAGTCGAGCAATACGGTGGGCTGGAAGCCGGTGCAATGGCGCTTCCGCGGTCAAGTCTCGCCGAGTATGCGGTTCGTTTCTGGGCCAAGCACTACGCCCTTGCCGGCGCAGATGCGCCCAGTGAGCAGGCTCTGGCTTTCTTCAGGGACCGAGACGCCATGTATACGTGGGCTGAAGCGTACTACATCTCCTCGAACCCCTTCACACGACTCCAGAGGACCTACCTCTCCCCTCTCCCTTACATGGCCATGCTAGGACTGGAAGACTTGGCTGTGTATTATTATATGGGTCTCGACAAATCCAAGTCGCACTACTACGACAAGGGGGCCCAGCGGAATCAGTCCTGCTGGGATGCCATTGCCGAGGCTGCTCGCAACGGCCACAGAAGCCTGGTGCTTCGCCTGCTCCTGCATGTCGGCGAATTAGACGAAGCCGGTCTCGGGAATGCCATATCCGCGGCAGCGGCATTTGGAAAAGGGGGTGCGCTGGACGATCTCGTCACCAAGGCACGAGACTTGGAGGGTTTCCACTGGCCCGAGCGCATCCTCGATCGCGCTGCCGCCGCTGGCCTTGAGACGCTCATCTCTGCTGTAGCTGAATCCAGTCATGACTTGGACGACGAGAAGACCATGTCGGACAGGACGAACGCCCTTAGCATCGCGGCTTTTTGGGGCCAGAAAGAGGCTATCGGGTCGCTGATGCGGTGCAAGGCAGACCCCTATGGCAAGGACAAAGATGGGAAGATGCCGTTGGAGTTGGCGGTTTTGCGCGGTGATCCCACCATATTGGAGCTGATGCTCGGCGAGCAGGCCAACTTGGACTGCAACGAACAATTCAAGTCTTCAGCTGCGGACTTGGCAGTGAAATGTGGTCGACCAAAGGCACTTGAAGTCGTCATTGGGCGGGGAGCGGAATTCAACGGCAATTACCCGGCCAACCCAGATGACCCAGACGACGACGGGGGCGAGTGTTCCTCCCCCAAGATCCCCATTGTCCGCGCTGCCGCACTTGGATACGAGAAGTGTGTGCGCATCTTGCTCAAGAACAACGCAGACCCAAGGGCTGGATCCACTCGAGGAAGTGCTCTTTACTTCGCCGCAGAAGGGGGCCATGTCGAGATCTGCCGGATGCTTCTTGAAAAGGGGGCGGACCCCAACCAGACCTTCCCAGACCAGGACGTACTCCTGAACCGGGCCATCGCCACCAAGAAGAAGGACTTGGTCGAGCTCCTGGTCGACAATCCCTTCAACAACACGGCCAAGATCGACGTCTCTGACCCGAGAAACACACCCCTCGTGCTCTCCATCAGGGATAGTCTTCCGGACATCTTCCAGCTGCTTTTGGACAAGGGCGCCGACGTCAACTACGTCGGTAAAAACTCCTGGTCGCCGCTGTTCGCCGCCGCGTACCAAAGGGAACCCCAGATGGTCAAGACTCTGCTCGCAAGAGGCGCCAACGTCCACTGGAGCAATGAGTACGGATGGACGCCTTGGCACGCCGCCTACGATTCGCCCGAGACACTAGAGGAGTTCCTGAAAGAGGGCGTGGACATGGACAGTCAGTCGAAGGATGGGACCGTCTTAATGATGGCTGCGCGGTGGGGACACCCGCAGAGCTTGAGATTTCTCCTCGCCTGGACACACAAGCCCAACCTTGAAGTCACCTTGGACAACACGAAGCACTTCGAATACACGTGCACTGCGCTACTGATCGCCTGCAAGAGCTTCCAGGCCGAGTGTGTCAGGATTCTCCTCGAAGCCGGCGCCAATCTGAGTCACAGGACCAATGAGGGCGAATACGCGCTGCAATCCTTGCTTTGGGGTAGCGACCCGGAGAGGGAGGACACACTGAAGGAGGTGCTCAAGTTCAAACCTGCCCTGGACGAGGCAGACAGCAAGGGCAACACGGTCCTTCACGACGTGAACCCAACAACCCCGCGGTCAATCGTGAGCCTCCTCGTCGAGAGCGGCGCCCCCTCCAACGGGGTAAACAACAAAGGGTACACGCCGCTCGCAGCTGCCATCAGGTGCGGCAACATGGAAGCGGCGCGGTACCTCTTCGAGGAGCGCAGAGAGAACATCAACGTCTGCAGTCCCAATTTCGGGGGCGTCGTGCTCCTGGCCGTGATACAAGGCGATATTGAGCTGCTGAAGTTTGTGATCCAGCACCAGGCATCCTTGGACGTTGCGGATAACCTGGGGAGGCGACCGATCCACGTCGCGACCAGGACAAGCAAGGACCATGTCTCGGAACTGGTCCGAGCCGGCGCGGAACTAAACGTCCGAGACAACTATGGCCGGTCGCCGGTGCATTTTGCCGCTGGGTTTGGCGACGTGGACGTGCTTGACTTGCTGATGGAGTCGATGCCGGAAGAGAACTTCCAGGTCGGCCACGTCGATCACGACGGGTGGACGCCGCTCATGTGGGCGTGCAGACTTAAACCCTTGGATGCGCAGCAGTGCCACTTGCTGCTGGACAAGCTGATCGACAAGGAAGGAAAGGCCCTATCGGTACGCAGTAATGATGATAAGTGGTCGCCGCTCGCGTTGGCGACCTATCATAGGTGGGGTGACGAGTTGACCGCTAGGTTGGTCCCACCGGAGCAGAAGCGGAAGCTGGAGAGCAACGAGAGAGAGGAGGACGAGGACGAGGACGAGTCGGGGAATGATGGGTTGCCGAAGACTCGGGTGATGCTCACAAGCTACGGTGTGAGCTGCTCAAGCTGTCTTCAGGTTCGTCATGCTTTTATTTATTTCGCCCTTTTTTTTTTTTTTTTTTCTCCTCAAGTAAATTGGTCCCAGTTCCTAACGCTCTCTGCAGGTCACGTTTGACACCCACTGGGATTGCACCAAGTGCATATTCAGGCTCTGCCCTAAGTGTTTCACTAGCCGGTCCACAGTGCACGACGAAGAGCACCACTTTGAAGAAGTCCTCCCGCAGCCCGACTCTCCGTCAATAGCAACAGCTAAAGAAGGAACGTCTGAGGAAGAAAGCGAAGAGGAACAAGTGGGATCTAGAGAAGAAGAGGAGACAGAAGAGGAAGAAGAAGAAGAAGATGATGATGAGGTTGATAATGATGAAAAAAACCAAGGTGTAGGGGTGGCGAGTTGATTATCTAGCTATATCTGTATGTAAGGGGCAGACGGCAACAGCAACGCGACTCTTCACGACATTGACAGAAAGACCCCCCCAGTCTATTCATAAACCACCCCCCCCCCCGCGCCCCGACGCAGTAAATCCAAGGGGTATAGGCCGCTCGTAGTTGCCATCAAGTGCGGCAACATGATTCCTCGGGTGGTCGAGTCCCAGCTGGGGTTGCCATGGTGTTTTCGGCGTTCGCACAAGCGAAAGGAGAGGATCATAAATATGTCTGTTGCCAGAGAGGTGGTGAGCGATGGCAGCGCCCGTGACAGCACCCTTCGATCATTCCGTCAAGAGCCATGACGGGGCCTTGTGCTAACCCCTGTGGAATGGTCTAATTACCTACACGTAACCCTATGCGTCTGCTGAAGGCTCAACATCATACTCTACATCAGTCCTTATGATGTACTTCGCACCCTTCCTAACCCCCGTTCCTTCGTGCAATAACGCCCCCTTTGCGTCCCCATGCGGGAATATCGCCACGCCACCCATCACAGGTCGCACCGGATACGCATTGAGCGTCCCTTCTCGTGCTGCCGGTAGGAAAAATGTTGTTTCCCCACCCTCAAACTCGTCGTTCAGGTAGACCAGGAAAGTAAACAAGGAGCTCTGTTTCTTCCCTTCAGGCGAGGCGTCGTAGACGTAGGTGTGGTCCGCGACGATCCCGGAAGGCGGCCAGGCCCCGTCGATATGGCATCGATATTCGGCGCCGGGGACATAGCGGTAGACGCGAAAGCGTCGATTGACTCCCCGGGCCACGCGGCCGTTGACGGCGGAGGGGACGTAAGGCGAGATACGTGACCAGAGCGCATCGTGGAACGCCGTGTCGATGATCCAGTAGAAGTTGTGGGCCAGGACGCTGACGTCGCCGTCCTCGCGGACCGGTGCGTCGGGAAGAAAATTAACGCTCTCGCCTGCGGCGATGATGGCCTTGCATTCAGCAGGGGAGAGGACGTTGGTCGCCAGGCCCAGACCGGGGACGATAGGATGAGGATGATAGGTTATAGATGGGGGCTCGGGAGAAAGGGGAATGGTATTTGGGGCAGAGGTGTAAAGAATGGCGGGGTGGTGATTGGGGGGTTTACGCAGAGGGCCCTCAGTGGTTTCGATGATTCGCAGAGAGTCAGGGAGGGAGCTGGGCGCCGATGCAAAGATTGTCTTGTCTAGGACAGAGTCGTAAACTTGGTGGGGCGTCATCGACGGCCGCAGGTCCCATATGTCTTGGACCTCAATGGAAGGAGAGGTGGAGGTGGGGGAGTGGCATAACGCGTTCACGTTAGTGTCGACCAGGCCGGTAGCGCGGAGGACGGCGTCAAGAACACGGAGTCGTTCCTTGTCTTCTGTTGAACGCTCGGTAACGTTCGTGGCCTGACTGACCTCTCCAGGCCGTGTCGAGAGGCCGCTGATGACGTCGAGGTCTCGCACCCAGCGACACAAGGCCCCTAGCTTGGGCTCCTCTCGGCGAATTCGCATCTCCGCAAGCAGAATCCGCGCTTCCGTATATTGCCCATCTGCAAGTGCAGCGGATATTCTCGCCGTCAGGTTTGTGCCCGCTGTGAGGTCATCAGTGATTTTGCTCTCATTGGGTGTCAATTGCTAACGTGCCAGCAGCGTTAACGCCCGTGGTGCAAGCCTGCCGAAACTCATGGACCGCGACTCGGAGGTCTTTGCAAGGCTTGGATTTGATCAAGCCAGGGTATTGCGCTAGTGTTGTCAGGGTCTCGACTGTAATCTCGAGCTCTTCCGCAGAAATAACAGCCTGGAGACTTCTCGGCTCGAATGGCTCGTCATTGTGAGGTGGGGAGATAGGCCGAGCTGTCTTCAAAAGTCTGCTATGGCCAGGCTCGGCTTGCGCCTGCGCCTTTCTCTTTCGTGTGGCAGATTTGGACTTCATTCTTGTATCGATTGATGGCGGCAATGGTTATCGGATATCGCGGTTGAGGGCGCACCAAAAAAAAAAGGTAAAAAAATCCACGGAAGATACCGTTTTCAATACCGTGATCCTACCCGTGACACACCCCACTTTTTTTAGCTCTTGTGAACTCGCCAGGGTTAGGTCAGTCACGTGAAGTATAGTGTCTATCGTCTACTGTACTTCCGTAGGTAATCAGGGATCAACATACTGTAATAAGCTTCGCCAAGGCGATAATCGTGCCCGCCCCCACTTATATGGTTCATTAAGTGGGTGAGCTGAAGGGGGCCCCGAAGCAAACCATATAAGCGGAGGTGAGCATGATTACACCAGATGGTCAGACTAGGTTCGGTTTGGTATGATACGTATTTTCAAACTACACCTAGTTATTCATCTACGTATGCACAAGGCAAACAACCTCTCTACGTACTATGTAGGTACCTAGTTGAGAAGGTGGAGGAACACTAACACAGGGAGCCGCTGATATGATTTATCTAGGTACCTAACTACGTAGATAGGTACTTATTCATACAAAGCTACTTCGCAAAACTAATTACATGGCACCTCGCGGAACGACTCGATCAGCGCGCACACAGCTGCGTGGTTGCGGTTGGCCCGCTCGTTTCTAAAGTCGAACGAGGCGCTGGTGATCTTTTTACTGTCATTACTATCAAAGGTGTCAACGTGATCGAGCAGCTTTTTTCTGAGCGGGTGCTTGTCTTGCCATCTTCTTGGTAGTTGTACACAAGCGTCTTGGGGGACATCGAAATGGCAACATTCTGGACCCGAGGATTATTGGTCACGTCTAGCCCAGCGATGCCTTCGACATATGGCAGCGCCTCCTGGGCTTGGCCGGCCGAGATGTAATTAGTGTACAAACTAAGAAATTAGTAGTTGTTCTATTTTTCTTTTGCAATATGCGAACGTGAGGACAACAATGAACTAGGCTTACCTCGTTGAAGTGTCCATCGTTGACCTGCCGCCCGACCAGCACTACTCGCATAACCCTGGTCGATCCAGTTGGCCTTGTCACCGCCACAGAGCGCATCCTCCAGTTGGCAATTGGTGTGCCAGAAGATGGGTTCCCAAGCATGAGCCAGCTCCAACTCGGCAGCGCAGGACGAAGCAAACCCCAGGAGCAGCAGGCTCAGAAACACAAAGTTTCTCATCGCTGTATAGATGTTGCCAACGACTGGACAGTCGGTGGAGTGACTGCTTGCTGAAGTTTGGGTGTGGGAGTGACGGACGAAGCACGGGATGGGAAAAGAGAAAAGCGACCAGATACTTGAGGGCAGACTTCCGATATCGTGGCAGTCCTCAATAACCGCCGGTCTCGGCTGCTGTCCATGTAACCTTGGAAAGGAAGCCAAGCCATGGTTCTAGTGTAGACCTATGCGGTAGCAACAAGTCTAGGCCAAGAGCCTTTGGCTGTTCGGCGTACCTAATTAAGACTAGGCAGATATTAAACCTCCCCCAGTCACAGACAGGGGAAGTTGCATTGCGCTACAGGTAGAAAATAAGCGCAGGGGCAATTCCGATAGGTGCAGGTCTTATGGGGTATTAATTTCCAATCCACCACTACGCCTAGCCGCCTTGGCGCATGTTGGGCTACCTCGTGGACAAATATTGTGACGTTAAAGAGGGCCCAGACCGTTGAGAGCATGCATGGTGTCCGTTCGCACTCGCTAGGTTATTGGGCAGTGTACGGGCCGGGAGACTGTTTTCCTAAGCCGGCTTCTGCGGCGGCCGGAACTATCCCTTGGTTGCCCCACCGTCGCATGGATGGGACGTGACATTGCGCTGACATGCTTCTTACTATGTCGGTCAATCAGGCCAACAGCCCGGGCCTCTTGATCAAGACTTATCCACACTCCTCCGGAAGCCGGCCGTCAAGGTTCTAGTTCACTAGTTATAGACGAACTGGCCAAACACGGACAAAATCCATTGCTTTCTTCACGCCGGTGCCTCATAGCGGGGTCTAAAACAGTGGGGCGAAAGGGCCGCAGTGGAAGATAAAACTAGTAATTAATTAGGTAGGGAGCTTTCGCTCTTTTTCGTGCCACCCCAACCCAACCCCCTCAAGTACACAAAACCCCCCTCACAACAATATGGCTGCCTCTGTAGACGCAGAGCTTGCTGTCGCCATTTCTGAGCCCCGTCCCTATATACGGAACCCGAAGTCATGGGTATTTAACGACCCAGACGCGGTAACCATGAAAGGGTGGGGAGAGGCACCGGTTAAATACACCAAGGACGACTGCGTGGCAGCCATGCGCGGCGAGAGGGCTCCTTCCGAGCAAGTCGACCAGTTGCCCGACGTCATGCGGTGCAGCGTTCTCAGAGGCATCCGCCATCACCACGGCTTCGCCACCGAGCTTCGCACCATGTCCTGCGGCCCAGAGCACATACGAGCCCTCAATGCGCGGGCCATCATGAGCAACGAGATTCCCGATATAGACAAACCGGAACACATTCCTTACTGCATCTGGTACCCTGATGTCGCCACCGAGGATACCTACCGCGCCCTAGTAAGACGGTATCCCCAGATGCGCTACCACGTCGGTCGCGCCACCGCCGTGGCCGGCTACGTCGACCTATACCGAGAACTCGATCTCCTCCCAGACCTCGCGATTGCCGAGGAGGCGCGGGATAATGCGGGCAACAGCGGTAGCCGGGAGATCTTCGACTTGATCGTGAGCCAGCCTGCCAGGTGGCGGGTCATGGACGACTATGCCAGGTGTGTGGCGCTGGAAACCCCGCTGCTTGCGAAGCATGGTCTGAATGGCGATACTGCGGTGCGGTCTCTGCTGGGGCTGAGGCGCAGGTACGATGGGCGGAGCCACAATACTTCTGACATACGGGGGTCGCATGGGGAATTTCGCCCAGATGACTCAGACCACGAGGAACTCGCGCGTCGGTATTTCAACATTACTGAGGACTGGAGCATTGATGAGTTCAGTTCGGTGCGCAATGCTTCATGTAGCTGTGGTAAGCATGACCGGGAAACCCCCCTGCCTGACAACAGCGATATGCTGGCGCTCTTGTGGAACCCGCTGCCGACAGACCTCCCCGCCGGCGACAAAGACGTCCTCATCCTAATGGCCGCATATTATGGAGACATTGACAGATACGAGCGTCTGAGGCGACCGATGCTTGTGTCGCAGGTGGAGGAGTTGTGTGTCAGGCGTGGTATTTACCACAACACCATGTTCGCAAAATGGTGGTCTCTCCAACCCGATAGCGACCACTATCGCTATCAATGTGCTATCAATGCGCGCGCCATCATGAACAACGACCTATCCCGCATCACCGACCAAACCTCGGAATACGACCTGCCCTACCAGATCTGGTGGCCCCTCAGAGCTCACCCCGAAACATATATCGAACTAGCCCGCCGAAAACCATCAATGAAGCCGGCCGTAGCGCGGGCCTTGATCGTCGCTGACTACCAGGAAGCCTGGGACGGATTTGACTTCGAACCACACGGCGAGCTGGTCGTCGAGGCCAAGGCGAGCCCCAACCCGCACTACCTCGCGGACCTGGAAAGGCGATGCACGGAATCAGGGCTTGATTTCGAGAGACTGGAGATCGTAAGCCAGTGGTCTCAGAGGGAGTTTGCCATCAATAGCTACGTCGATGACACGACCACGTTTCTACGCTCGTCTATCTCTGTGGCCGATTTCGACTGGCTCGAGCAGGGACCCGCACCCTACAACAGCGAGAGGGTTAACATGAGCGAAGCGGAGCTGTTCGCCATTGTTCCGGATGAGATGCGGCCGCCGGAGGGGTTTGAAGCTGTCATTCTTGGGACGCTTTACTACGAGTATGGGCACAAGCCACCTGCTGAAGATGCGGAATCGGAGGCATATATTCCTCGGGATCCGACCTGGAGGAGAATTGGGAGAGGCGGAAGCAGGGGAGGAAGGGGCGGGGGGAACGGCATCCCGTGGGGGAATGGCCGATGGGCAACGCGCGGACGATAAGAGATTCGTCCGTTCCTTATCCCATATGGCAAAACCATACTTGCGGTAATTATGGGTCAAATATTGCTCCCTCCAGGGGCGACATCCAGTGTGTCGCGGCCTGAACGTGAAATACCCAGGATAAGCCAAGCCAGTTAAGGCCGCACTGTCCTCGCTCCATCTCGTCGTCCCCAGTGTGTGCAAAGAGTGGCTCCGAAGAACAACTAAAGTCAAAACTGCTGTTTCCAGCAGAGGTGTTCGGTAACTGGAAGCGAGGTGTAGGTGTACTAGAGCTCCCGCCCTCTGTGCGCATGCTGTCAATGAAATCGACGGCGGTTACGAGCTGGTGGAAAACCGCGGAGGGCGTAGAAGTCCAAAATGCCCATGGCCACCAATTCACCTCGCTCTTCACTTGGCCAGTCAAGCCATCCTTCCTCACGGGCAGTCTGTCGATCATAAAAGACCTGTACCCGCCATGACTCCATGACGCTGTCTGTTTTGCTAACCCTGCTGGAGAACATTCTCGGAAGTAGGTCTGCTATTATGTTGGAATCATCGAGCAAGTGGAAACAGCAGCCTCTTTCCAGCTTGACCAAGTCCCCCGACCTTAGCCTGCTAAACTAATTCATAATTACAATTACTCCACGTCCTGCTTGAGAAACACCGGCATCTCGTCCAATGGGCAATCGACCTCGACGACGGATCCACCATCATAGACGGTATCTCGAGCAAATGCCTTCCACCGGCCCTTGACGAGAGAGGGCATATACACCGACATCCTTCGTTGGCCAGGCTCCATGACAGGGCAGCACAGGTACTGATCTCCGTACATGTACTGCCTCTCTATCGTCCAGCACACCGCATCGTCAGGGAACTCGTAGAAGCACGGCCGCATGACGGGCGTACCGCGCTCGTGCGCCTCTCTCATCAGCTTTCTCGTGTAGTCCCTCAGGTCTTCTCGGATAAACATGTACTTCTTGCAGATGCCGTAAACGTCGGGCCCATACGACCAGACTTCGTTGGCCGCGCCGCTCCGGCAGGTCGCACCGCCCGTCGTGCCAATTTGGAGCTGTCTCGGCTCCCTGTCGCCATGGAGCCGCATGACGGGGCAGAAGGCGGCCCACTGGAACCAGCGGACAAAAAGCTCCCGGAATCTCTCATCGTTGGGGTCGCCGCCGTGGAAGCCGCCAATGTCGGTCGTCCACCAGGGCAGGCCCGCGATGCCCATGTTCAAGCCCGCAGCAAGCTGGTTGCGGAGGCTGCCCCAGGAAGACGCAATGTCGCCGCTCCACACGAGAGCCCCGAATTTCTGGCTGCCGGCCCAGGCGGCACGAAGGAGATTGACAGCGCCGTCCTGCCCCTCCGCTGCCATGCCTTCGTAAAAGGTGCGGGCATATTCGCGGGGGTAGATGTTGCCGATGGCGAGGTTGGGCCCCCGGTAGTAGCGGTAGTTGTCAAAGTCGTAGGCCGCATACTCGGGCTCGGCCTCATCCAGCCAGAAGACCCTGATGCCTTTGATGTAATAGTTCTGCTTCGCCTTGGACCAGACGTACCTGCGAGCCGCGGGGTTCGTGGGGTCGAAGTATATTGTGTCCCCCTCGAAGTCCATTGTGGTTCTGATACCCCGGTCGACGCGGACAAGGTAGCCATTCTCCAGCATCTCGTGGAAGTTCTCCGACTTCTTGTCGACCGTGGGCCAGATGGATACCATCAGCTCGATATTCATCTCCTTCAATTCCCGCACCATTGCGTCTGCATCAAACCAGTTATCAGCACTATGGTTTCTGTCTGAAACCCTGCACGGTCCGCTGCTCTATGTCTCACTAACCTGGATCCGGCCAGTACACCGGATCGAACTTCCACTCGCCCTGTCGCGGCCAGTGGAAGAAGTCGACGACGATAACATCGATTGGCAGGCTTCGCCGCTTGTACTCCCGAGCAACATCGAGCAGCTCGTCCTGCGTCTGGTATCGAAGCTTGCACTGCCAGAACCCGAGGCCGTACTCGGGCATCATCGGTACCGTCCCCGTTGCCCGAGCATATGCCTCTTCTATCTCGGACGGGGTGTCTCCCGCCACGATCCAGTAATCAAGCACTGTGGTCGAGAATGCCTCGAAGGTCATGACATTCTTACCGAAAACAGCACGACCAATGCCTGGGTTATTCCACAGGAAGCCGTAGCCCAAGGACGAGAGGGCGAATGGTACGCTTGCTTGCGAGTTGCGATGGGCAAGCTCTAGGTCCTGGCCCTTGAGGTCGAGGTGAGGCTGCTGGTACTGGCCCATCCCAAATATCTTCTCCGCGGGGTCGAGAGACTCGAATCGCGCTGTGAGATGATAGTCGCCGCCGAGAATCGGCCTGAGTTCTCGCGCTTCCACTTCGATTGCGCTGCATTTCGGGTCAAGCTGGTTGCGCCGGTTGCGGACGTATTCCTCGAGCAAGAGCCTGCCGTCTGAGTTGAACACGCACAGCTTCCCAGCCCTGGACATGACGCCCTTGATCTTGCCGCACGTGATAGAAGCCGTGTCCGCACCGATCGAGACTTGAGGCACGAATGACGCCGGCTTCTGCAGCGCCCAGTCCTCGTCGGGCATGCAGCTGGCCTTGGTAGCCCTCACCCTCAGAGCGTTCTCACCCCATGGCTCGATCCAAACCTGTTCGGCATCGAAATGGTAAACAAGGCGTCGGTCCTGCTCGAACAACATGACTGCTGGATTGAAGTACCTCCTAGGTTCAATAAAGCCAAGGTTTTTCTGGGGTTATCTCCCAAAAGACTTGGTGTGCGACAGACGTAGGCGTCACAATCCCGATGTTGTATGCTAACCCCGCCGGGCCGGGCCTGGCCCTCATGTGATGGTACTGTGCAGTAGCTGCTGCACCCCCCATGAGTCGCTGGTCATAAGTTGCAGAAATTGAATGCAAGAAAACCGCTTTCCGGCTCAACCCGCGTTCCCCGAATCATACCCCATGCGTAAGGGGAGAATTATTTCCCAGGATTCCCATCCTTCCGGGCCTTGGCAGCCAACTAATTAAGCCACTGCCTCGAAGTGCTGTTTGCCCCACTCTCCTCAGCATTTCCTGCTTCTTCTCCATTCGATGCCCCCTTCGCATTTCTAGAAGTAGCAATGGCCCACAGAGTTCCCCAGAGTGCTCCTAGCAAGGTAATAAACAAGGGTGCCAAGTTATGTTCGCGCCAAACGACCCAAGCACAGATAGGGGTTCGCAAATGAATACAAAACGTTCGGCCCGAGAGAGCGGATCAACCCCCAGGATCTCGAATATCCAGGTGAAAACGCTGGCCAAGTCTTGCCCTCAGTCACTTACGTCTTCAATTAATTAGGTGTAAGTCTACCGAGAGTTGCTTGATCTGTTCCAGCAACGCTCCAGGCTGGTGTTTAAATGTCGATGACAACTGACGACACCCAAGACGCAAACATGAAGCTCCACGACAAAGTTGTCCCCAGAACAATGGCTTCCATTGTTCAAAGCAGCTCATTAACCAGTACATAAAATTTGCTAGACAGAAAATCAAGATGGTGTGATGACAAAGTTATCATAGTACCAAGCTGCAATACCCCAGGTGGAGCTCTGAGCAGTGATAATCAGGGTGTCTGACCCGGTGCCGACGAAAGTGCCCGTGTAACTATTCCACGTGTAACTGTCGCCGCCAGTGTTTCCCGACGCGAACGGCGCCTTGTTGTTGATCGCCACTTGCCAGTAGTTCGAGTCGCCGCCGGAGCCCAACATTTCCCACGACACGCGGTAAGTTACTCCCCTTGTAGTCGCCAACGCCTGTCCAAATGTCATGTGCGTTTTCCCGTTCCATGGTTCGTAGTAGGACGAGAATAATTTCAGGCAACAGCTTCCTCCATCGACGTTGCCGGTCGAGTCAGTCTGTGGCGCTACGGCGCTGGCAACAACACCACCTGCCTTGGTGTTCTCGATGATGCTCCACCCGCTTGTATTGCAGGTCTCGAAGTCACCGTTGGTGACGAGGTTGGTGGGAGAGGCCGCGGCCGTCGTGGTCGTGGTTGTGGTGGCGATAACCGTCTGGGTGCCCTTTTCAGTAATGACTGAGACAAGAGTGGTAGCAACTGTCTGTGTAGACGTCGCGGTGGTTGTGAGGGTGCCGGTTGCGACCTGGGAGCATGCCGAGGAGATCGAGGCAGCCTCCCAGCCAGAGATGGAAGCCGGAGTAGCGATGTCTCGCCTCTGGGGAACGTTGACGATCGCCCTGGGCTTGTTAGCTCCTGTTCAACGCGGATAAATGCGGGGACGCTTGAGAATGCATACGTGGAGGTGACATAGTTGGTCACGGTAGTTTCATCGGTAACAGTCGTCAGGGTAATGACAGTTGTGGTGGCAGTTGCTGTGGCACCGGCTGTCGTCGTTGGTGCAGAGTAGCCAATGTAGGACGTGCAGAAGTCGGCTCCGGCAGTTTTAAGATAGGCAATATCACTGGGGCAGACCGGGCGACCTGGCGAGGTCACGTTGGAATAAGCGAAACTATAGCCGATGGTGTAATGATCGGAGCCACGGTATTGGCCCTATTAATTGCAGGTTAATTAGAGACGGAGGAGAGGAGACGCCAACGAACAGAGCTTCCAAAACTTACACTGTTAGTGGCATACGAAGCAGCCCAAGGCTCAGTATACATGGCGCAGTACTGTCCTTGAGGCCTTCCGTTTTCGGCCATCAGGTACGTGTTGAAGAACTTGCAAAGAGCAGGCTTGCCAGTGGAGGGCGGATGACGAGTGTTGTAAGCACTTTGCGACTCACAAGCCGCTGCACACAAGCTCGGGTCGAAAATGCTGGTGGTGAAAATCTTGGAGCCCATGTAAGTATTGGCTCCGTTACAATCCAGGGGAGCATTGATCGCATTGTTCCCCAGCGACACTCCGGTGTAACCTGGTATTGACGGTATGGCGGTACTCATATAGCCATTGGAACCAGCAATGACGATTTGGAACTGATTACGCCACTGGCCAGTGTTGACGGCGTTCTCGGCAGCAACGTATCCGCCCCAGAATGTGCACTTGATGACTGTGGTTGATGGAGGATTCTGGCAACCGGTTCCGGGATCGACAGTGGGGTCACGCTCAAAGTAAATGTTGATGCCGACACAGCCGGTAATTGCGTTGCATTTGCTAGCACAGAGGGCGGGATCGTAAGTGTCGAGGGTCGTCAGTCCCATATACCCATATGCGCCGGAGCTGCCCTGGAGGTTTGTGAAAGTATTCGCGTATCCGGACGGTGTAGGAGCGGCGGAGGCCAGGGATGAGAATGATGCGTAGGCGAGGAAGGCACTGGCCGTATCCGGGACCGGGACCGGGCCGGATCCAGTTGGCTGGGGGTCGCAAGCGTTCCGCACCTTCAGATTGCGCTTCTCGACGGGCAGCGGACTCGCGGTGGCCGATGCTGTGGCCTTGGCCAAGTTGTAGGTAACTGCTTGAGTTGTGGCTCCGATGGGGATAGACGCAGTCGGGGGGTCAGGAGCAGAATCGACGAGCTCAAAATCGATATCCTGTCGAGCAACCAGAGGAGAAGCGCTGGCTACTGCCGCGAGGGCGGGGAGGAAAGCAACACTGGCCCGCATTTTAGGCTAGGTTATACGTTCTCAGGGAAGGAGAACCGGTGCAGAAAAGTGGCACAGGAGGAGAGGTGGGACTCAAGGAGGGGAAGAAAGAGTTGAAGAGATTCCCTTGTCTTGGGAAAAGGGAGGAGAGGCGACGCGGTTCATATATAACCCTTTTTTAGGTTTAGATGATACTGTTTTCTTGCGCCCTCCTCCGTCCCAGCTACAGTCTAGCTCCGGTGGCTACCGGGTGCCTGTACCTAGCCAAGTGCATTATCACTATCGTCAATAGCTTCCGCTCGCGAGAGAAGAATGGGTGAAGGTTTCCGATGTCACTGTTCCCTTTAGAGCTAAGTTTACCAGAAGCACGCTTCTTGATTGGGGGTGGCTAGCTGCCTACGGTCGCGACTATCATCTGGGGTGTCCAAAGCGCAGCATTCAGCTGATTTGTAACAGGGCAAAGTTCTGCTATGTCGGGCCTTCAGGGCTATCAGCCCAAAACGTGCGGCTGGCTAGTCCCTATGCGTCCGAACAGTCTGCAGTCTGCCGCGTGGTATCATACGCCAACTGGCAATATTGAGAGCTTTCTCCACACTGCATGAATACGAGATTAGAATAACCACTGTTTTGTGTGGTTCATTAGTTGGCGTTTCCTATTCGGTGCTGTGGAGCAACCTAATGTAGCTAGATAATTCAGGGGCGGGGCCAATATCATAGGCTCGTTAGGAATACCCACTCGTTTGCAGGCGGTCTGGAAGCCTCCCGCCCAGCCTCGGCCCGCCCTTGTCATTTTCGGCCAAGAGGCCTAAGCTTTTTTTGCTCATAGCTAATAGCGCCTGGATGACGCAGGCGGTTCTTCAGCTGGAAGGAATGGCCTGTATACTGGCCGCACTATACTGTTTAGGACAGGCCTGAACGTTCAGGACAATACCACTAGGGCCTTGTTGGATTCGCAACTAGCTTCATTGGCTGCTAGCGCAGCGCACCGGCCGGAACTTTGACTCCGTAAGGTAGGGCCAGCAATCACTAGTCGGGTGAGGCTGAAGTTGTGAGGTGACTATTTGCTCTGGTTTTCGTCAGGTTCTGTCTCAGTGGCCTCCCCGGCACGTGCGGCAAGCAAACTTGTGTATGGTCTGACGGAATTCCGGCACGGGTCACAGCCATAGCAGACACTGGAAGGACTGGCCATATGCAATGCCCAACCTTGCGGTTCGCTCAGGTGACGCTACAGAAAGCCGGGATCGTGAGACGGTTAACCGAGTGCTCCGTCCCGTCAGGCCTCAACAAGACCCGATTTTCCCCGGGGGGGGGCTCCCAGCAGCACCGAGCCGCTTGGCCGATCAGGGATCCGTCACGTCTGGGCACATGATGCGACCGCCCAGCAGGACAGCACGAATGACTCCTCCCTTAACCGGCGGTCCGCAATGGAACCGCAGGTCCCCACAATAGCCCCACCTTCAAATTTGAGATGGGGCCGGGGGAACAACCCTCCCTCTGTCCTGTCGCTTGCATCCTTTCTGCCCAAGAGCTTGAAAATGGTCTTCATGCCGTCAATGGACTTGGCGAATTCCAGCCGCCTTTGCCGCTCCAGCTTCTCGCCTCTGAGCTCCAGGTGCGCCCGCAGGAAGCAAAGCATCACCGCGGCCAGGCCAGCCACGTAGGCCGTGGAGAAGGAACTGCCGCCGACCTCCTTGCCTCCCGGGACGCGGATCTCAACTCCCGGCAGAAGAAAGCCAGGTTCTGAGAAGAGGTTTAATCCGGACATCTCGCCGTACTTTGTTGCTGAGACAGTCCGGATGGCGCCCGGGAGTCCAACGAAGGCGGGGCGTGAGCCTTCACTCGACCTCAGCAATGTCCTGGTTTTCTCTGCTGGAAACCACCGCGCTCTGAGCTCCCTGAGCGCTGTGAAACCCCACGACGACGTTACGCCGAAGCCTTGGGTAATTACTGATTAGCTAGACATGCTTTGAACTCCTCCTGGTATTTGCTGCTGTCTTCCATGTCCGCGGGATTCTGGAGGCTGTTAGCACCAAATGAACAGCCTCTTTCACCCTTATACTTGGATGTATCTTGATGGTCAGCGATTGAAGCTGGGTATTCCCGTCAGCACGCGCTGGACATGGTTTGTCGGTACTATCGCCATGTACCTTTCCCAATTCCGAGAAGGTTGATCCGTATGCCCAGCCGCAAAGGACGGCGGTATTTCCAGAGGAATAAAGATGGACGTGCTTTGCCTCCGGGGCTGCCTTAAGGATGGAGTTGGCACAGATATCGAGCTTCTGCCATTTCCAGACCTCAACACCGAAAATTTTCGGGGTCTGCTAATCAACTTGGTCCCCTCCCGCGAAGCATTGGCGAATGGCAGCGTTTATATGCAGCTCTGGACGTGTGTCGTCGACGTCAACGGTGAAAATATTTGTCACACCACTCGTCCGTAAGCATTCGAACAAGCTGACGTCTAATGCCTAGTCTTATTCATAGTCTGGGCATTGCACTCCTGACAGATATACCTGTCGTAGACGCGCAAATTGGGGTCTACTGGCAACCCGTCGGCCTGTGGCGGCGACACTGCGGGATTATCGACCGAACGGTTCTTTAGAAATTGAGTCAACTTTCATTGCATGTCGTCTAGCGCATAGCATTTGGTCTGTAGATGGGGTTGCTGATTTGGGTTGGGCTTTGAGCAAGGGCATAGCATGGGACATCCATCGCTTAAGCACGGGCTAGGAAATTTCTCCGCCACGGGCATTTTTTCTGCATATCGGCGTAATCCAGTAGTAACAGTATGACAGCTCACCCTCGACATCGACAGCATTCATGCCAAGCATGGCCATGGCCCGAGGACGGCGAGGAGTGGGTGGATACCTGTGGTGGGGGGTGGTACTTGCTACACTACATCCCCCACGTTATATGTCGCCCCTGCAAGTTTACATGACAGTTGATTGGTAGCGCACAATGCAAGGCATAACCAACGGTTCACTTGCATGTTTCTTAGACAGAGACGGGAAGAGAGAGGCAAATCGGAAGAGGCCCAAGACCCTGCACTGCAGCTCTAAGCATAGGCTACAGGAAACGGATGAGGTGACTGCCCCGCTCGGGGGGCACTTTCGGGGAGAGACTTAACGCCACGCAACCCCCTCCTCTAACAGCTCAATGTTTCCTGGCAAGTTCTTGCATTTCAATTAGCTTTTTGCTCGCTGATAAGTCTCAAAATGGCCACGAACGAGAGCTCCGTGCAGCAGGAGGGAGGTCCTGGACCATCCCTCGCAGCTGACCCGGTAACCGGCATCGTCCCGGGATACTACTGGCAGCAAGCTGCCCAGGTTGGATATTGGCCTCATGACGATCGTCTATTGGACTTGCTGACAATTCTCAGGCCCTCCCTCCAGATGAAGACGGAGACTCTTCACTTGGTGACGGGGACAATGCCTCGTCAACCGCGTCTGTCGCGTCCAGCATCCTGGAGTACCGGACGATCCAAGGAAGAACTTACTACAGCGATCGGGGTAACGCCAAGTACTGGTCAGTTCAATGCGTCCATGTCAGCATCTAGCTCTTAATGGAGTTCATAGACCTGACTTGTATGACAGGGGATTGAATGATGATAAGCAGAACGAGTCATTGGACATTAAGTTAGCAAGACTGCATTTCTTGCGCAAGATGAGAGACTATGCTAACATGTGACATTAGCCACCATTCTCTCACCCTCGCCATCGACAACAAGCTCTACTTGGCTCCTTTGAAGAAGGATATTGCCGTTAGAAATCTAGCCCTATCGAGACCAAGGCCAGAACTGAACCACTTGGGCTAACAGCTTGGGCAGAAAGCACTCGACATTGGGACCGGAACAGGTTTGATAACACAATCCGTATAAACTTCCATGTTTCTCGACTGACACGGTGACTTCCAGGGATTTGGGCTATGTATTGAGTTTTGTCTCTTTCTAGTCGTGCAGGCAGGGGACTCACCAATGACACAGTGACTTCGCTGACGAATTTCCAACTACCGAGGTTATTGGGACGGACATCTCTCCCATCCAGCCTTCCTGGATCCCGCCAAACTTGAAGTTGTAAGTTACTTGCAGAATATAGAATGCCCATGTGATGTCAAGCTTACCATATTGAACCTCTTCCATTAGCGAGATTGAGGACTGCACCCAAGACTGGACCTTTCCATCTGATTCCTTCGACTACATCCATAGCCGCTGGCTGAACGGGAGCATTGATGACTGGGGAAAGCTCTTCAAGGAAGCATACCGGTGCTGCAAACCAGGTGGCTACGTTGAGAGCTATGAGGCGACGCCTGGTATGGAGAGCGACGACGGTACAGTCAAGGAAACAGATGCGATTGGGCAGTGGGGCAAACTCTTTGTTGAGTACGGGCGCAGATGCGGGCGACCGTTCACGACAGTCACCAGCGGCCTCCAGAAGAAGGCGATGAAAGAGGCTGGGTTCATTGACATCGAAGAGAAGGATATCAAGGTGAGTACCAACCCCCTATCCAAGCCCAGAATAATAATGATTATCTAACCACAGTGAGATGCGGCAGACCCCAATTGGAGGCTGGCCTCAAGACCCGGTTTTGCGCGACGCTGGAAGGTATTTTTGTTCCAAACCCCAACCCTCCAAACAAAAGCCCGCAAGCGAGAGATTCTAATTAAAGTCTTTGCAAGATACGCACATTTGGCCCTGACGCAGGACGTCGAAGGATTTATGTTGCTCGTAACCAGTGAGCTGGGCTGGACCAAGGAGCAGAGTCTGATCTACGCGGCCCAGGTTCGGCGGGAACTCCGGTCTGGGAAGCACCACGTGTATTACCGGCAGAGGATTGTCTGGGCTCGGAAGCCTGAGGGCAATAGCGAGTGATAGCAACAGTAATTGCGACTCATGGCGGTGACAGTTGCGACTAATATTGGTAGGGAAGTTGCGATTGATAGCATGGGTAGTTACGACTGACAACAGGGGCAGTTGGCGACTGACCTTGTCCCGAATTGTCGTGACATGATTGGCCATATATAGTGCTCTATCTAGTGCGGTGATTGACCTCCTCTGGGAAGGCAGCGTTGAGGCTGGAACTGGCCTGGGTAACTGTCATGGGGGGTGGCAACACCCTAGTGGCTGGGAGTAGATCAAGTCACGTCCTAGACAGCGGCATGACCCTAGGGGTGCTCACGCACTGTCATGCGAGGTTATTGTTACCACCCCCCCGACGACGCTGCCATTGTCGTCGGCCCGGGGTGGATCCTCCTGCCCCGGGACATAACCCTGCGACACGGCAATCATGCCACGCGCGACTGGATCGCACGCCTGTCGTCCACGGCACGACCTGCTCCTGCTTCGCCCTCTTTACCACGTTGCCACCCTTTACCCAATCGCACACTTGACAATGGCGAAGAGCGTTCTGAGGGGAGAGAGCCTGAACATGAATAATTATAACGAAATCCTGCTAAAGAGAGACTATGGACAGAGAAACTTGCTGCATCATATGATTACCTGCATCAAGATTATTTCGTCGGAGAAACAGCCAGACTGGAAGGGCCTTCCTGTGGAAGCCCTTCGGCTTGTCTAGTTAGTGGTACTAGTCTAAGCTCCTACTACACTCACGGAGAGAGAGGCGAACGGCAGAATCCCATTAACGGATATTGCGCAATGGGCTTGAGAAATATTTACATCCAATCAAATAGGAGAAAGAAAGGAGCAGCCCAGGGAGCGGTGACTATTGCTTACCCCTCTCGACCGAAAACCTTCGGTTCCGCTACCTTTTCAGCCGCAGCTGTATTTAGCTATGACAACGATATGCTACCTAACACGGGCATGGCCTCCAAATCTAGCCGCACACGTACTCCGCACATGAGCAGCGACGATAACGAACCGCTGTGGTGTGATCCCGTCCTTAGGATCTTGGACGTTGCATCAATCTCGCGGCGATGATGACGACCCCGTTTAGTTACGAGAGGGTCCCACTGCCCTCATTGGACGGGCACATGCGTCTCGTCGAACTCTACCCTGCAAAGAAGCCTGATTCCCCCTCGGCAGAGTACGACGCACCGCTGCAATGCCGTCTTTTCACAACGTCCCTTGGCTCTCCTTGTCCATTCCTAGCCCTTTCATACTGCTAGCGCTCTGACGACAAGACGCACTCGCTCCACATCACCATCTCTGACCGCGATAGCGGTTCGCATACCGACATGGCCGCGCTAGGCATCACCGCCTTGCCAGATGAAGCCCTACTCCTATCATTCCCATTTGAAGTTTCTAGACTTTATTTTTCTGCCTTACAAAATAGGGAGATAGACTTTATTTTTCAAGCCTACCTACCCCCAAATACAGCGACGAGCACAGGCTGTGCTTGAAGAAAACGTCATGTAATTTGAAATGGCGCTAGTGAAGACAGGGGGCAGAGCTTGTAGAGAAACAAAAGGCAGAGCTTGTAGACATTTTCAACGGTAAAATTGACAAAATCAGTATGCGTATAAAGCTTAAATGCAAGCGAAATCTTTGGTGCTATTTTCAAGTTAGTAAAATGCTTGTAGGTGGGAAAAGCTGTAGGTTTTGTTTGTTAGCATTACCTAAGCTAGTGTAGCGTTATAGAGGCTAACAACGCATTAGCCTATTGTCTAGGGTAAATAGAGGCAAATGGTAGTGTAAGGCTATAGTTGTAACCATTTAGTAGTTAGCCAAGACATGCATTTAAACTACTATAGAGCTGTTTGTTTGTTTGCCTAAATACCTGTTTCTAATATGCAAGTGTGGAATTAGATGCATGGCAGGCAAGATTGTTAGTTATTTGCAAGCAAAGCATAAGTCTATCAAGCCTAGCAAACAGTTAAGGATTGCGGAATTGATAAGCTAAATCCTAGACATTACAAGAACCTAGGATAAGTTAAAAGAGTTTAAGTTTCTGCTACCTACCATCCTACCTATCCTGTTTATTAAGCCACTAGTTGTTGGTTTAAAATGCAACCAATGCAACTTTGTCAGCATAGAGGTAAGAGAGATGCAGCAACATTGCTAGAATGATTATAGATAGGCAAATGATTAGAGTAAAGGTGGTAATGTAGTGAAAAAAGCAAAGCAGGAGTAGATTGTGCTATAGATAACAGGCATGCATTGTTAGCAATTTTTCCAGTTAGGCTTTAGAAGCAGTTAGTTTAAGGTTGGCTAGGGCAGCAAGCTAGTAGTGGTAGCAAAGGTAGGTGCAGAGATATTAAAGAAGCAGCTAATACAAATCTATGCAATCTAGATAGCATAGTTTAAGTCAAAAAGGCAGTTGATTAAGGCAGGCGATAAGAAAGCTAAGCTAAACAGGTAGTTAGACTGCATTGGTTAGCTAATGCATTTGAAAGGTTTAGACCTAGCCTAGTTGCGCAGCATGGTTAAGCTAATTGGCAAAGACAAGGTAATATTGCAGTAGATATAAGAAAGCATAAAGTAAGTGATAGAGTAGGCAAGAAAGGTGGTAGTAAAGTAGCGCAGGCATGCAATGTTGTTTAAGATTAACAAAAAGAAGGTATATGTTAAGTAGAAAAAGCTATTTGACAGGTAGATTGATGCGTGAGGCTTGGTAGGGTAGAAAAGATAGTTTCTACTGGCTGTAAATAGATAGTGAGGGCAGGGCTTGAAGTGGCTCTAGGAGCCTATGACCTAGCCTATGCGCCAGCGCAGGTTAGTCAAAGCCTACGCGCCCTCTGCGTAGAAACTACCAAACATCAACACCACTTTTACTTCATACAATATTACAAGATTGCTATTGAAGTAACTCTCTGCCAACACGCTATAAATTAGTAGCATGGATATACTTGTTAGAGTTATAATACAAACCAAAACTACCAAAAACCTCAATTTTCGCTAATTCTAGCAATACCAAAATCACCCTAAGAGCTTGCAAATAGCGTTAGCTACATGCAAGCCTTTAACGCGTTGATTAGACCAATCTACGCGTAAAGCACTATTTACTTGCCTGCTTCAACCAAACCTGTCAAGTATTTAAGCCTAACCTGTCAAGTATTTAAGCCTCTTCCTACTAACATTTAAATACTTGCTAGAGTATTTACCAACCTTCAAATACCCAAGCCTCTTGCGTATTTACTAGCAAGTCTCTTGCGTATTTACTACTTTCCTGCCTTCTTTGCCAACTTACTTGCAAAGAAGATCCTTTCTTTCTTAACTCTTTGCATTGTATTACATTGCTTTTACATTGTTTTGCCTTTCACATTGCTATTACCTTTAACGCTAAACCTACTAATCTGACTAGTTACTATAGCCTAATCAGTTGCCAGACACTTGCCTACGCAAGCAAGACTATCAACAGCAAACTCTGCCACTCTTGCCTACTTAGGTAGTCCTTTCTGCCATCAACCTAGAAACTCTCCTAGCCTTGCCAGCAACCCTTCCAATAATCAACTAGACGCTAATTAGTACTACTCTAACCACAGGAACAAGAACCTTAACAACAGCAGCGCACTAATCAATAACCACAACACTGTCAATAACCTACGCAACAAGCCTATCAATAACTAGCTTCTAGCTATCCACGTCGCAGCCTAATTCTATCACTAGGACTGCAACTAGTCACGCAAATCAAGCAATTAATACTACACCTTAAACCTCTAGGTATTCAAAGTTATCAACCAATTTGACAAAGATATTGCAAAGATCTAGAAAGGCTACTACAATAAGAGGCTATTTAACCTAGGTATTGACATCTCTAGAGTGTATCCTAAGCTTTAAAACACCTTTCCAAGCTTTAAAGCTTTAAACAACGTCGACAAAACCATAATAGGTTGGAAGACCCAATTTCTAGGATTCTTTAAAGCAGGCAACTTTATATGGAATAACCTATACGACAATTCCTAAAAGCCTAAGTTAAAGCGCAAGTCTAACTTCTTTTGCCTCCCTAACAACAAGGAAAAAGAACCTAAGCCTCTAACCTCTAACTGCAACAACTTGATTATAAAGAAGCTAGATTTTCTAGTAACCTAAGCTAAAAAGTCTAACGCCTACATTAACGCTTTCTCTAAGCATATAGATTGCTTTAAGAAACGCCTTGATATAGCTAACTAGGCTTAACGCTAGTCAACTACTTAGCCTTGCCCTAGCCAATCTTGCCTTGATTAGCGTGGTAGCTTTTAGCAGACCCAATTTAACAACTAGTCAAACCCTTGCAGCACTCTAGCTTACACCCAAGAAAGCCTAGCCTTTCACAACCAAAGTAGCCTAGCCTTTTAGCAACAAGAGCAATTTACTACTCTAGCTAGCACTTCCAACAACTACTCTAGCTATTATTTGAAGAAAGACAATGTTAAGATATTTAACCTTGATATAAAGGATCCTAATAAGGATAGAATGATTACTAAAGGCAAGTTAAATGTTTACACTAACGTTTTTGCCTTCTTTAACCAACTAAAAGTCCTTTAGAAGGCAAAGGATAAAGCAGCCTTTACAAGCCTAATCCTAACACTACTCTACAGCCTAGCCTTGTTGTGGTATACTAACAAGCTTATGCTAGCTAATTGCAATGCTTTTAAAAGCAACCTAGGTTGATTTATTACAGACTTGCAAAAGCGCTTTAAGCCTAACCAAATAACAAGCCTTTAGAAGCTTAAGGCTGTGTCTTTCTTGCTGCACAAATTTTTTAAAGATCACAGCAGCCTATGCTAGTATATATAATGCTAGCACTGCCTTGCCAAGGCTATTGGAAAGCAAGCAGACAATAACCTTTTCACTGCTATATAGGAAGGATTTGATTAAGCTATTTAGAACCTAATCGACCCCTTTAAAGAGAGCATTAACTACTTAACCTTCCTGCAGGATATTGAAAAGAAGATCCCACTTCTGCAGATTAAAGCCAATACTTGGTATGACAAGTCTTCCTAGCATTAGTCTAACTACCTATGTAACAACTGCTGTAACAACTAACGCAATAACTAGCATAACAACTAGCGCAATAACTAGTGTAGCAACTAGCGCAACAACTGTCATACTAACCAAAAGGACAATTAGAAAGGCAATTCAAATTCTTACAACTGCAATCAAAACTGCAATAAGGACTATACTTAGCCTTGCAACCAACCTTGCAATAGTAACACCTAGGACAGGAACTGCAGCTATAATTAGCGTAATCTGCATAGCAACTGCGATAAT